CCCGGTGCCAGGGTCCAGTCCCATTATGCAGGACAGGCAAACCGGTCAAAGTGAGGGAGGACCCCCCGTTTTCAGCATGATGACACCGCATTTGGCGCTCTCTCCCATTCCTCCAGGTCGCCGACAAGGGGAAGACGGGGGGGCGTGCGTCTCGGGCTCCTCGAAACAAAACAGAACGTGGTCGTGCGTGCGTATCCCGCCGGTGGCCATTTTCGGTGTGTGCCAGGGGTCGAGCTGCGAACTAGCCCGTGACTGGCTCCCTTGCCGTTTGCACTTCTCAGATAGGAAATACTACCTTATACATACCTTGGGCCGATGAATTCTCCGTGGACCTCCCCGGCATCAGACGGTAAAGGGTCTTGGCTGCGTCGACGACAGCCTTTTCTGTCTAAAGCGGCGGCGAGAGCCTGTTGCCAAACATGTCACGACTCGTTCCGATGACCCTCCACGGCCAGTCATCTAGTGGCGCTGCATCATTCAGGCCTCATAATTATATTTCATTACGTAGCTATGCGTGCCTTCGCGTACCCTGCCGGCCAAAGCCATTCAATATCCCCTCGCACATTAATCCTCACGGCCTGCCCAAGGTGCCCTTGTAGAAATGATTAGAGCCTCCGCCCATCCCCTTGGCCAACGCGGGCGCAAACTCGAAGCCGGATCCCGGCACCGCCTCCTTGGCCTCTGCCACAGAAACGGGGTATTCTGCCGGCGCCATCCAGACTGACTGTTTGTCGTACGTGGTTGTCTCGTTCGCGACCCAGATTTCGCGCCGGTACAGAACTGGGTCGTCCGGGTCGGACGTCGGCTCGTCCCCTCGGAACCACTGGCCGCCGAGTTCGTACGTTTGCATCATGTCGCCGAAGCCACCACTCTCCTTGCCCCCGTTTCTCTGGTAGAAGAACCCGCGCCCGCTGCGCTGAGTGTTGGTTGAGACGATGCCCAGCTTCGCGCGACCTTTGAGTTTCCAACGCCAGGACTCGATGCCGGTGGGGAATACGGCCTCGCCGCTCACGTTCCGCTGCTCCCCTTGCGTGAGATTTGCATCAAGCGTGATTGTGTTGACTGGGTCTGAACCCGCCAGATAGCTGACCTGCACGGGATACTTCCAGGTCGATTGGTAATAGTTCCAGCGGTCCTCCTCGGCCTTGTCCTCACCCCGATAGAGCGCCCAGACCATTTGCCCATCTCCCTGTCTTGCGACTAGGCCGGCATTGCCCATCGAGAACTCCTGAGTCCACTTCACATCGTAGAACTTCTCGTAGTCGTTGCGCCTGACTTTTGATTTGACAATCAGCTTACGCGACACGGTCTGGTTGTAGCGCAGGTATTCATTCTCCTTGACCTCGACCCCTGACACGTAGTTTAGCTTGGTCAGGCACACATGGGGCGTGCTGCCTTCCGTCACCGTGCGTTTTGCGCCGTACCAGACAAAGATCTTGGCGGAGAGGACCCAGTATCGCGGCACCACCTGCTCATTCTGGCCGACGACCTCCATGGAAAAGTTGTGTGGCTTCCCATCGCATATAAGGCCCGCCCAGGGCGTAATGTCGATTTCCTGCTCCCGTATGTCGAATGCTTGCAGCCCGACGATCGGCCGGTGCAGAGGAGGCGAGATGCCCCCAGTGAAGATGACGGGCATTGGCCACGACAGGCCGACCAAGTGGCCGTCGATTCTGAGCCGTATCTCGCGGAAGCTACTGAGACCGGGCAAAGTGGCATTCGGGAAGGTGTGGGTGCCCTCGTCCGGCACGTTGGACCACCAAAACTCCTCGTCCAACTGGCCGTTGGCGGCGATGGACACGACCGCGCGGTGTATGTTTTGCGGGAGTGTAATTTGGCTCTCGGCCTTTGAGTCCGGGTAGGTGAAGGTGCTGCTAAAGTTACTGGCACTGCGTCGCCCGGAAAAGGGAACGATGAGGTCCGCGGGTCCAGGCGGGGGGAGTTCAATTCCTTTCTCCCTGACAAAGATGGCCGTGAGGGTGGCGTTGTAGCGTCCTGTGTACTTGTCGTCGATCAGGTTGCCGAGATCGAAGATGAGCTTTTGCGGCTCCTTCCATAAAGAAAGGTAGTGGGTCATGTCTTTCCAGGACGTCCAGACGATGCCTGGGGCGGCCTTGGGCTCGGCCGTCGACGTACGCCAGACCTCGACGTCGCCGAGGAACATGGTGGCCAGGCGGTCGAACTGTCGGCCTTGGGAGACGACAGTCAAGTTTAGGATGACCCTGTTGAAATCGAGTTTTGGCGCCTTGTACTCGGCAACAAATGGTAGGCCATAGCTAAACCCAAACGAATGCTCCATGAGTATTTGGGTGTGGGACTTGGGGCTGTACCCAAACGGACGCGGATCGACAATGTCATCGTCGACGAACATACCGTCGGGAGTGAGCATCGGGCTTGTAACCTGGAGGCAGCGGAGCGGTTTGGTGTTGTTGGCGTTGGTGTCGCTGCTGTCTCGGGCGGTGAGGCCATCATGATCTATGGTGGTGCCGCTCAATGCGTCCCGGATACGCCCCGGGCCCACGGCGGCGATCGCTGCATGGGCAGCGGCCACGACTAGCCACCGCACTCCCACCATGGCTCGAAACCACAGCCCAGAGAAAGGGCTTGACAGAAGCAGCGCGGAAAGAAGACCCTGTTGAGCTTGAAATGAACGGCGCTTTGTAAGCGGAGGGGGAGGGGTTTCATGGCCAGGACGCTGTCGCACAAGGGCTACTTATAGAGAGAGGATATGGACGGCATGGCTGCAGGTAGGACGCGGCGGCTGTTGGGCGGTGACGCGATGAGTTGGACCAGCCTGTCATGGCGAGAATCCATCATTGGTGTTGACTTCCGACTACGACGGTGGCTGCGCGTAGGCAGGAACGGAAGGTGCGAAGGGATGCACAGGCCGACCTAACCGACGACATCAGAACCGAGATGAGGAGAAGCGGCCATCACTCATCCATCATCACCAACAGCAAGCAAGACAATCGTGGACGTAGATGTAGTGGTCTATTTTGCAGACGCAGCAAGGGCGTCATCCAAATGTGGTATCTAACGTGAACGAGAACGACAAGCAAAAGTGCAAGTAAAGGATGCGTGTACTCCGTAGTGGGCAATAGAAGCGAAAGCCTCTCCCAGCAGAAAAAGAAATCGGCGATGACAGCCGCCGTGCTCATCTAGATGCGCCCTTTCCCAGCCCCAGCTTCCCCTTGCCATCATTCCGTCGCGCAGGAGCCGTACGCGTTCGAGGTCGCTCGAGGCACCCTTGGGTAGTATGATCATGATGTGATGTGACATTGACCAGGTGCAGCTGCAGACGGGCAGGATCCATGCATCCGCCCTGCGGCAGGCAGCATGTACCCAAGTCCCTCGCCGTACTCCCTGAGGTACAGCCGTGCCGCCCAGACAGCCCAGAGCAGCCAGGCGGGGGGGGGGGCCCTCGTCCCGAGGCAGCAGTCGAGGCTCCATCATGTCGAATGGAACTCGTTCGTCCACCGGACAAGGGCCGAGCTAGGTTTGAGCTTGCATCGCCAAAAGTCAAAATGGACGCCGTGGACGACGAGCCACCTCGGGCTTGGGCAAGGGAATTGTGTGGTCCCAGGCTCTCAGCCCCTCCCCTGACGGCGACGGGAGATGCCAGCCAGCCCAGTGCAGGCACAGGGCAGGCAGCCAGGCACCTTGTGTGCGGCAGGATAAGGCACGAGCACCTAGGCGCCGCCGCTTTTACCGGTGGCGTCAAGGTCGGACAGGCCTGCCCCAGGCGAGCCGTGTGCCGCTCCAGGGGGCAGCCAAAGGGCCCGTCAATCACCTCAGTGGAACCGCTTGACGGGGATCCCAATGCACGCCTGGCGCTGCACTGCAGGTCGGTACCGTGGGTTGGACAGGTCCCCGCCCGGCCCAGGCCCTGTGGGGACCGACCCGAAGTCGCCCACTGAGGTCGGGGTGCCTGGCACGCCGGGGCCCAAGGTCCCACAGTGCGCCAAAAATGGCTGCGGTGGGTCGCCATGTCGCCAAGGCTAGCCCTGGAGCGCTGTCCTGGCCCTGGGTCCCCCGCCAGACGTCGGGGGCGTCGGCCCCAGTGATCCAGTTGTCGGCTGCTTATCGATCCGGGCGAAGCTGCCAGCGGAGGCGTTCCTGGAGTAGAGCCGCCTGCGTCTAGCGGCAACGGCGCGAAAGACAGCGGGACAGCGGGACAGCGCCAGCCCGGCTAGGTAGGCGTTGGCACGAAAAGGGCCTCGGGTGCCCTTTTGAGAATGGCAAAACAGACTTTTCGCCCCTCTCTGTCCGCCGCTGCAACGGTGGTCGTTGCGCCGTTGGGTCGACATGTGGCGGCCGTGGGAGTGCTTGGTAGTCCGCATTGCGCTGCATGGTCCGAGTGCCAGGCATGGCGGCGGCCATCTGCGCGTCTCCGTCGTGAGCCAGTTGGGGGTATTGTTGAGTCGCCGGTGCAGGGACTGTAGCATCAGACTGCAATTTGGTGTTGCTCGCCGGAATCCGTATGCGTAGTTGACTTACAGCCAAAGGGGGGTCGCTGCCCGCTGATAAAGGCGCGTTGCGACGAAGAGCCGCATCTTCTCCCCTTGTGTGGCCGGCTGCAGTAAAACGTCTTGTCCAAATTCGCCAGGCTACTCAACGTCGAGCAAGGCGGGAGTGAGAAAGGTAGGTGGTATGCAAGTCATAAAGTCATGTCGAGTCGTAAGGCGGGCCCGTCTAAGCCCGGAAGTTGTCCCAGTAGCGTTTCCTCGCAGCCACGGCGTCCTTGTCGCCGACGAAGCGGTGCTGGAAGAAGTTGAAGACGGCGAACTCGTCTCGCGTCATGATGTAGCCGTCCGGCTGCGCCTTGACCTTGCCCCAGATGTGTGACAGGGCGTGCTCCAGGATCTTGCTGACCGTCGGGTCCGAGGCGCCGTCAGGGCTCTCGCGGGCAATCTCGAGAGCCTGGGCAACTGCCGCGTCCTGTGGCGTCTTGGACGAGGCATTGGAGCCGCCCATGGTGCCCAAGGGCTGGTGGCTCAGCACAGGAGACTCGGGCTCGCGGTGAGGCATCGGGGCGACGAGGTGTGTCTGGGGGGGACGGGCGTGGGCGCCGGAGGCGATGTTGCCGTTGGGGCTGGGTTCGTGGTGAGGGTTGCGCTGATGGTAGTGCTGGCTGTATCGGCGGTGCTGCTCTTGGATATCTTGGGGATGGACAGACAACATGGTATGTGAGGCAGCGGTAGACGATTGCGAGCCGGTCATGTATTATATGGGAGCCGGGTGTGGGCTCGGCGGGAGGAGGGCGTGTGGTATAAGTAGGCCAGGTAGGCTAAGGCAGGCAGGCACAATGTGGCTAGGTGGGATGGAGGAGGGTGTGCGGGTACGCGAGAGGCAGTGGGAGAGAGTGTGTGTACGAGCGTATGTGTGTGTGTGTGTGTGTGTGCGTGTGAGGTGTACGTGGGTGCGTGCGAGCGTTTGAGCGTGCGTGCGTAACCAGCGACGGCAAGCAGGCGCTGTGAGGCAAAGACTAGGCCGACACAGTGCACCCCGGACCGGAGGAGTGTGTGGAGACAGGGGGTGGTGCGTAGCGAACTCAGTTGCAAAAAGGAAGGAATCCAAAGGCCGGAGGAGTGGCCCAGGGGGGGTCGTAGAGTGACGGGATGTGGATGGGATGTGGATGGGACTCTGCAGGTATAATCCCCGGCCGGCGTGGGCGATTCAAACTGGATGACAGGGCCACTGTAGATCGCCTACAGCTGCGGATCGACTTGGCAGGCCAGGGCCGGCAGCAAGACAAGTGGTACCGGTGAGCGTTTGCGTGGGCCTAACCGACAGGGTTGGCGGTCCACGTAGGGCGGCGGTACTCCGTGCTGCGTACTCTGTACCCTGCGCTGCAGGACGGTACCGGTACCGGGGCGGCAACGGACCACGAAGGCGGCGGCGGTGGTGGCAGTGGTGCAGGGCAAGCGAACCGTCGAACCGCCAGGTGCAACGGGCTGGGCAGATGGAGCGGCCCGGTGGGTGCGCGCTGATGCAGGCAGGCGTTGGCGCCGGTGGTGGGCTGCGCGACTTGTGCAGTGCGCAAGCCGTCTGTTGCGGGCGTAGCGCGTGTCGTGTCGCGGGGCGCCCCAGGGCTGAGATGCAAGGTGAGTTGTAAGTGCGTGCGCCGTCAAATTGCAGAGGCGCCTGGCTTTTTTCCCTGCGATAGAAAAGTGACGACGGGCCGGCCGTCGAACGTGACAGTGGATAGTGGACAGTGGAGGAACGTCGGCTGCGCTGCCAATTGGGCGTCGAGTCGTCTTCTGCGTGTAGGTAAGCGCACACGAGGGAGCCGGGCATGCAAGGTAACTGAAATACAGCGTGATGCGGTGCGGGACAGGCGGCAGCAGACACCCGAGGCGGTGCGCGATTGCTTTATACGCCCAACTATCACGGGGCTCCGTCACCGCTACGAAATGTCACCGGTCCCTCAAAGTCAAGTCGAGTCACGGGCCGGTAGAATGGCATTCGAGGCCGGGCGAAGTAAACCTTCTTTTTTCCCTCAATGGATCCGCGGCGGCGAAAAAAAAATAGAGCGAATGCTACTACTAGGTTGCGACGAGGGCACTGAGTAAGGAGAGTTTTGGGCTGTGGCCATCAAAGACACCGGGCAGCCGAGGGGCGGGCCAACTGCCCGACGGCGGCGCACACACACACACTCGCACTCGCACGCGCACACACACCGATGGGCGGGCACACCTCCGAGGCGAGGGGACTTCTGCCCGGCCCGGGGACGAATCGCCGACACAGGCAATTGCAGGTACTCCCGTACTTTGCGGTGCAGGCCGCGGCGGCACGAGCAGGGTACCACCGCCGGCCTTCGGGCTGCACCGTCGCAGTCGGTACCTTGCCACGGCCCACGGCCCATGTCGCCTCGCGTGCAACCCCAATTACCTGCAATCTGGTTCTTGACGACTAATCGTGGGGCAGAAAACCGGAGATGGGCAGCCGTCCTCCTCGGAGCACGGCCGGCATGTCGACGATGCCGAGCGTGTCACCTGTGGAATGCCCAGCGCCGACGGCGCCTGCCGACTGTTTCAACTACCCACGTACGTACCAACCTTGCCAACGTTCGCCCAAGTGCGCCGCGCCGGCGTAGATGGGCGGAGCATATTGGATTCGGGCAGGCAGCCACCGCTCATGCTGGCCTTGCGCGCGCGCGCCGTGTGCGGTGTGCGGCGAGCGGCGTTCCGTCCAGGCTGAGAGTCATAGCCTCGAGCCATGTCTGTCCCGCGGGCAAAACGTTAAACGGGCGCACCTCAACGCAAAACGGCCCCCCGTCGAATGCTCTTTGCTCTTGGTCCCCGAGCCTCGTCAGCATGCAGAACCGTTGCCTCAGCCCTCTGAGCTTCGTCGAGAGTTTCCCGCTCGCTCGATCCCTCCACGCGTGGCATGACACGCACAAACAGCCTTTGTTCTTGACCACGTTTTTGAGAGCCCAAACTCTCTTTGCGCGCTCGCAACGCACGGGGCAACGAAGGGACAAAAGACTATCCGCGTTTAGGTTTCGCAGTCGTCGCGAGTCGTTGGGCCTACCCACGGACATGGGTGGTGGCGTCACGCGCAGAGCCTTTCCGTCCCAACCAGAACCTTTCGGGGCCCATGACACCGTGGCTGCCGGAGCCGGTGGGGACGGAACCAACAGAGCGGGTGTGGTTCGCAGGTACCGAGTACCGTTCTCGCATGGCCTCGACGGGACTTGCAAGCTGGACTCGATTCCATCTCCATCGGAACCGCCAGCCCGATGCGCGAGACGTTCCATGCCTCTGCGCGAATGCGCGGGTCGTCGTCGCAGCCCCAGCCCAGCCACGGGCGCAGTTGCAATCGCAAAGGTAAGCTCCAGCTGCGGAGTTTACTCGTGCAGCCTGGCGGCAAGGTATTGACTTTGCGCGAGGGAATATACCTCGGCTACCGTGTACCAGCTGGACAACCAGGAGCATGCGATGCGCCGCTGCAACATGACAGACCGGGCAATCTGTGCGCTGGCGAGCAGTTGCAGCAGCGCGACGGGAGAAGCAGACGGAACAGGTAACCCTTTGTCCGCCTTTCGATACGCCGAATTCGAGGCGACTGTGTGCTTCCGAGCCGTTTGGTGATGGCCCTATCCTATGGATGGGTGTGGCCAAGGCTGCCTCGCGCCTGGGGTGCCGACGCTTACCAAGTACAACGGCATCTCGCTCGCTAGTGCCTGCCGTTCGTAGCTGGCGCGCCAGGTGGCCTTACGGGACTTCCATCGATGCTTCTGCTGAGAAGTTCCCGCGGGGCGTCACCAGGAAAAAACAGAGTTTGAGACCATCTGGGGCCGGGTGCGAGATTCGCGGCACGCGAGTGGACGGGACTGGGAAAGGCACCTCGCTTCACCTCATCAGGGCGACTTGGACCAGGCGCCCAGGGCGTGGATTCCCTGCTCGTGGCTCCTCGCGCACTCTGCACCGCCCGGTTCGAGGCGAGGCCATGGAGGAACCATCCATGGATGCCCTTGGTGCCTCGATGGTGCCCCAATGGAGCCCCAGTCAGCCTCTGGGACTGCGGCTGTCCAGCTCGCCAGGTTCGCGACGAGCTGGCCAGATCGGGCGGAACTTGCCTGAATCAGTAAACACAAATCCAAATAGTAAGAGTCACGACAAAAGTAAAGGCCAGCAAGAAAAAGCAAATCCCGCCGCCCGTCTCGGATGCACTGTGTTCGTTGGGATCCTACATGCTTTTAGGGTTCGTGGTCGCAGGAGGTGTCCTCGGATCTTGGGATGGCGTTGGTCGGCGGATTGGAGAGGAGGCCAGGGCACCAACAGCAAGCAGGAGAGGGAAAGAAAATACGGAGTAACGACACAATAAGTCACTTGGTAGGGGATGCCACGCCCAAAAAAAACCGTCGACGCTGGACCCTGGTGTTCCCTTGCCTCCCATCTTGCCCATCCTCCCTGCCAGGCAATGACGCAGATTGCGGGGTGCCATATCATTGGCGCAGGGACAGCGGATGTATGGGGCCAAGCAAGCCAAGCTAGGCCATCACACACACTGCCAGTGACTGACAGGCCCGTCGTCTCCTTGCCTGGCGGCTTGGCTTGCGTATTCGTATGGGGTCCGGTATTTTGTGTCTGCTCTACACTTGCCTCGAGTTACGGTCTGCTTGCCACCATGCTGCCCTACCAGGGTGTGTGTGGTGTTTGTAATTATCGGAAGGGTAGGCAGGCCGCTTGGCTCGTACGTCGTGCCTGCCTTTCTTCCTGGCCTCGGGCAAGCACGTACCTTGGTCCCCAGGTATAGACGAGGTACCTAAGGGAAGCACGAAAGGCAAGGCACTCGCGGTGAAGCAGGCACCTTCCTTGAAATCCCCTGCAGGACATGAGATGCCGGGCTGCGCCTTCACATACTACTACGTTGGGGGCTACGTCGCATGCCCTCCGAGGGTGGGCAAATGTCTCGGTTGGTTGCCTTCCTTGGCCAGCCCGGGGACCGTCCCGTCTGCCCACACACTCTTTCCCCTCTGCCACCGTCAGCCCGCGCGCCTTCGGTCGACGACGATGCCGACGACGACGTGGGCGAGCCGCCCAGTCGGTCAACCCAAGCCGCACAGTCCCTTGGAGCGCGGCGGTTGCATCTCGGGCCGTTGTCCCTACGGGGGATAGCCCAGGCTGTTTCGACTGACCGACGTACGACGACCCGCGGAGAAGGAAGCGCGGCCGCTCGGGTCGGACGGGCGTCTCTGATGACGGCCAGGCGGTTTGGGGCAAGGGGGCCACCTCCAGGCTCCAAGTAGGTTAGCGGGCGTGCTGCACGGCTGCACGGCTGCAGGCGCCATGCAAAGTTTAAATTCCTGCCCGCTGCTTTGCAGTAACGAAGCGTTACAGAGACTGCCTCGTACTAACCTTGCGCGGCGCCGCGTGAGGCAGGTCGAGGTAGTATGGGGTACCCGTTAACACTCTACTTGGCAAAGCTCCCTCCACGACGCGCTGCGCCGAGCACGGCCGGAGCCCGGTCGCCTTCGTGTTGGCGGTTGCGATTGTGGGCAAATGGAAACAGAGTTGGCCGCCCAGCCTGCCGGGCCATGAAACGCTTCCCTTCCACTACGGAATACGGAGAGTTGAGCGCCCGTAGCAGAGTAAGTTGAGTTGACCCGGAACGGCGGGGCTCGTGACCACGGAACGGAGACTCTAGCAACGGTAGACTTTCAGCGACGAAGCATGGACCGCGAGATTAGAGTATGCATTACGAGCAGACGTTGCAGAAGGGAGCAAGGGCGAGGGAAAGACGTCTGACACGAGCACAACATCAAGCGGCAAGCCGCATCTGCTGCTGGGTCCAAGTACCGAGGACTCGCCCGTTGGCAGGTGTGCCAGTCCCCCCAGCTTTGACGGGGCTTATTACCGCTGTCGCTATAGGCATGGTACGGCACGACACGGCACGGCAGGCAGGTAGTCGCCCGCGCGCGAGGCCTTGGACGGTCCCTATCCCTCTGCCCCGTCTCCCTTTCCCGTAGTCCGTACGAAGCAGGTGGAAACGGAACTTTCTTGCCAGCAGCAGGCGGCTTCGGCAGGCATTCATCGTGGACATGACCACGGGTGCAGCTGCCAGGCCGCCCTGGCCCAAGTCCCATTAGCACCTGCAAACCTACCTAGTACCTAGACCTTACCTGTACTAACGTACTAGGTAGGCCGCCGAAAAGGCCCGCTGCGCCAGACCAAATGCCCGTCGCCCAAACCGGCAAGCACCAGACAGCTGTCAGTGCCACATCCTAGCCTGAAGGAGACCGCTGATGCCCCAGACGCCAGACGCCCCCCCTGTGACCTGCGATTACCTGCGATTTGATTTCAATCTACTGGAGCCTCGAAGCCACCACGCACCTCCGCCTCGGCCGGGCGCTTGCATCATCAGTTCTAGACCCCTACCGGCCGTCGTTGCATCTGCGCTGCGACTTGCCCGTCCAGCGCGTGCCGCCCCAGATATGACCTCCCGGCGTTCTGGTCCTCGCCGCCGAAAGTGGCCCCGTCCCCTGAAGAGCGACACGCGACCCGAAGCAACCGAGCGGGCGTTGTCTTGTCACTGCGGAGACGACCTCCGGACACCGAGGCCGAGGGCGCCAACTATTCACAAGCCACCGGCGCCTGGATGACACCGGGTGAAGCCGCCCGAAACCACCGTGTCCAGCCAGCTGCGCGTCCCGCCAACCAGGCGCCAGGCCCACGACCGCCTCCCAGCGCCCCGAGCCCAGCCCGGTCCAACCATCCCGACAGCGGGCTGACGCGGGAGACGACTCTCTGTAGCAAAGGGGATCGACCGAGTCACCCCGTCGAGCCCGTATTCGTGGAACGCACCTGTCGTCAAGCGTCGAACTTTCTTTCCTTCGTTGTGTGCAGCCATGCCGCTGATCCCTGCACGGAGGGGCTCAGGGACGCGGCGGATGGGCGGACTACCAACCCACGGCCACAACCCACGGACATGTGTGGCGGTCGCCGATCACAGGTCACTCCATGTGCCTCCATCACGACGACGGACGCGACGGTTTCACTCGCCCTCGCCTGTCACGTTCCCTGCACCAGAGACGGGACGCGGCCGGGCTTCACGAATCGGCCGCCGTCCTGTCCGTCGAATTCCCATGATGAGACCCACCGATCATGGGCCAGCCCACCCGCTCCTCGTCGACGGCACCTGGATCGGATGTGTTCTGCCCGCGAGGCTCGCTTGCTGGTCGTGCTCGACGTTGACAGCCCGCCACGCACCCACCCCTTGCCGGCGTGGATGCGATGTGGTGTGGGCCACAGGGGACCACAGCCAGCACAGATCCGCGGCACCTCGTTAATAATTGCTTCGGCCTCCCGCATGCTCGCATGCAGTCGACCGCGACGGGCTCACGGCCATCACACGACGACGGCGTCATCGGACATTGCCCTGCAAAGTCCGGGGCACCGCGTACCTGGATTCCCTCCCGCGTTTTGGAATCACACATTGAGACTTGGCGCAAGGTCCCTTCCTGAGCGCTGCTCTAGTATTACCGAGTCCACGGCGCTGCTCCGGTGCTGACCGGGCCGCCATACCATGTGTCATGGTTGGGACTAACAGAACGTGGAGAGAGCAGTTAGAGTTCAGGGCCAACTTGCCCGTCTCGGCCTAGCACCCAAGGGGGCTTCCACATGGCCGTCTGCATTTGGGAGACACAGGGCATGACGAGCGACGTCGGCAGCCCGACGAGATGGAGGACTGGTAATTTCCACCACCGGCGCGCCGCGTGCTTCAAAAAAAAGTCTAATCCGCAGTACACTCGGCAACTTGACCGGGCCTCGTGGTCCTCGACGTGGGTCTGTATATGCACCAGCAGTCATTGACTCGTCGCCTCGCTCGCGCTCACGAGTCAATCGCCCCTCGCCACGCCACGGCATCAGGATCGGTCATCGGCAACCACGTCGACGATGTCGTCGTTATCCGGGACAGGGGTGGCGCTTCTCTCCCCCCTGGACCCCGAGACGCCGCTGCGGAGCTCCGCGTCCAGACGCCGCCACAGCCCGTGGGAGGACCTTGATCGAGCTCGCTTCTGGAATCCTCCCCACATCCCGCGGGTCTACCGGGATGACATGAGATGCCCAGAGATGGATCCGACGCCTTCAGCTTTGCGCAGCCAAGCTGACGTCTCGTCGCGACCATGGTTCTTGACCCGGGCGTGAAGCTCGAGGGTTTCTTGGCTAGCTGGTCACGTCTCCCGTCGGCAAAGCAGGGGGGTCTATCCCGGCTAGCCTCCGCACGAGCCCGTAGCCGCATGCCGAGCAACAATCTTCATGCCAGACCAACACTATGCTCTCACGTCTCGCACGTACGAGGAGAGCTTGAAGAGCCACACCGCGATGCGCGATTGGTAGATGGCTTGCATACACACGAGGCTGGGCAAACTTTGTGCGTGGCCATCGTAACCGTTTTGGTATTCGTCCCACGTCCCTGGGCACTTTATGCTGAACGACATGTCGCTTTGGCCCAAGCCATATCAGCCAGTTTACGGGAAATTTGCCTGCATTCAACCGAAATCATATCGCAAGGCCGCAGCACTGCACAAGACAACACTAAACATCCCGCATGGTCTCGCCAGCCAGGGTCCGGAGCGGCCTCCCTGCCAACCGGGCGGACTCCACGCCTGGCTCTGTTCTTGTTTTTGTCTTATCACCAGGTTCTTCATCCAAACACTGCCCACATCCCGCGTTCTGGGCCGATTTGTGACCTGAATCCCTGGCCTCTGTTCGGACTTGCCTCGGCGTCTTGTCCACCTACTAGTATCTCGCTTGTCGGCTCTCCTGTGCGTGCCTGTGTTGAGCTGCCGGTGGTCATATCGACGACCCCAGTTACGAGTGCCGATGTCCAGATACCCACACCCATGCGGGCAATTACCGTCGGAGTGCTTCACGCGCATGTGCAGGGCTGGGCCTGGGCTTGCAGCGCAGGATGGCCACGCATCCTGCCCGCAGGTGACTGCTCAGTTTGGGGGGTCCCGGCTCGCCGTAGCAAGATGGCAGTTATGTGATGATTCTAGTTGTATTGTACAAGAGAGATCCAAGTTCAAGATCAAGAAACAAGTTGCGTGCTGAGCCCCCCCTTTTCCACGGAAGACAATTAGCCGCACATGCGCTGCCGCCGTGGCTTGGTCCGTCTAAGTCACTACTGTACAGCCGATACGACCCTCCTGTCTTTCTTCGTCTATGCTGATTGATGGATAATCCGAGTGCGGGCGGTCGACAAGAATAGGATGCTCACATCTCGAATGGATGCTAAACGCCGACTTCGGGCCCAAAGCTTCCTTGCCCTGTCGTCGTCGTCGTCGTCTACGAGGGGCGCTTCTTGCCGATGTTCCAGCCCCAGGAACGGAGCACCTTGACGACCTTGGGAGTCACGGCCGCGGTGAGTGGCACCCGGATGAAGATGAAGCTCTTGTGAATGGCGTACGCGAGGGCGAGCTGCGTTGCCAAGCCTGCAGAAGACGCTCGCAGTCAGCATCGGGCCCGCGGATAGATCTCCGAAGCCCCAAGTAGACCGGGTCGGTGCAACGCCGAAGGTCATGTTGGAGGTTGTGGGGGGAGCGTGGGCTCGCAAGACTTACTCGCTTCCTCCTTGTTGCGCTCGCTGGCCTCCTCGACGCCCCAGCCGGCCATTTCGACCTTTTCGCTGATGCCGTCGTCGCCGAGCTTCTCCGTCTCCACGCTCTTGAGGGAGCTCCAGTACCTATGGGCCGCGTCCCGCACCGATTCGGGGACCCAGTGCTTTACCGACTCGACGACGTAGTGCTCGATCTTGCCTGTTGCCGTTCGCCGCAGAGTCAGCCAACCGCAAGTTCGAACAACACAAGACCGGTGGGTGGGGAGGGGGAAATTTGTTGAAGGATGCACGCACCGATGGTGTCGGTCCCGACGATGCGCACGAGGAGGAAGCAGAACGGAAAGTCGAGGACGCTCAGCGCCAGGTAGACGCCCACGGCGGACCAGCCGTACTCCTTGGAGAGCTTCTTGAGGCGCTGGCCCAGCGAGAGCTTCTCCTGCGGCTTCTCGCCGTTGGCGTTCCTCCGCCACGCCGAGAACCTGAAGCCGCGGCGCTGCGTCGTCCGCTGGCCCATGCCGGCGAAACTGAACGTCGTTCGCGTTGTACCTTGGCGTGCTGCCCCGGCTCTCAGCAGCGGCGCGGGTCTTGCGCCCTGCCGCTGCGCGTATCTCGCCATCGTCTGTGTGCCCTCCGAGCTGAAGAAGCGTCTCCAGGCGGCGTCTCGCGTGGGTGTCGCAATCGTTCGAGTAACGCCCCTCAACAGAGGGATGGCCCGCAGGCCGAGCATCGTTTGTAGCATGTCGGACTGCGCTCGTCGACAGAAGTCTGCCTCCCAAGCTCGTCAATCTTCCCAACGAGGCAGAGGAAGCTCAAAAGCCCCGTCTGTCCGTCCGTCCGTCCGTCCGTTATAGACCGATCGGGATTCGCAGGGATTCGGCGTCCGGAGCGGAGGGGGGCGGGCGCGGCTGCGTCAGACGGGATCGCCGGGCTATGGAGTTAGGCAAGCTCCCGTCCGGGGGCGAGGCATCCGTGCAGGGAGAAGAGAAGAAAGCGATGGAAGCTTTTTGCCGTGACCGCCGGGAGAGCCTCGTACATATCGCGGCTCGTGTGGTCAATTGGCCGGCGGCTGCTCACGTCGAGAGCGTGCGAAGCTGTGTGGTTTTTTGTGCCGCCCGGACGTCGTGGTGGTGGTGGTGGTGGTGGTGGTGAATGCAAGGATCGCTCAGAATGATGTAAAAGAGCCGCATCTCGGCATGCGACCACGCCATCTTTTTTTGGCAGGGGTTCGTCGCCACGCCACGCTTGAGCTTTGGGGAGCGCGGCGAGCAGCGAGGTCACGTGCCCCATGACGACGAGCTTCGCGATGCACGACGAACGAGGAAGGCACTTGATTGACAGAGCGACCGTCCACGCCTACGAGCGATGTGCAAAAACAGTTTGCGAGGCTGTTTCGAATACGAAACGTTGGTGGTTTTTTATGGGACTTTCTTGAAGAGTCGGGCCAATATGTTTGCTCAAGCGTGTTGTCCTCGGGCTTCCATCGACATGGCAACCAGAAACAACACCAATGTGAAGATGCCACGCTTCGTTCGCCGCGCTCAAAGACATCATTATTCTACGAGACGGAAGCGCTCAATCTTTTAAGCCAGCCACGTGTGGTTTCGATCGTTTCAGTGTGACTCAGGAGTTCACTTGGGACACTTCCATCCCGCAGGCACAATGAAGCTCCCGAATACAAACACCAACAGCCGCCATGTGTTTATCTGTATGGTCCGCGACTGACATGCGATTTTGAATGCCTATTATTTTGAGCAAATAGCTCAGATGCGAGGCTGATGCCAGTGCAGTGAATCATTCGTTGAGGCCAGGCGGGCGACCAATTGGTGCAGGGCTCCCAGTGAACAGCGCCTTCCCCCAGGCGCAGCTGCACGACAGCTGCCTCCGGTCTGTTCAGCGGCCGCCGGGCCAGTCGCGTGCCCTTGAAGGAAATTAATCTCGTGTGCATGCAAGTAATGAGAAAAAACTCGCCCCGAGTTTCTGCCTGACAACCTTACCCTTCCATCACCTCTCCTTCCCGTCCCCTCCCTCGCTCACCCCCAAACCCACCTCCCCGCGCCGCTCCAGGCCAGAAACATCACTACAGCCCGTCCGGATACACGATCCCTTGGGGATACGATGCCCTCGGCTTCGGTCTCCGACGGCTCAGTGCACCGAACGTCGGCAGTCTCTGGCGACCATCGTTTCTACCCTTCTCCCCCTCTCTTTTTGATCGCACGATTTTGACGTACCCAACGTCAACACGCTCTTTTTGGCGAGCATCTCTCTCTCGCTCTTCAGATACCCCGTTGCATCATCTTTGATTGCGTACAGCTTGTCGCAGATTGTCACTCCTCTTTTTTGGTTCTCCTTCTGAACTTTCGGCGGTCCGTTTGCACTCCACTCCAAGATGGCACGTCGAACCTACGGGAAGAAGAAGAGATCCCTCTTCAAGGCTTTGAGCTCACGCCGTCGTCGGCAATCAGCTACTGCCGCTCTCGTGGAAGATGGTCCAGGTATTTGGTCCCTTACCCCCCGCTCTGCGACCTCTGGGCTCTCGCTAAGACGTCCCAGGACATTCCGTGTCCTCAGCCATCTCTGCCCCTCGCGCCGCGACTGCCACTCGTTCCCGCGGAACTCGACACTCAAACAGCATCGACGAGATAGCCAGCGCTCTACTGGACGATACCAACTATCAGACGGACAACGGTGGTCGGGCCCCTTCCTCAAACCGAAGCCGGGCTCAGCTACCATCAGCCAGGCCCATGCCGATGACGACGAGCGCTTCTACCGGGCCAACTCTCGACAGGGTTCCCATCTCCCCGCTTTCCATGCACGCCGTTTTCGCGACAACTACGACGCCGGTCCCTCATCGCTCGTCGCCCTCACGCGTCGAGAAGACCTCCCCGCGAAAGCAGAGACGACAGCTGACCAAGAGGTCTTCCACCCGAAAGCGTTCAGGCTCTTTGAAGCAGAACAAGGCGACACGAGAGGCCGACTCCAGTGGAAACCCTGCGAAATCGCCATTCGATGACTCTCACGAAGAAAATAACGACGAGTCGGCCTTGGAACCATTTCCGGCCTTTGACGAGAACGCAGCCCCCTCACGACCGGAGCCAACCACCCACCATGGTATCGACGCTGACGAAATCGAACGAAAGGTCGCCGCCATGTTGGCGGCAACCGAGGCTCTCAAGCCAACGTCACCTCAGGCCAAAGGGACGGCTGCGTCCAAGGTCTCACGGATGGTTCCATCCGTGTTGGCCAAGATGTCAAACGCCTGGGACAAACTCAGCAGCAGACCATCCACCCCCGAAGCTACTGAAGCTGCTAAGATCCGAAAGGAAGGCATCAGACACAACCTGGGCGGTGTGGTTGCCTCGAGGTCGACCCCACACATACTGGCTCCGGCCGGTCGTGTTTCGATCGATTCCACGGAGCTGCGCCGTAACGAAGGTGCAAATCTGAACAAGAGAAAGGTTCAAAAGATTCTTGGAGCAAGTGTTGACTGCAAACTGACCTCCGATTCTCGCAAGTCCTTGCGGACGGACCAAGCAGTTGATGTTTCCGGCGGTGAGCCGACAGCTCCACAGGCCCCAAGCGATTTAGAAATCTGGCGAATGTTTGTCGAAATGGGCGAGACTGGCACCCAAGCACAGATGGGCACTCAGGCGTCCAACTGCCCTTTCGACTCCGAAGCGGGATTCGAGCAGAATCTCGAAGATAGGATCTTGAACACACAGCCGGCTGGATCCTCCACCCCTCGACCAGGTTCACCATGCAAGTCCGCCAACGCTCCTGGCACGCCTCGACCCGGCTCTCCATGCGAGTCCTCTGACGCGTCGGACTCAAAGTCCGCACACCTCTCTGGGGAGGAGAGTCTTGCATCGGATGTTAAGGTCAACCTGGCCGAAGTTGCTGTCAGGCTTGGAGACGATGAGGCGAGAGCTACGATTCGCCAGGTCAACGTGAAGCCGAGCGATTCCGCGAGAGGCGCTGCTTCGACCACGGGCAGCACCAACCGACGAGTCAAGTCGAACGTGCACAATCGCATCGACGCCATCAAGGGGGAGGAACGGCAGAAGAAGCATCCCTCTCCGAGCAAGCAAGAGCTGGAGGATCTTGAGCAGGCTCTTCAGTGGTACCTCACACTGGAGAACTCCGAGCAAGACCGTCATGTTGACTGATGAGTCAGGGTTCCCGAGTCCTCGAATCCCGCGACGCCGGTGCTTGCCGCCAGAGATCGTAACCGACTTATGCTCGGTCGCTCGTCGAGCCTTCGAGGTCCGGACCCGCTCGCTGAGCAAAGCCCGCTTTCTGTACGAGACTCGCGAATTCCACGCCCTGTACGAGTATCAAAACGACGCGCCAACATTCGGATGGCGCCCGCATTTCGGCCCACGGCAGCTCGACCCGGAGAGGTCGACGAATTGCTCTGACTGGAGAGCTCTGGAAATGGCCGAGCTGGGCTAGTGGGGTTGATGTTGCAAACGCCAACGCCCTCTTGGCCTGGGACTGCAATGCCTACCACTCATCTACACCTGGGGCGCTACAGCGCCTATCCGGGTACCACTCAGGCCCATCACTCTACGGAGAAGAAGGGCTCTTGTGTGTGTGTAGCAGGAAACCACAGCTCCAACTTGACTTATGGCAGATGCTAACCTTTTCCAGAATATTACGTGCGAGCCAGCAAATTGTGATTTGCTTTGAGATAATGCAGAATATGGTACATTTGGTACTATTAAATGCAACGCTTAAAGCTTTCTGATGAGGTCGGCATCATGGCATTACAGGTGTACGCCCTGGTGAGAGCGGGGTATAACATGTGTAGAGGGAGCCAACGCAGGCCGCTAGTCAGACAATATAACCCAGTGCGTGTGTGTCTCGTGTCGGTCATTGAGATTTGTGCATTTAGAAGAATCGGCGTCCGGCGCGGTGGGATCCGCGACCGTCGGTCCCGTGCATGCGGCGAGTGCCAGCAGCCTGTGATGTTGTTAGGTAGGCCGTTCGGGTGATTGGTGTTTGGGAGCGCGAGCAGCATACCTTGAGGCCGGGGCGGCGGGTCAGGCTACCCCTCAGCTTGGTGAGGGCGCCGCTGATCTTGTCCTTCATGGTAGGCTTGCGCTTCTGGTGGTGAACGGCGACACGCTGGCGGCGGGAGAAGATGCTGCGGCGGGGGGCGCGCGTCGTGGTGGTAGTTGTGTGGTGGTGATGGTGATGGTGAGCGTTGGCACGGCGGGTACGGCGTCCGGAGAACATGTTTGCGGTGTGTATTGGTTGGAAGTACTTTGAAGTAGGTGGTTGATGGGTGGGTATATGAAGTTGTTTGCGAATGCTTGAAGAGTCTCTGGGCTCTCTCTTTGTTTGTTTGAGTCTTGTTGTTTGAGTGGATTGATGATGAGGTTGTGGTCGGAACTCGGAAGTCTACGAGGGCTTATATACAGCGAGCGACAGTTCACGACTTCACATCATGCAGCCCAGCCAGGCCCAAGTTACGACATAGCTACTGGGGATGGAGGGAGGGGACCCCTTCGCTGTCAGTCAAGATGATGCCATGCAGGCGCGAAACCTGGCAGCGTGCCCTCACGAGAACTCTTGGTTCCCATGCCGATCACCAGGGTCCAGGCCTGCCTGGCTGGCTGCTTCGTAGGTGTGGGTGTGCGTGGTTCCTCCAGGTGGATGCCTTGGTGCGATTCCAAGGCAGAGGCGGGCCTGGGCGGTGGTCACCCACCCCATCCAGGAATAGAGGCAGTCGTCAAGAAAGGGCAGGAAGCGTTCACTGCGATGCTTGCGTGCTTGCAACCACGAGGCTAATCTTGGACAGAGAAGGGGACCTGCTGGGCTGGACTGGGCAGGATGCTGTATGCTGGATGCTGGATGGACCCTTGGCGGATGCCCTGTCACGAAACGGACGTCATTGGCAGGGGTGGCCGGCGGTGGTGATTGGGCAGTGGGGGGCAAATGTTGCCGTAAATGGGTGCCGGTGGTGGTGTGGTGGCTGCAGCCACAGGGACCCCTACAGGGCATCTCCCCAGCGCGGAAGCAATCCCCTGGGGCTGATGGTGGGCAGTGGCACTGGGGGTTGCCAGCCTGTGGCTGGGCGGTGATGTCATCTGCGGCGCACGCAGTTCGTACCAGCACTGGTAAAAAACTTGCGACAAGGCCAAACAGGCAGGGATGGACGACCTGCTGCGCATATCGAGATGAGGCAATCGGTCTCGAGTCCTTCGGTGTGTGGTGCATGCTGTACCAGAGAACGGTCGTCGTTGGTCGTCGACCGCGCGTTATCTGTCTTGGGCTCTTGGTATGACGTTCGGTGTGCGTGACCGCCTGGAGGGGGACTTCAGGGCGAGGTTGACGCACAGCTCCAAGCTGGCTGTTGTCTCTGCGAGTGGCCAAGGGGGCCCGCGGCCGAGACAGGTGACGCAAGTAGGCGGCCCTCGGAGGGCTGCGTCGAAACATGCTTGCCTCCCTCGATGCGACAGGGCATAACCGCTTGCCGCCATTCGGGCGTTCGCGAGAGAGACTCGTCCACGTCGCGAGGTCACTCACGAAGCAGCTCACAGACACACGATGAGGTGGATGAAGAAATAGTGACTTGACACGGTTGATGGAATACCACGAAATAGTTGGCGGAAGCCAGTGTGCCCAAATCCATGAGTCCGCTCCATTGAAAGATCCCAAGACAGTGCGTCCATCCGCTCCTTCCCGCCAAGCTCTTTCCCACGGCACCAAGCCCAGTAACGGGAATACCTACACGCTCCAGACCGAGAGCCCTGCCCACAATGCCTGAAACCGTAAACCCCATCTCCAACGTCTGCAAACTTAAGCACCGCCACCGCCGCCGCCGAGAAGGCCGCCGAGGAGACCGGTGACGATGTCGAGCTGTCGCTTGACCATCTCCATGTCGCTCATGGGCCGGGGAGCAGAGTTGCGCTTGGCCTTCCAGTCCTCGTCGTCGTCACCACCACCGATGTGGCCCAAGCCAGCACCGCCGAAGGGGCTGCCGTCGATGACGCCGCCGCCAGCTCCAGCGCCGGAGTCGTCGCCGAGAGAGCCCGCGCCGCCGAGGAGGTCGTCACCGAAGACACCACCGCCGGCACCGGCACCGCCAACGCCGTCAAGGTTGCCCTGTCGCTTCATCAGTCCACCAACGGGAGAGCCGCCGACCGGGGCGCCGCCGACGGGGGAACCGCCAGCAGCACCGCCAACGGGGGCAGCGGGACCACCGGGCAGGCCGCTGGCGGAGTCGTCGCCGGGGAGGCCACCGGGGAGCTCGTCGTCAGCGGCAGGAGGGGACGGCTGCTGCTGGCCGGTGAGGCCGCCGAGTCCCCCGAGAAGGCCGCCGAGTCCGCCGAGCTGGCGCTTCTCCATGTCGGTCATCTCCATGCGCTTGTTGATGACGCCCAGGAGCTTGGTGAGGGCGTCGAGCTGTCGCTTCTCGTGCTCCTCCATGGGCTCGCCCGCGCCGGCCTTCATCATGAGGCCGAGCATGCTCTTGGAGTCGTACTTGCTGTCGGTGGCGGGCATGCCGTTCTCCTTGGCCATGTTCATGTCCATGGGCTTGGCACCCTCGCTCTGCATGGCGAGGGCGCTGCCGGCCAGGGCGGCGATGATGGTAGCAGCACTGCTGAACTTCATGATTGCCGAGTTGGACTGTGTATAAAGGAGTGACTGTGGTGTGTGTTATCAACAAAAATGGCTCCGGAGTGGTGCCAGAGAGACGGCGATGGGCGTGAGAAAGGCAATGGAAAGGACAACGGGAGCTACTCTCATCTCTCAGTACCCGACCGGGCACCACATTATATACTTGCCAAGCCCAGCTTGTCTATCACATTGTCTGGCATCCGACGCGATAGACTCGTTCTGCCCTCGAGCCTATCAAAGCAGCGGATGGTTGCGAAACGTCTGCCCCGTTGCGCCAACGCTTCAGCGCGGGCTGGCATCGAATTCCGGCCGTGAGCCACATCTCAGAATTGCGATCAGCCCAGGAGAGAAGGGAGAGGCGACCCTCGCGACCTGAAAGCCCTCGCTCGCCCAGCGCCGTGCAGGAATTCCGGGTCGTGGCATCTGAGACATCGACGGCTCGGGCGGGCGCGCGGCGTGTTTTGGGAATGCGAGATGCGCCCATCCCTCGTCGATCAGGGCAGCATATTGGCTCTGGATTCGCAGAGTCGGCGGCGAAAGGGCCGTTTGCTGGAAATTGTGTCGCAGCGTCGACGCGACGCGCCTGCGGCGTCTGCTATTTTGCGTGCGCGACTTTGAGGGTCAGGGGCCAGGATCGCCTCCCATGCCTGCCGTTCTTCGCTCGCTGCACGAAACGTTAGCGTTCCCGAATGCCAAGAGGTCGGGGAAGCATTCCGTGTGTGGTGCGGTGGCGGGCAAGAGCCGTGAGAGAGGCGTTGGTGGTCAGGGGCATGACGTGATGAGACGCTCGTTCCTGTTGTTTGTGGCACACCGGACACGCGTGGTAGATGGCGGTCTGTACTGCTCGTCCTCGGATTGGACAAGATTATTCAAGAGGTGAGGCCAGAGATTCGACAGAAGCGAGGACCGGAATCACGATATCCAAATTTCTCGCTACATTTTACACACAGAATGCTATCTGTCGGTGGTGTCAGCTGCATGTGTCCATTGCCGTCACGGCTCTCGGACAAGAAACAAACCTAGGACCGCATGTTGGCCTTGATCTTGGCGAGATCCTCCGGCGACAAACCCAGGCCCTTGACGACGTACCCGTCCCAGCCGCCAAACTCGTCCTGCAGGCCCTCGAGGAATGCGGCCCAAAACTCGGGCCGCAGACTGATGAGGTCGACGAAGCCCGGCGTGTCGGGGTCGGTGACGCCCACGGTGGACATGGCAAAGTGCAGCAGCTTCTCGCGGGCGGGCTCCGTGCCCACGCGCGAGAGCATGTAGTCGCGCGTGGCCACCTCCGGAGGGGAGCCGGCGAGGTGGTGGAGGAGCCCGGCCATGACTCCGGTGCGGTCACGGCCAGCTAACGATGATGGAATACCAGGCGTAAGCAGTCAGTCAGACACTACGGGCTTCACATGTCTCTCCTCTCCCCCCAAAGACAAACGCACCGGTGCAGTGAAAGAGCACGGGCTCCTCCGGGCGGTCGCGCACATGCTCCAGCACGGCGCGGATGATGGGGCTGTAGCTCATGGCGACGCTCATGTACTGCGTCCTCCAGGCGGGGCGCCCGCCGTCGACGGCAAAGTCGGCGAGGACGGGGTCCGGGTAGCCCTCCTGGCCGTCGAGCCAGACGTTGTCGACGCCGGGCACGTGGGGGTCCGGGGCGCGCTGGCGCTCCCTGGCGAGGCGCATGTCGAAGACGCGGCGGACGTTGGCGGCGACCCAGGCGAGGGCGTCCGGGTCGGCAGCGGCGGCGTCCATGACGCCCGAGCGGTAGAAGCGGCGCGGGGGCACGGCGCTGCCGGGCACGGCGCCGACGTCGCGGAAGTTGATGAGCGAGCGGGTGGGGATGAAGGGCGGCGAGGTGAGCGCGGGGAGGAGCGCCGCGGGGGGGATGGCCTCGCGCACGTCGGTGGCGGCGAGGGCGTCGAGCTCGGCCGTGCTGAGGGGCGCCATGGTGACTGACTGTGATGTTTGTCACTGGTGATGGTGGTGTTGACGGCCTTGTTGCTGGTGAGCCGCACCTCGAAGGCGTTGCCAGGGGGTGCAGGGATAGTTGGATTGATGATTGGACTATGATCTAGCAGTCCCCTTTTTCGTGGTACAGCAATAAGTCACGGCGCTTTTCTGTCAGAAAATACGAAGCCCGAGTAACTAGTTCACTAATAGGCAACCCGGATGTTTGTCCAAAGCCCGCCCCCCTGCCGGGGACCATGAGACTTAAAGGGGGGATTCAAGCAATCAAGTGGGCTGACCGCGCTACGGCCATTGCTTGTCTGGGGAGGACTCAGGGGTCTCAGAAACCAAGCAAGCTGAACTGCCCAAGCAACCCGCTCATTCTCACTGCCGTTTTGCTGCTGGAGCGCTCAACAATCTGTTCCGGTGGATGAGTGAGTATCCATGCGTTGCGTATGCCGCCGACGTCTTCTGGCCTGATGGCCGGACGACGAGGACGGGGCAGTCAGTCCACGTTGTTTTGCGCGGCCTTTTGTCCCACTTACTTGCTGGGGGCGAAACGTCCCAACGCGGGGGTGGTCATTTACACGGCTTAACCCGCTCCTCTACTCTTTACGATTTCTGCTTGGTGAATGGGAAGAATATGTAGGGCACGTAGTGTCGAGCGCGTCCGTCAGCCATGGCGACGACGGTCACCAAGAATTGACGCATTTGGACGACCTATCTGGCAAAACTTGACCGTGGAAGAGAGCTCCCCGGCTGCTCGGCCTGTATGATTCACCGAGCCACGACGGCCCATGCCAGATCACAATCCACAGTCCAAGAGTCCAAGCACACGCGGGTATCTCCTCCCAGAGACTCGGCACCTCTTCCAGGCTGTTTTTGCTTGATGATCGCGAAGGTGGTCAAGGCTCTCATCATTGTGAACCTCGGTGACCATTGAAGGCATTTGTTCGCCGTGCCTGTTCCACGAACCCAACACACATGCCTACAGTATTGTCATCGTCGGCGTGATTATCTGCCCGCCGCACGAGACTTGATCCCGGCCAGTAGACGAGTAGTAGACTATGCAGCCACGGCTGTCCGCCCTGTCCCGGCACTGCAGCGGTCGACGACGTTAGCACTGGCGGCGGAGGAGCATCCGGGTGTCTGGCAGAGGGGGTGTGCACTCACCGGTTCCTTTGCTGGGCAGCGGTAGGAGACTGGGTGCGCCCTGATGGACCAACCGCTGGTGTTGGACGAGTTTTTGTTCTCCTGGAACGGTTCGAGTATATCGACGTCGCAGCGCTGGGTCGACGGGTCGCAGACCTACAGCCAGGGAAGGGCTGCTGTCAGTGCCTTTCTCTGATTCATTCATGGTCGCCTGTTGCGAGGTTGTCGCATTCCCTTCATGGGGCATTGGGCGGGCTTTTACGTACGCCGTAGAGCACCGCGTTGTTGTTGCGCTCATCCGCGATGCGCCTCGCCTCGCCTCGTCCCAGACCGGTCTTGATGACTTTGCCCACGTGGGCAGCCGTCCCGTCGGTGGCGGCCGCGCCCCTGGCGAGCATGTAGGCGCAGAGAAGGAGCTTGGCGTGCATGATCCAGGATAGGATAGTCGACAAAACACAGGCGAGGATAAACAGCCAGTCCGGTAAAAGAAGGGCACAAGAGCGGTTAGACAGGCAGAGATGGCAGTGACAGATTGGGCGAGCTCCAGCGCGGTATATAGTTGTCTACGTTTGTGCCACTCACTCCGGTGGGCTGCACTCTGGAAAACGTCCCCGCGGGTCGTCTCTTATTAATTCAGTTGCCGAATCGTCGCACGCGCCAACCTGTTTCCTCCTGGCGACATGTCCCGCCGTAGCGACCAGAAGCGGCGCACAGGCCCTTTTCACGTAATGACGACGGGCGAGTACTGTCTATGCGCAAGAGAGTCCCCTTGACGTGCCGCCTGATGCCCCATGCAGTGCTGGATGGGTGATGAGCGTGCCCAGTGCCCGGAACCAAAGTGTCGTTTTGGGGATTGTCGAGTTTCATGTATGTGCGCGCACAGGATGTGCTACTGCTGCGGTAAGCCCCTCTAGCGGCGACTTGCCTTATAGACTGCAGTTTTAGCTGCTTAAACTTTTACCTGTACCTTTCTATGATAGACTGTGCTTTTGCCTGCTCAAACTTTTACCTGTACCTTAATGTGGGAGATTGCGCTTTTACCTGTACTTACTTTTACCGGTACCTTTGTGTGGGAGATGGGGGTTTTACCCGTATATACTTTTACCTGTACCTTTCGGTGAGAGATTGGGGTTTTACCTGTACCAACCTTTACCTGTACCTTTGGGTGAGAGATGGTGGTTTTACCTGTACGCACTTTTACCGGTACCGTCCCCCCTAAAAATGTACTTTTACCTGTACCTCTTTTTACCTGTACCTTCCCCGCTAGTTTTGTACTTTTACCTGTACCTACGTTTACCTGTACCTTTCCCGCCAGTATTGTACTTTTACCTGTACCTTCGCCGCTAATGCTATAGTGCTTTAGACGGATCGATATTGATAGTATACCTTGCCTGCTATATAATGGATTGTCTTTCTTTGCTATGGTATAACGTGCGCTGGGTAGGGGAGCATTAAATGGCAACAAAGTCGCGTGTCGGCGCTGGCATGGTCTGTCCGTCCGCCCGCTCGCCGAATGCACCTTCGCTCCGGCACCATTCCTCACGGCGGAGCGCCGGACCGGACCCGGGCTCGGCTATGCATGCGGCTACCGTTGCCCGCACGAAGAGACGGAGGGAATTGATACGCTCGAGCAGCGAGGGACTTGGTCGATTTCAAGCAGCAGCAGGGCTGCATGGACTGCAGCTTTCTAAACGATGGTGATTCCCGGGGAGCCCGCTGGGCTACTGTCCCCGTCCCTCCGGATCCGCAACCCTCACTCCTCGACAGAGTCATCAAGCCCCGATTCCCCTGTCCCAGTCACGGCCAGGTCTCCGCAGCCAGAAGAGCAATGCCCAGTCTAAGCAGCCGCCTCTTCCCCGTCCTCAGGAGTCAGCGCTCACTTCAGAGACGCATGCCGCACGTGATCCTCTCATTGCCGTTGCATCCCGAGAGCTCGCAGTACCTGCCACCGTTGTCGTCGCGGCACTACAGCGGTTGAAAGAGAGAATGTCAGCAGGCGCAACGACAAGAAACGTCGCTTCTTGGGTGGGGCGGAAGGCACTGACCGGGCTGTCCTCCGGGCACGGGTAGTACGCGGTCGTTTCCTGGGTGGCCCAGCCGTGCCGTCTCGAGTTGGGGTCCACAAACACGGGCTTCATCATCGAGATGGCGCAGTGCTGGTTCGAGGTCAGGCACACCTACGGGCACGGAGGAAAAGCGCGGGGTTAGCCTCATTCTCTGATTCATAAAAGTCGCCCCTTTCGCAAGTGGCTGGCTTCGCTCGCTCGCTCGGCGACAGGGCTTCACGTACCCCCCTGATGACCTCTCGGCTGTTGTACCGCTGCGACCTGCGCGTCGCCTCGCCCTGGGTCAGGCCGCTCTCCACGATTGCCCTCTCGTGGAGAGTCATGTCCGTGGCGTTGGTGGCGACGGCGGCGGCGTCGACCGCCCTGACGAGCATGTAGGCGCAGAGGATGAGCTTGGCGTGCATGGCGTCGGATGTTTCGAGAAGAAGAGATAAGAGCGAGAATAGACGGCAGTCGGCCCGGAGTCACAGAATAGCAACGAGATGGACAAGAATGGCAGAGATGGCGGTGCTGGGGTTATCTCCAGATTGCTATATGGGGAGACGGCCGCAGACTTATCTACTTTTTGCGTATGCCATTCCTGCGGTTTCCATTATACTATCAAGACGTAAAAAAACAGCTGCCTGTCGTTCGTCGCCGAAGCATCACAAACCAGTGAAGCCGACCCTGTGGTTGGTCTCTAGTACGGCGCGCTGACGATGATGAGAAGGCTACAGCCCGCGCCCTTCACGTAATGAACGGAGAACCGTTGTCTAAGTGAAGGCAATCTTCTTCGGCCGTGCCAGACGCAAGGGAGAGAAACGCTTGTTGGGAAGTTGGACCGTTGGCACGGCGTCGGAGAGACCGCGGCTCTGCTTGACCGGTGCCTGGCGCATCGCGACGATGGCACAGTGGGCCACGGGGCGAGTTGACATATATCTTTGACAGCACCGGCGTGCCCGATAGGGGCTTGCCGGCACCTTATATAGAAGGGACGCTGGCGGGCTTCGTCGGCCGTGCCCTGCGCCTGGGGACGATTGCGCGGGGTGCCTCGAGCAAGGTTTGTTTGAGGTTGCCACGTCTTACATGGCAGAGGTGTTGGTGCTGGGAGTCCGTTGGTCTTGCCTCCCGCACAGAGGACAGTCTCCAGGTTCACAGAGTGGGTTTCGTGTTGCAATGTGTCAGTGTTTCAAGGCATTGGGGATTCTACATGGGCGGCGCGAAGAGCAAGAGTCTGTGCCAGTTGTTCTCTTGAGACACTGTGAAAGGCTCGGCCGGTCAGCTGGGCAGCCCCGGGCGTGTTGTTGGACGTGAACGTCAAGTACGGCTGCCCGTTAATATTACATATTAATGCCGCAATCGCCGTGTGAAGAACGGATATCGTGGGGAGATGGGTCCAGAATAACACCCCCGCGTCTGGAGCACAGTCCGTCCGTTCGTCGCGTCTTCATCTTCACATCGTCTCCCACGGTGCAGTGTCAGGCCCAAACTCGATTCTCCATCGCCCAAAAGAGGCCATCCGCGACTTAACTTTCTGTCAACATGAACCAGCCTTACAGCCCTAAATGCTTGCCCTATTTAATACCGCCAACTGCTCATGCCTCATCCATGTATGTAATGGCTACGTACAAGTATTGGCAACTTGGAATTCAAGCCACCCAGCGCCCTGGTGGCGGGGACCCTCGAGTCGGAAGCTTGGGGCGGCAGATGGACCGGCCCGCGCGCCAGAGGCGTTCCGTCTGAGGCGGCTGATTCAGGCGGTAATTGACAGGTCCCAGACACACCGCAACAACTCAATTCGTCGTCACAAGTTTATTAGCGGCCGGGCCTAGCGATATCGGCTCGGCTTGAGACGTCCATTATCAAGAATTCACCACCACCTCGCTCTCCGCCCTATCAACGACGACAGACAACGCCGCGACAGCGTCAAAAGTCAGGATTCAGGAACCAGGACGCAGGGTCGAGGCGCACAGCGGTCACGACTCACGACAGGCCCCTGGGACGTCAATTGGCCCTCCCGTCGCCCCCCCCTTGGCCATCCTCGTACAACACTTCCCAAGCATTGACCGGACTTGGTGCGACTCGAACGGCCCAATGTTTTCCACGCCGCTGCTCCGGTGGGGAGCCCTCTTCTCCGTCGCCGCGGCCGTGGCCCTGGCCTTTGCGCTGCGCCTCCAGCAGCAGCAGCAGCAATTGCCGCCGCAGTTTCCCCTCGCAGACGTTCACTCGGCGCCCTCGTCCTCCGCGGGCGGTGGTGATAAGGGCAGCACGTACTGCTACGGCAGCGTGCGGACCCAGGACGCCGACCGGCCGGCCGCGCGGTGCTTCTCCGTGCGCGACGGCCGCTTCTCCCGCATCTTTGCCGATGAGGTCGAGGTGACCGAGGCCGGGGCCGGGGCCGGAGCCGAGTCGTCGGCCCAGGGCCCGGACGGCACCACCGTCGTCGTCCATGACGGGCACGTCATCCCCGGCCTGTGGGACGGCCACGGCCACCTGCTGCAGTACGGCCAGCTCCTGCACTCGGTCGACCTCTTCGGCTCCGCGTCGCTCGACGAGGCGAGGGACCGCATCGCCGCGTATCGCGCCGCCAACCCGGGCGCCGGCACAAAGGACAACTGGATCCGCGGCGTGGGATGGGACCAGGCTGCCTTTGGCCACATGCCCACGGCTGTAAGTCTTTTTCACTCCTCGCATCCGTATATAATATACGTGTGTGTATATACATACAGGTATGGAGATGGTATGAGGAAGACAAGCCGCTGACACCTACTCCTGCCGCCCAGCAAGACCTCGAGGCCGACGCCCGCCTCGCCGGCGCCTACATGATGCTTGACCGCATCGACGTGCACTGCGCCTGGGTCTCGCAGGCCGTCCTCGACCTGCTGCCCGCCGACGTGCCCGACGTGCCCGGCGGCGAGGTCATCCGCGACCCGGGCATGGGCGTCTTCTGCGACAACGCCATGGACCAGCTCGTCGCGCTGTGGCCCGCGCCCTCGCCCGACGCCAAGGCCCGCGCCGTGCGGACCGCCCTGCGCAGGCTCAACGAGGTCGGGCTCGTCGGCATGCACGACGCCAGCTCCACGCCCGCCGACCACCGCATGTACGCCGCCATGGCCGCCGCCGGCGACGGGGCGTGGACGGTGCGCGTGTACGCCATGCTGGAGTGCGAGAGGAGGAACACGTTCTGCCTCGACGATGAGAATGATGGTGACGGCGATGGTGGTGATGGTGGCGACGACAACGCCCTCCGCGTCGAGCGCGACGACGACATGTTCACCGTCCGCAGCGTCAAGCTCTTCGCCGACGGCGCCCTCGGCAGCTGGGGCAGCGCCATGCTCGAGCCCTACGCCGACCACCCCTGGAGCTCTGGCTCGCTCCTCATCAACGCCTCCGACCTCACAGCCGTGACCAAGGCCTGGGCCGCCGCCGGCTTCCAGGTCAACATCCACGCCATCGGCGACCTGGCCAACCGCAACGCCATCGCCGCCTTTGAGGCCGCCCTGCGCCAGCAGTGCCCGGAGGAGGACGACGCCGTCGACTCCGAACCTCCCAACTCCGCCTCCAACTCCAACTCCGATCGCAACGGCGACGACCAAGACGCCGCCGCCGCCCTCCTCGCCCGCTGCCAGGCCCTCCACCACCGCTGTCTCTTATACACATCTAGATGTGTATAAGAGACAGCTCCAACTCCGATCGCAACGGCGACGACCAAGACGCCGCCGCCGCCCTCCTCGCCCGCTGCCAGGCCCTCCACCACCGCTTCCGCATCGAGCACGCCCAAATCATCCACCCCGACGACCAGCGCCGCATGCGCGCCCTCGGCATCATCCCCTCCATCCAGCCCACCCACGCCACCTCGGACATGAAGTACGCCCTCTCCCGCCTCGGCCACCTGCGCGCCGACACAGAGGCCTACCGCATGCGCTCCCTCCTCGACATGGGCCTGCCCCTCGTCCTCGGCAGCGACTTCCCCGTCGAGCCCCCCAACCCCTTCCACGGCATCTACGCCGCCGTCACCCGCAAGAGCCCCGCCACCGGCCGAGGCCTCGACGGCAGCGAGCAGGGCTGGCACGTCGACCAGGCCCTCTCCCTCGACGACGCCCTCGCCGGCTTCACCACCGGGCCGGCCTACGGTGCGTTCCTCGAGGGCAAGGCCGGCACCATCCGGGAGGGCGCCTTTGCCGACTGGGTCGTCTTGGACGAGCCCCTCGGCGAGCCCGACGTCGAGAAACTACGGACGCTCAAGGTTCGGGAGACGTGGGTCGCCGGCAAAAGAGTGTATGCCCGCGATGAGCAATGACCGACAGAGAGCGAGGTGCCTTGTAAGGAACCAGTAGACCAAATTGGCGTAGAGGTGCAAGAAAATGATAGAACGTTAATACCCCTTGATGCTGTCCTCCGATCCCGTGAGTCCGTCAGCGTTCGGCACGAACCAGCCATCCCATCATGTGAGCAACGCACTCAGAGTAAGGTTGTAGATGATTGCATTATGTGTGACAACTGTCAAGAAGGGATAATCTACACTCTCAGGTCCCGCAGCTTCCATGGGTATCCGGCCCGAAACGGATAAAGAATAGCAACGCCGACGCCAACCACGCATGCGAAGACTTCGCTCGTGAACGCCCGTCTTTATAGCGGGCCCATGCTTTGAACAACACACTTGCTCGTTTTCGAGCCAACGCGCCTTCAATCCCTAACTATGCACTTTTGCTCGAACCACTTGGCAAACTTGACAGTGGGAATGTCCACGGCCCGCCAAAAGACGTCTGCCCACCAAATCACCGTCGGGATGCAGAACAACGACCCAAGCACGAAGCCCGTGTTGTACCAGTATCCCTGGACGCCGGTCACGCCGTAGGCCCACTTCTCCCAGTGATAGCCCACCGTGTGCATCGCCGGTCCGTGCATGAGATATAGAGCGTAGGAGATTTTGCCAAAGTACTGGACCACAGGCGTGTTGAAGAATCGCTGCCACCCTCTCGAATGTCCCACAGCAAGGACGAAGACGACGGCGCCAGTCGATTGCCAGTAGCGGTATTTTTCTTCTGTCCACCACTTTGGGATCAGGGATGACAGGTACACCCAACCAGGAGTAATCTCGCCGCGGCCATCGGGCTGGCACATGAGGTACAGTCCGAGGATGCTGACCAGCATCCAGAACATCCTCTTCCAAAAAGGCCTGCGAGGGCCGAGAGCAAGTTTCTCGTCGACGGGCAGCGAGGGCGTGGGCGTGTGGGCGCCGCGCACGTGGTCCCACTCAGCCAGCAGCATGCCGCAATAGAAGAGGAAGAGTTCCCATCGAGAGTGACGATAAACAAAGCACATGATGGCGCCAACGACGAGAAACCGCAGCTTCGTCTGCAGTCGAGCCGTGCCAATAATGACCAGGAACAGGTAGAGAGAGCATCGAAACTCGACGGGAATAGTCCATAGGTGTACGTCGTAGGCTGTCGGGAAGTTAGTATACGGGATTCCCCTGCCATTGGCTTTGATTCTTACAAGTGCTTCCACCAAACTTATCCCAGCCAAACACGTGGACAAATCTGAACATGTGAATAGCCCAGTCTCTGTACTGCGCGTACGCACTCTCCATCCTTGCGGGATGCGGTTCGACAATGATCTTCATGTACGTTCGGTCGTTGGCAAACTCTCGGGTCCACTCGTACGCTCCGATTCTCAGCAGCCCAATAATCATGAATGTCGAGATTGCCGTCGGGAGATAGAGGCGAATGCCCCGGCGAAACACGAGGGAGCTCATCGTGGTGGAGAAATCGGCAAAGGACCGGCTGCGGATGAGCTTCAGCGGGCGGTAGGACAGGGCGTAGCCGGAAATGACGAAGAAGACGCAGACGGCTGGCGGTCCTTGGTACCAAAGTCGAAGGAACGGGAGCTTGAGGATGTGGTAGTTGGTCGTATCACAACCCCAACCCTCAGCAATAACGAAAGCTTGGTAAAAGTAGTGGCAGAAGAAGACGAAGAGGGCAGCAAGGCCACGCATGCCATCGAGATAGGCGGTCGGGGACAGCTTCGCCGGGCATATTTGCTCCCTCGCATGGCGGCCTTGCAAGAAACTGGGCGTTAGGAAGACAAAGGTGCGAACAATTAGGCTGCGCCAGAGAGTCAGGCGTAGGAATTCGGAGGGAACGGCGGCGAAGGAGGTGTATGAAGGCGGCTTTGCGGAGTCAAAGATTGGGCGGCTTTCGACGTCGACAGTGGTGCTGCCGCTGCCCTCGCTCTCGACATCCGAGAGCGTCCGCTCGTCGAGGAGGCCCATCTTCTCCTCGTGGGAGAGGCTCTGCCTCGAGGCGGCGTGTCCGTTCATTGTCCAGCAACAAGACGGACCATGTGAGGGCACCGGAAGATTAGAAGTCGGAAAAGACAGAATGGACGGAAAGAACGGCTGTGCAAGCTCAAGAGGCTGGGTAAGCCTGCAGTGTTTGGCCGTTGCTTTGTTTGTCGGCGGCGTGTGGGCGATGAAGGGAGGTGGTTCGGGTCGATCTGCTCGACGCAAGCCTTCGTCGGTGTCACGAGTGGACGACCGTAGGACAGGTCGATCTCAGAGCCGACAGATTCGAACCGAGCGAGCGATGGCTTGCCGGGCAGAAGGTGTCGCAGGAGATGGCGGGTCAAACAACAAAGATCCCAAACCGGGAAGAGGGCGGGAATGGAAGGAAACAACGACGGAAAGGAAGGCAGGCAGGCGATCCAGCGATGATCCAGGCCCCTGGGAGGAAGGTAGGTCAGAGAGTTTGGAATCAGACGCGGCTAATCGACACGCGATCGGTCAGCAGGAAGCAACAACCCATGTACAAAGTAAAGGACCGAAGGGGCTCGCGGGAACAAGACGCAGCACAGCCCGGAGTGAGAGCCGTGCTGCAATAAAAAGAAAAACACTGAAGAACACGAAGAAAAAAGAGAGTTTGGCGAGCGCACGAACCTTTTGGCAGCCCAGCCCGGCTGAGCTGTCGTTAGCCGTGCTTCGACGGGGAGGGGGGGGCGTCGAGGGTATCGAGCCTCGACACCTGCCCGTGGCCGCGACGTCGACCCACGGTCTCGGAACGCACTGGCAAGCCCGCTGAAAGTGTATCCGATGCCCAGGTTCGGCGGTGAGGCCGGGTTCGATTGGCTGGGCGGGTGCGGCACCCCTGTCGGCAGACCCTGGCTCGTGGAACGGGGAAGCGGGCCCCGGGGGGCGCTTTCCAAAGTTACAACCGCAGGCGAGATGGAGATGGAGATGGAGATGCGCGGTCCACAGCGCACACCTCAGGTATACGAAGCGAGGCCGGTCGTGCGGCCGTAGTACCTTCCACAAGCACACCCGGCGTTCGAGAAGCACCTGCTGGTATCGGTACGCACGCAACCGCTCGATGGGGTACGCGCGCACAGGATTCCGGTACTCGCTCTCCTTGCGTACGCACCTGCAAGGGCAGGTACGATTGACCGCACAAGGTTCAACGGCGGCATGCGCGGCTCTGGAAAAGCAGGTGCCGTACCTTCCTGGAATCCTGGACGTCAGGATCAGGCAGTTGGCTCCTGCCACCTCTGCCACGCCGCAGGCGCACCTGCTGCAGGTCCCTCTTGGCTCCTTCCCGGCCGGTCGGCGGCTGAGTGATGTGCGAACCTTGCGTTCGGCTTCCCGGCCTCCCTCGCGTGACACCAATCTTGGTCCGAGTTTCGGCTGCGTCACAGGACGCCGGGGTGATACCAGGGCGGCTACCGGGACTGCGCTGATCTCTCCTGCGCCGAGTGGTAGTCGCGGAAGACACTTTCCTTGTGCGGTTTGGGCCAGCGCCAGTCGTGGCCTTGGACGGGTTTGTTTTGTGTAAATCTGCGGCGATGCCCGATCTGTCACGGGCTCGGTCGGCTCTGGCTTTATGTCGAGCACAAGAACCAAAAATCGTCCGGTGCGTTGGCCGTCGTGCAAAGTAGAGGGTGGTGATGTGGTGAATCAGCCAGACGGGCCAGCCGCAGTAATCTGGATTAGAGACGACAGGGTGGTCGGGGAAAGAGAGCACCACCGTCGTCGCCGAGCCTGAAGTTTGTCGAGTCGCACAGGCGAGAGAGCCCCTGGACGTCCAACGGGCGTTGGTGAACTCGGGGCACTCAATATGAAGGGTCAACGCGGAAAGAGGGCAATGGCCTGCCCAGCTGCTCTCCAGCCATCACGGGACTCTTGGCTTACGTTCACAAGCGACTCACTGAACAAAGGCGCCGAGGGCGCGCATCTAGTCCGCAGGTGCAGATCGCCCCGGGGCTGCCACTTCGTTTAGAAGGCCGGAATCCTATGCATTACGCGCCCAAAGATGGATGGCCGACGATCAGCAACGTGCGCCTTGGAATGGTGGGTAGGGGGCGCCGTATGGGCGATGGGGCGGCCCTGGCAAGCCTGGGGCACCGCGGCGTGGTGGTGTACGGGCTTTGACGGGGATGGTGCACATGCTCCACGAAAGGAGGTTCGACAATTGTTTCGGCGCTGATTAGTATTTGCTCCTGCCGTGTCTTGCCGTTGTGCCATGGGCTTTTGCAGTTTGCGATGGCTTTGCCTGCGTCGTCGCTCTCCCTTCTCGGCCGACCGGGCCGGTCGATGCCCGACGGAGCAGTGCTTGCTGTCGTCATGCGCATTCCCAGGGCCGGCAGTGAGACCGTGCGGCAGTTGGCGGGAAAGCACGCGACCAAGTCCTGTCTCGTCTGCATACCAACAGCGGGCAGCCGCTGCAGAACCGCCACGAGCCCCCCTTTCCTTGCAGGTTACAGGTTGGCAGGTCCGCTGCCGCTTCACCGGGTGCTTTAGCGCCAGGACGCCTGCCAGTCCCCCAGGGCGCTCTGTAAGGTACCAGTACCCAAAGCGGCCAAACGCCCGTCACCCGCACCATGGCCTGGGCCCCCAGGGGTTCTGCTCCGGTAACCCCCCCAAAGCTTGTCTTGACTCTTGATGGACCCCCCGCCACCACGCGCCCACGTTTCAACATGTCCATCCTCTGGCAGTCCCCGTTTCCACCCTCCGGTTCTGCAAGCACTACCTACGAGTAGAGCCCCATGCCGCGCCGGCGCCGTCGTTCCAGCGCAAGCCCCCCCTTCTGCCGACCCACACGCGAGCCGATCGTGCTCTCGCCTGACGCTTCCGGCCATGATATGCACCGACCCTCGGCGTGCCTCGGAGCCGGGCCCTGCGCTCGAACTGAGATGTGCTTCTGACGCGGGCGATGCGGCGGCGGCGGCGAGCCGGGGTTCAGGCAGGCAGGAGTGCGCTCCGGCCGCTTCGTGCCCGGCGACGGCGTCCGCCGGTGCTTATTGCCGGTGTGTACGACGCCCACCGGCGTCGGGGCTGAGTAGGCAATGTCTCGAATGGCATCCCGACGATGCACCTATCCGGGCTGCCCAACGTATTGCGACGATGAGAAAAGAAATGTCGCCGCCCGTGGCAGCTGCAGGGCCGTCACATCTCGGAGCGGCTTGATGCGTGCGTGCCGCCAAAAGATGCAGTTTGCTGGGCATCGCACCCTGTTGATGGCATGGAGCTGAACCCTCTGAACGGTCGTCATCGCGACACGTAGTTACGCCCTGGCTGGTGTCACGACAGAGTTTGCCTGCACGTTCTTCCACAAGCATGTGTTTGCCCCTTTGCATGACCAGACCAAGGGATGCTGTTGTCGTCGACATCGCCACTGTACCACTACCAACGGCCATGCCTGACACACTTTCATAAGTCGAGTGCGTCGTACGAACGACTACAAAGCACAATTGTCAGACACGCGGGGCCTACAGCGAAGATCAACAACGTTCTGAGTATACCCCCGGGCCCCAGCAGTAGACTCATCCTCTCACAAACATTGCTGCAGCCAGCCGCCATGATTGCGTGCCCGTCTGACCCTTTCACCGCTTCCCTCGTACGCCCCTGACACACAGCCTGACTACCCAGGCAAGCCAGGGGGCCAAGAGCGCCGATCGAGGCAGTGTTCTCGCCAACCTGCCCATGTCATAGGTATTGCCAAGATGAGGGCCGTCTGGGGCCTTGTGCGAACTCAATCTTGCATAACAGTGGAGATGCCGCGGAGAGATGCATCCAGTCCCAACCCATCGTCGTGGGCCGCGGCCGGGCGGCGCAGCGCCATGAACGACGCACGTAACACGGAATTAGTGTGAATTGCCAAGTAGAGTTGAATTCGTTCAATAAATGTGCCAATATCAAAAGTACGCTTCCAGCTTCAAGCCTGCCATATAATAACCCGTAACGCCATAATTATGCTGTCATCTTTTTCCAAGCCGCCCAATGAGGTGTCCCGTCTATCCTTCTCGTTGGTCGTGAATCAGTGCTCCAGCCAGTCCAGGAACTGGGGAGTAAAGTAGCTGACGACAATGGTCGCTCCGGCGCGGAGAATGCCCTCGGTGGACTCAAAGGCCATGGCCTTGAGGTCGAAGACTCCGGCCTTGGCGCCGGCGTGGATCATGGCATACTCGCCGCTGACCTGATACGCCGCGACCGGAAGGTCCTTGCCGAGCTCCTTGGCGTCGCTGATGATGTCGAGGTACTGGCTGGCGGGCTTGACCATGATGACGTCGGCGCCTTCACCGATGTCGCGGGTGATAGCACGGCGGGCCAGGCCACGACCGCCAGGAGGCAGCTGATAGCACTTGCGGTCTCCAAAGGACGGCGCAGAGCCGGCAGCGTCTCTGAACGGCCCGTACAGGCACCCGGAGAACTTGGCCGAGTAGGACATGAGCACCGTCTTGTGCGCGATGCCTTCCTCGATGAGCTTGAGCTTGATGGCACGGATGCGCCCGTCGTTCATGTCCGAGGGCGCGACGCAGTGAGCACCGGCCTTGGCGTAGGCAATGGCGACATCGGAGATGCGGTCCACGGAGAGCTGGTTGTTGAGGCTGCCATCGTCCCGCAGGATGCCGCAGTGGCCGTGCGACGTGTACTCGCAGAGGCAGACATCGGTGCAGATGAAGATCTGGGGGAAGCGACGGCGGATGAGGCGGATGGCCTGGATGACGGGGCCCTCGGGGTCGTCGGCGGCACTGCCAAGAGCGTCCTTGCAGCCGGGCTTCATGGGGACGCCGAACAGGATGACGGAGCGCAGGCCCTTGCGAACGAGGGGCTCGAGGAAAGGAACCAGGCGGCTGACGCTGAGCTGGTGCTGGCCCGGCAATGAGGGGACGAGAATCATGTCGTCGTCGCCATCGGTGACGAAGATGGGGTAAATGAGCATGGACTGTGGAGAGAAAAGAGAGTCAGCCGAGCCATCTCGCCGGCGGGTGGCGGAGGTGAGGGCGCAGGGCATACCTTGGTGAGCTGGCGCTCGGCTTGCCAGGAGCGGGCCAGGGGGTGGAAGTAGCCGCCATGAAGCTGGCTGGAGATGTCGCCGGAGATGCTGACGCTGGTCGCGGCCGTGCTGGCGTACGACATGGCGCGCGAGATGTGGGAGGTCCGGTCATCGGCCGTCGAGACGGACGGGGCCATGCCGGGGGGCCGGTTGCCGTTGGCGTCGCGCAACGTGAGGTCCTGGACGAGGCTGGAGAAAGACATGTTGGGCTATGCGATCGAGTCTGGCGAACGCTCTCAGATTGGCTACTGGACGGCGTTTAATCGGACGTGACGACGAAGCGGGCGTCGGTCTGGGGTGTCGCTGCGGGTTGCGGCGGACGGCGGTGCACGCGATGACAATGCCGCGGGCTAGTTGAGTGTCGCACACGGCGGGGCAACACTGTTGAGAGCGACGGGTGGCGGACTCTCGGGATCGGATTCTTGGTCGACGGGCGGGCGGCTGAAGCACACAAAACCAACAACTGCAGAGGACAGTTCTGTCCTGTGTCGCGGGCGAACAATTGCTGGGGAGCGCGGAAAAGCAGAAGAACGGTGAGCGGGTGCAAAGCAGAAGAAAGGAAAATGGGAAACGACGGTGTCACTGCGACCTTTTTTTTCCCTCCTCGCTCGCCCCCCCTTCGCCGCTCATTCGCCCCGTGCCTCGGGAGCGCCGCTCCAGGTCGGCCACCGAGCCGTGCATGCGGCCAATCAGGCGCCCGCATTTGCTAATGGGGGAGGGGGACGCTGGGCTGCCCGTGGCCGCTGGGGAGTCGGGGGACTCGCCGACGGGGCCGCAATCCCACCTGTTCCGGTGCTTTCCATCGGCTTGTGAGATTCCGGGCGCCATCCTTCCGCGGGGTTGCGGGCGAATCGCGGGCTGGTCGGTGTGCTCGCTCGGAACCCATCACCACCCGGCGCCCTGCCGCTCTGCGGCTTCCCTCATTGGGCCGCGATGCGAGCAGGTGAGGCGGGCACAATAGGCTACCCTGCACTACAACAATCACGCAAGGCTCAATTGGCAAACCCGTATCAAGTGCCTCTGCCTGCGGGCCTGCGACTTTTTATTGCACTGTGATATAAAGGCAGCCTGGTGAGCTATAGGCCAGTTGGCAGCGACAGTGGCTAGCATGTAATCTGCTAGGTTGGGGTTCTGCAGTTCGACGTTGCTGTTCACGTGCCAGGACCCATTGTGTGCCGACTCGAGACCCGATATGCGAACGAGACTTGCGACTGACGTCCAAATGCAGCAATTCGCAACGGTTGAAGCAAGCTCACAGGGCATCCAAAATACTCGTAGGCTCCCGTATTCAATAGCAGCCCTCCTGTTCAAACTGCCCTCTATGCATGGTTATAGTTGCGTTTTTACTTGTACATCCAGCAATACATCCCCACCAAGCCACTGGCATGCGTCTAGACACAAGAAAAGCCCTCCCTGCCCCGATCATGCGCTCCTACAAGCCCCTCAGCACAGTGTTGTCCCGCTTGTCTATCGGCGTATACCTCTCCTGCAGCACCTCCGCCACCGTGCGGTTGATCTTGGCCTCGGGCTTCTCGTAGCGCTGCTGCAGCGCCTTTGCCACAGGGCTCTGCGCCTTGCCGTCGACGGTCGCGGCGGCGGCGGCGGCCTTCTCCTCGGCCAGGCCCACAGCCGTCTTGACCTTGTCGACGACCTCGTGTGCCTTGTCGCGGCCCTTCTCGAGCGCCGACGCGATGACGCCCTGCGCTTCGGACGCCTTCTTCTTGGCCTCGGCTTCTGCCTTTTCGATTTGTCTCCGGCCCGTGAGCCGCGCCTCGAGGGCCTTGTCCTCCATCGTAGACTCGTACCGCGCGCCCCTCTCCCTGGCCTTGTCGAAGGCGGCCTTGCCGGCGCTGGCGATGCTGCTGCCCGCGTCCCGGGCGGCCGCCTCCACCTGTCGCGCTGCGGGCTCCAGCTTCTCGCCCGCCTTCTCGGCGCCGTCCACGGCCCCGCCAAACGCCCTGGCCCAGAGCCCCGCGACGCGGGCCTCGAGATCCTCCCGCACGTCCACCCAGTCCGTGTTCTGCACCCACCGGACGGCGTTCTCGACCTCCTCGTTCCACCGGTCCTTGGCGACCTCGACGGACGCGGCTCGTTGGGCGGCGGCGACCTCGGAGCGCGAGGGCGGCAGGGGCTGCGGGATCGGGTCGACGAGCGTCTGCAGGGCGAGGGCCTGCGCGCGCAGGTGGCGGCTCTGGTTCTCGCGGGTCCGCTGGTGGGCGAGCACCGACAGGTAGGCGAGGGAGAGCGTCAGGGTGACGCCGCCCGTCTGCGGAGCAGGTCAGCACATGACGAAGCATTGCATAGCGAAGGGCAAGAGGTGCAACTCACGAAGCCCGTGGCGAAGCCCATGGTGACGACTGTGGTGCGCGCTCGGCAGATGACGGGAGTTGCGCGAGTAATAGCTCGGGGCTGCTGCTGGTGATGCCGTGAGGGGGCCGCAAGTGCGAAAGACAATTGCTCTGAAGAGGCCTATGCGCGACTTTTCATGATGCGTGCCCGCTGAAAAGCTCCCCAGGGGCCGGGCGAGGCGTCAATTGCTGTGCGTTGCGAATTGGAAGGGTTGCGTGAGGATTGACGTAGTTGGTCGAAAACGTCGGGTGAGCTTCGCAGGCCCGCGGCTCAGAAAACAAGCAGCCGGGCTGCACTGCGGCTGCGGCTGCGGGCTCCGCCAAAAATTTCCACAACCACCACCGTCCAATCCCGGTCTCCGAGCCTCGCGACGACGACGACACTTTGAACGAGGCTACCCCCAAGTCAACTCAACCTCCAAACAGCTCAATCCCCTCGCCTCGCCCCCGTCCGTCGACCGCGAAAAACCCCCCCGGCACGCGCAATGGCTGGCGGCCTCGTCAAGTACCGGCACCTGAGCCGCAACTCGTCGGCGCGCAAGGCCCTGCTGCGCGGCCTCGTCACGCAGCTCGTGCAGCACGAGCACATCCAGACGACATACGCAAAGGCAAAGGAGGCGCAGCGGCTTGCCGAGAAGCTGATAACGCTGGCCAAGAGGAACAATGAGCCCTGCCGGAGATCGGCCCAGGGCATTCTCTACGTACGGATCGCCAACAGAACACCACCTCCCATCAGCCTTTGAGGCCGCGGAAAGGGACACACGCATGCTGACCAGCCTTCTCCACGCAGACACCACATGTCCTCCTCCCCAAGCTTTTTGGCGAGCTGCGGAGCCGATACCTGCCCCGCGAGGGAGGATACACGCGCGTGACGCGCACGGAGCCCAAGAACACGTACGACCAGGGCGAGAGCGCCATCCTAGAGCTCGTCGACGGGCCCAAGGACTCGCGCTTCATGATGACGGCCAAGACGGTGGCCAGAGACCGCATGCTCGGCCGGCAGGCGACCCCGCTGACGAGGCAAAACATCAAGAAGGTGACGCAGTTCCGGGGAGAGGAGGACCTGGAGACCATGGTGCAGCGCTTCATGGCGCTGGAGACGGGCGAGAGCGCACCCGTGGCGCAGGAGAAGATTGGCACTGCCAAGGAGGGCACAACGCGCGTGGCTGCCGATGCCGCGACAGAAACGGCAAAGACGCCTGAAGCCCCGCAACCGACGAGGTAAGGCGAGATGGCTGGGGGGATGCGCAAGATGGGATATGGCGGGACGGAGAGTCAGTGTACAACAAGGACAATGTACATGTACAATACTACTACCATCATGACAAGTCTATACAAAATAGCAGGGCTACCGAGCAAAGTATCAAGGCGCCACAGTAGCCGGCTACTATGCCTGGCAACTCGGCATTCAGTGCTTCCAATCTCAGACGCTATGCCATGCAACTATCTAGACAAAGTCAAACGTGTCGCCCCGGTCCTGTATCATCTTGCCAACCCTCTTGGAGCCGGCAACCCTCTCCAGCTTCATGACGTCGTACTTGGAGAACATGACCCTCACCGTGCCCTGCCCCGGCTCGATCTTGAGATCCTGCTCGCTCTTGCTCAGGTAGTCCCCACCGATCTCCTTGTAGAAGATGGGGTTGTCAGGTAGGCCGTAGAAAATGACCTTTTGCACGCCCCTGAACTGGTATCGGCGGAAGTGGTGCGCCCGCTCCGTGTAGAGCAGCACGCGGTGCCGACCGGTGAGGAAATGGGATCTGGCGCGGGACGCCTCAGGCACGTCGGTGTACTCGGAGATGGCGCCAAACGTGACACTGCCCATGGTCGGCGAGTTGGCAAAGTAGTTGCGGACCCGCACGAAGTCGAGATATGACGGAACAAAGAGGAGGGTGCCGTTGGAGTCCTTTGCCCGTTTTACCAGCGTGGGCACGATGGCGGACACAAAGTACTCAAACCTCGCATCCGGGTCTTTCTCGACCGAGTGAGATTGGAAGCGCGAAAATGTCTGCTTGGCCTTGACGCCGAGTTGCTGGATAACGCCGGGATACTCTGGCTGCAGCCTGACCTTGCCAGCCCAGTTGTGGCAGTGCATTCGCTGCAGCTCAGTGAGTTCAGGGGTATTGAAGCCCGACAGGATAATCGTCTGCCGGAAGAACTTGGCCCAGTCCTCCAGGTACCAGCTCCGCACGCGACTAAAGTCGCAGCCGTGCGCGTCCTTGGGCTGCAGGTTGAGGTGCTCAAAGATGTACTCGACGTGCTCCCAGTTTTGCATGAGCAACGCGTCGGCCTGATCGACGACGACCATTTCGATGGAGCTCAGGAAGTCGTAGTCTGTCTTCTTCTTGTCCTCCTCGGACCCAATCGCCATGCGCAGGCCCAGCGGGCTGGCAAATAGGATGTCCGAGTTGTAAAACTGGGCAAAGTACTTGATGGTCTTGCGCGTGAACTTGACTCCCAGGCGGAACATGTCGTCGTCGTTGCCCTCGAACAGCTCTCGGAAATCCTCTGGACGGTCATTGCCAAAGTTTGACTCCTTCTCGATGTAAGAGTCGTCGAACCGCTTGCGGTTCTCCTGCTGATCCGAGTCGCAGAGGTCCCGGATGATGTTGACGATGCGTGCGCATGAGTTTCTGGTGGGCAGGAGAAAGAGCACCTTTGGGCGCGTAAAGCCTTGGTCCCTGAACTCGAGCTCCGTGTTTTCTCCGTCCTTGGCGAGCTTGTAGTTGTTCTTGATGACTCGGTCTCGCGTTCTGTGCCGGGGTTAGCGATGAGTGCAAAAGCTAGTTTCCAGCATGGGTGCTTACTTGAAGACATGGTTTAGAGCATGCAAGCAGACGGCTTTCCGCATCCCTTCCGCATTCTTGGCCGTTCGACCGCAGTGCAGAATGTCTTTGTAGTCAAACAGGAGGGGCATGAGCGTCTTTTGCGTCTCATCCAGCTTGGCAAACTTCTTTTCGGATGTCTCCTTCAGCTTGTGCTTGAGCATAAAGTCATCCAGCCCGGACGCGGGCTGCGGCGCATCCAAGGTGCTTCCGGTGCCCGGTGACATGAGCGTCGCGCGTAATGACTGCATCATGGCACGCTGTGTGGTCCACTGCTCATCCTTGACTGCCTTGACTGCCTTTGCAGACGCCATTTCGTCTGCGTGCGCGAAGTGCACATCAAACGGATCAGTTGATTCTTCTTCGTCCTCAGAGTCCGAGTCGTCGTCTGGCTGCTCGTCGGCGCCGATGGCGGGGTCCTCTTCCTCTTCGTCCACCTGGTCAACGTCCTCGCCGGCCACAGCTTCGTCTCCGTCCGACTCCGCGTCGTCAGTCTCCTTGGGCGGTTCTGGATGATCAAGCTTCCGCCTCTTTGCTTTGGGGGCACTGGAATCGCTGAAGCTTTGCAGCAGAGCCATGTAGGGCCGTGCGGCGGGCTTCTCATCCTCGTCGTCCTCGGACGCAACGTCGTCCAGCTCTTCATGCTGCTCCTCCTCCTCACTTTCTTCACTGAGTGAATCTTCTGATCTGCGAAGCATCATGTCAGCCCCCAATTCCTGAGCATGAGGAGCAAATCCTCGACTTACTCGTCCTTCTCGGCAAGTCTGTCTCCATCAAATCTTCGATTTGGCCCAAACCGACTTGATCCTCTGCCACGGCCACGGCCACGGCCACCTCGACCGCGAGAGCCCCGTCCGCGGAAATTACCGCCTCGCCCTCGGGGAGGCATGTTTGCTTGCACAGAATGTGCTCTGATGAAGTGAAATGAGAATATGAAGCGTCAGAGAAAACAGCTTCCTAGGCGCTCAGCTCATTCACATGAACCCAAGTCGTCGCAAAAAAAGTTGAAGCTTGCGCCTGTAATTGGGAGGACCCAGTAGCAGCTAGCGGCGACAAGCCACACCATGGTGGGGCAGGCACGTCGAGGACTTGCCTTGGCTTGCTTGGATGCTTGTCCCGCGCCGGCTGCGCCACAATCAGGCCTTTATCGTGGCTTATCTAAGTGCGCACAACCCCAGGCGGGTGCCCGCCAAACCTGCAAATCACAAAATCGGCGAAATTTGGCGACATCGCGAGCCACACAGAGAGGGGGACCCAGTTGCAACGCGGCGCTCGCCTCAATTTTCACCTCCACACCCAACCCGCGCGCACCCTCCGCCCATACCTCCCTCTCACCAACCGAACGCTCGTCGAACCGACGCACGCATTCTCGCCCAGCATGGCCGCCGCTACCGAGCGATTCATACATCTCGCGCGCCCGCTGGCTCACGGCAACGTTGGCATCCAGACCAACATTGCCCCGCTCAGCGTCAACATCCAGCCTCAGGTACGCTGCACGCATGCCCCTCCGTCGCTCTATGCCGGCACATGGCCCCTCGAGCCTCGAGCTTCCCAGGACTAACTGTCTCTCGCGTCAATAGGCCGTCCTCTCCATCCTCGACCACGCCGTGCGAAGGGACGTCCACGAGAATGCCCAGTCCACCCGCGTCATCGGCGCCCTGGTCGGCACCCGATCCGAAGATGGAACCGAGGTCGAGGTCCGCTCCTGCTTCGCCATCCCTCACACCGAGGAGCAGGACCAGGTCGAGGTCGACGTCGAGTACCAGAAGAACATGCTCGCCCTGACCCTGAAAGCCAACCCCCGCGAGGCCCTGCTCGGGTGGTACACCACCTCGCACGAGCTCAACAGCTTCAGCGCCCTCATCCAGAACTTCTTCGCCAGCCCCGAGACGGGCACGTTCCCCCACCCCGCCATCCACCTGACCATCTCGACCCAGCCCGGCGAGGACATCGAGACGAGATGCTACATAAGCGCCCCCGTGGCCGTCAACGCCGAGCGCGCCGCCGAGAGCTGCCTCTTCATCCAGGTGCCCCACAAGATGCTCTACGGCGACTCCGACAGGAACGCCCTCGAGGCCATCGCCAGCGCGCAAGACAACGAGTCCCGGACCGCGCCCCTGGCATCAGACATTGAGGGCCTCGGCCGGTCGATTGAGCAGACGCTGAACCTCCTCGACCGGGTCAGCGAGTGGGTCAACGGCGTGTTGGATGAGGACGAGGAGCCGAACAACGCCCTGGGCCAGTACCTGATGAGCGCCCTGTCCCTGGCGCCCAAGGTCGACGCCTCACAGATCGAGCACGACTTTAACAACCACATCCAGGACGTGCTCATGGTCAGCTACCTGGCCAACACCATCCGAACCCAGATCGATCTCTCCCAGCGGCTGGCGACGGCCAACCTGACCAGCAACGAGAAGGACGGCGAAGGAAAGGCGGACGGCGACAAGGGCGGTAACCAGCGCGGCGGCGGCGGCAAGCGTGGCGGACGTGGCGGTGGCCGGGGAGGCGGCCAGCCGAGAGAGCCCCGGGAGCCGCGTGAGCCCCGGGAGCCCCGAGAGCCCCGGGAACCTGCGGAGTAGAAGGCGACGATGACTTGGGGGCATTACTGTTGATATGACGTGCATGATGAAAAAGCCAATGGCATTCTGCACGAAAAGGCGGGAACGCGGTGCGTCCTGTCGGGTGGACGACGGCGACGGCGGGTGGGGCACCGTGTTCAAACACAAATCATCACGGCGTTGCGGGCAAGGCGACATTTGTTGTGTCGCCTCCTCTGTGGACTTTTTAGAAATGGGATTGAATCGTCATGCAGTCTTCATGTCCCCGATATGTGTATCTCATCTAAGAGGAGGCCATGGCCTACAGGTTAAGAAAACATCGATGCCATTCATCCTATCCACCCGGTAACGCCAAGATGCTTGATCATGCCCCTTATACGCCGTTTGGGTGCTCGTCTCCGAACACCGCCCTGATGCTCCTAAATTCCAGCGGCTGGCTTCTGCGGCAACGTAGCCGGGTTGCCGTAGGTGGGTAGGTGACTATATATTTGATTCGGTACCACTGGCACGGCCGGACGGTTAGCGACATGGGCCGGGGCGCTCTGGGGAACATGCTGGGGAGGCGGCGGCATGCTCTGCATCGGCGGCGGCACATGCTGGGTCATGGGAGGGCCATGGTACGAGGGTATGGAGTTGTTGGAGCCCTGCCTCGCCATGCCATAGCCCCCGCCGTACGACGGAGGCACAGCGGGCTGATAAGCCGCATAGGCCAGGTGAGGTGTCCCTATCTGGGGGCTCCCGTGATGGGACCCGGGTGCCGTAAAGGGGGGCTGAGGGGGCGGAATCGGGTGCATCGCGCTCCCACCAGGGACAAAGGACTGCGTCTTGGGGTTGAAGGCGTGGTTCCGGTTGTAGCTGCCCGGGATAGGGTGCTGACTCTTAGGGTCGTTCGGGTTTGCATTCGCGGGTAGCTGCCCGTAGGCATACGGGATGCCCATGTGATTGTGCGAGGTGGGTGGTGCCGGGCCCCTAGCTTGATAGGCCGGAGGCACGAAGCCTGGTTGCCATGCCTGGGGGACCGCAGCTTGCGGAACCGGCGAGCCATATGCCGTCATCGGGCTGCCGCCAGGTTGATATCTTTGCTGGGGCGGCGGGGGCGGTGCATACTGCTTTTCGATTGTTAGCCCAGGGCACTTTCGGCACGAAGTAGACGTAGAGGGACGCACCTGGGGCGGGCCGTAGGCAGGATAGCTGGGGCTGGGAGCCATGTTGGCCATTGCAGGATAGCCCAGAGGCTGTTGAGCATATACGGGCGTGACTTGTCCTGGAAACGCAGGCGGTGGCTGTGCCGCAAACTGACCCTGAGCCGGAGCCATGAACTGACCTTGCGGTTGCGGTACCCAAGTCTGCTGCTGGGGGCCCCAGTAAGGCGTGTACAGGTTCCTCGAGTCAAAGCTGTCTGAGTCATCTCGACGCTGCTTGCCAACCTTGCCACGCTTTGCACCGTTGACCTTGTTGTTGGCGGACACGGAGCTCGTGCGGGACATGCCGCTCTCGCCATCATTCTCTGCAAATTGTTAGTCCAGGATGCATTGACGCGGAGGCTGCCATGCCCTTACCTTGAACGCTGTTTTCGGAGCTTCCGAAGATTCGCTCGCGAGCCAGCTTGTACATCTCTTCCCGCTCTTCTCTCGACATCCTAACTTCGGTCAGCGGCTGCACAGAGATATGACTGCTGCAAGGACTTACTTCTCTTTGGCCACGGGCTGCTTGTCCTTGCCATCTTTGCCATCACTACCCGACTCTGACGTCGGCTTCGACGCGCTTGCGCTGATAGGGCCACCCTCGTTGTCTTGCCCGCGGCGCATGATCTTCTTGGGCAGCACAGCAGGAGGCGGTGTGCTGCTAGCAGAGGCGCTCGGTTGCGGGGCCATGGTGGCCAAGGACGGCGGAACCCGACAGAAAGGCGTTCTAAATATGCGAACGGATCCAATATGCGGTTCAAAAGAATGCGTCATGTGATAATAGTCTGCCAACTTGTGCGTCAACATTCGACAGAATGAGTTTGACGGAGGCAAGTCCATGTACGGCTCCCTGTTGACGTTCATCGTTAGTGACGAGACCACAGCAACGGAGGAGACGATACATACTTGGAGTCTTGTACAAAATCGATGACATCCTTCTCGAGCCGCAGCAGGAAGTATCGGTCCCTGGGGCTGGCAAGGGCGTCAAGCAGCTTCTCGTCGGGTGCCTGGCGATATATGACGTTGAGTGCATCAGAAGAGCCCTCTGCGCTGAGCGGTATCGCCGAGTTGAGGGCGGGGGGCTGCTCTGACGTGGAACTCTGGGGCGTCAGGATGCCGTGTCCGAGAGGTCCAGTAGGAGGATGCACCAGCCTTCGCTCCGGGATGTCGCCGAGCTGGATGCCCCGGGCACGAGCGGCGATGTCTGAGCTCATTCGGGAACCAGCGATGAAGGAGCCGCGAATTGAGAAGGCATCGTCATCCTCAGCCGCGGCCTTGACACTGGCGCTGTCATCAGGGCGCAGCGACTCTTTCTCGTCCATAGCGAACGTCGTCCCTGAAGTGATGCTCTTGCCGTCCAAGCTGGGTGGCTTAGTCCCGAGCTCCGAGCTCGAGTCACATTTCTGCGACTCGTCAGATCCGCTCTCCCTGCTGATCAAACTTCGCTGGCGATCCGGCGCGGAGCTGCTCCCATCGACCACGAGACTGGGGACCTTTGGGCCAAGTTTCAGGCCGTGGAGCGCTGCCGAAGCGTTGTCGACATCTGCTGATTTGCCTCTTGGGGCCGTTGGTATGCCTGCTTCGGGGGGTGAGGTAGGATGTGAACGTGGCACCACGACGGGCGCACTACTGACCACGACGGGCTTCATGATGTTTGCGTTGTGCTCGGCACTGGGCGTGTGGTTGGTGGCCTGTCCCGGCGAAGGAAGGGCCTCTTTCGAGACGGATGCAGCCACCTAAAGAAGAGCATTGGGTAAGCATGGGCACGAAGAGGTAAACGGGGAATGTTCAAATGCTGCGGCCATCATTCGGGGAGGCAATGAGGGCGTACCTTGGCAAATGATGGCCTGGGTAGTTCTGGTGAGACCTGCGCGCTCGCCATGACGTGATGGGAATGGTCCGGGTATATATCCAATCGCCCCAATGAAGGAACGAAACAGTGCCTAGGGTATTAAAGGTCGACAAGGACGATGGCGGTCGACTGGCGCCGGCGAGGATGCGTGAGGGGAGCGGGCCGGCGAGGAAGTGACAGTGGAAGAATCGAAAATCAAAAAGCAGAGTCGATCGAAAAGGGCCAGCGGGTAAAGGACAGAGGACCGGTGATCATCGTCCTGGCGGAAAGGACATTTCGATGGATGGCGTGGGGTGTTGGGCTGCTTCTGGCTTCCTCGAGGATACGATGGGGGTTTGCCTTGTCGACACCGCGAGACCTGCAATCGCCGAGATCAGAAGGGCGAACTGATGGGAAGCGCAGAACGAGCGCAGACGCGGATCGAGTGGTGTAGAAGAGCGACGGGCCGAGGATGAGGCGTGGCAGAGACGCAGGTCGCGATGGGGTAGGGGAGGGGAGGAGGATTCCTTGGAATTCTTGGTTTGCGATGGACGGGGGGAGGGCGGGCGAGCGGGAGAGAGGCCGTGCGGCGACTTACAGCAGCGGTGCTGCCAGGGACTCTCAGGGGCCGTGCGGGAGGCAGAGAGCCTGACGGAGGATGCAGTTGTCCAACGGGGGGGCTCAAGCCGATGCCATCAGGACGGGTCGACGGGCGGGACGGCGACAATGGGGAGGATGGATGGACGGACGGCAGGAGGGTGAGGTCGGGTCTGTCTGCAGCGGGTTTGGAGGCGAGTGCACTGAGTGCAGGCAGTGTAAAGCTGAGCTCGGAAATGACCTAGCGCCGGTAGATTCCCGCTTTGTCCCTCCTGTCAGTCAGCCAGCGCTCAGGTGCTGCTGGGGGCTGCTGGTCGGTCACGAGCGAAAATGTGCATTTGTGTGGCTGCTTATGTAACACAAGGAAGGAGATGGGGCTGCTGGGCTGCTGGGCGGGCATGGCGGCGGCGTTCGGCGGCGGCGGGACAGGCGTTGCTGGTGCCAGTGCCACTACTGCTGCCACTGTTAGCTTCCACTGTGCCAGGAACTGCTCCAGCACCTCCAGGGCTGCTGCTCCTGCTCCCTGCTGGGTCCCGCCTGGGCCAAGGCGACACCAAGAATCATCACTGTGTCAGTCCACACCGCACGATTGGCACCGCCTGGTTCGCCTCATCTCGACGGGACCCCGTGTCACATGAGAAGGCGCCCCCCCCGATTTCGTCTCTCTTCGGTCCTTATCCGCAACGGCGGGCGGGCGATCTCATACCGTGCTGCAGGACTTTTGTACAAAGTAACCACATGACCTGCCTCGCCCAACAGTACGGTCACGTGATCATAACGACCGTTCCTCCATGCATCGTACTGTTAGCCTTAGTCATTCTCATTTGGGGCGACATACCACACCTTGCCGGCTCATCGTTGTGAGACTGGAGGAGCTTCAACCAAACTCGGAGTCCTTGTGCTCTCACATCCTGAGCATTCTTGTTGGGCCTATTCCCCTATTTTTCACTTAGAAGCAAAGCCATCCCATTCTCTTCATCCTTGTCAGTAACCAACCTACCATGTTCTCCCGCGGTCGTGCTGGCCCCTCGCGGTCGACGCCAGCCAACGTTCTCTGCCAAAAGTGTCTCAAGAGAGGCCACTACTCGTACGAATGCAAAGCCTCGACGCAGGAACGGCCCTACGTCGCGCGGCCCTCTCGTTCTCAGCAACTTCGGAACCCCAAGTTGCAGCCAAAGCTCGCCAACACAAGTCTTGAGCCGCTCGAACAAAAGTCAGTTGCGAGCGCCCCCTTTGCAACCACATGTACCTGTGAAACTAACCTCTTGCGTGTAGAAAAGGAGTTGCTGATCAAGAGCTGGCCAAGCGGGAGGCGGAGCGCGAGAGGAAGCGGGAGAGGGATGAGCGGGACGACAAGGTCTTGAACTCGCCTAAACGGCAACGGTCAGCGTCTGTGGACTCGGTGTCAACGGTTTCCACCAGATCATCTCGCCGTTCAGAGTCACCTGGCCGGCGCCCGCGCTCGCCAACACCGGAGTTTCGCAAGCGTAGCCCGGAACCCAAGGGCCTAAACGACGAGAGACCGCGGGCACGCAGCTACAGCAGCAGTGGCAGCTATAGCCGGAGCCCGTCTCCGCCGCCCCGGGGACGCGAGCCCCAGTTGGCCCGCGACAGCCGGTCGCCGACTCCGGAGAATACCGGACGGCCGTACCGGGTTCGCGACGATGACCCTCCTCGACGAACCAGGAGAGAATCTGTGGGGTCTAGGGACTCAGCAGGGCCACCTCCTCGCCGGCAGCACTACTCACGATCACCGGAGCCAGAATTGAGGCGGGGTGGCGAACGAGGCCGCCGGGATCATCCACCAAGCATTGGCCACAGGGCTGGGGACAGAACTCACCCCCCTGAGCCCCCAAGGGAGCGCAGCCTGAGTCCCTTCAGCAAGCGACTGGCGTTGACGAGAGGGATCCAAGGCGGTGGTAGATAATTGGGTATCAAATTACGTTCAAATCAAATGTGTCCCCAGTCTCCGGTAGACTGAACGCCGAACCCAGTATGCAAAGCAAACAGTGTGATACAGCTTGAAGCCCCCCTCATGCCAGTAGAGCTTCTTCCTCCTCGCGCTCGCGTTTCTCCTCCTCTTCCTCCTCTTGTTGCCGTACCCGCAGGCCCTCGACAAGGGCCACTCCATCCATGCCGACCGCCTCCCCATCGGTGCTCCCGTTGGCCGCCGCGCCGCTCTTCTGCGCCGCCTTCTGGGCCCCGGATATCCTCTCGCGCACCAGCCTCGCAATCGCATTGTCGGTCCGGACGTTGAGCACCTCCATCTTCTTTTCGAGGTTGCGCTTGAGGTCCCAATTGGGCTTCTTGGGCTGGAGCTTGAACAGGTCGATGGCTTTTTCATTCTGTGCTTCCTCGAGCGCCTGTCTGTTGACCTCGGCCTCTACCTCGGCGGCCTGCTCTTCCAGCGTCAGCTGCTCGTGCCCCTCGTTGGGCATGACGTCGAAGCCGAGCTTGGGGCCCTTTGTCTCGAAGTCATAGTTGCGGCCCGAGAGGTGCTGCCGCACGACGTCCGGCTGGTCGTCCTCGGCGGCGGGCTGCGCGGGAGCGTGGTGGTCCTCCGCTTCTGGCGAGGCGATCTCGTCGTTGGGTTGCTTTCGCTTGAGGCCTCTGAGCTGCGCGAGGCGGGCTTTGCGGTCTTGCGCCGCGGCGCTGAGGTTGCTGAGTGACGACGACATGCTGGGCGGGCCTTGTCGCGCGGCGGGTGGTGTGGTGGGAGAAATTTCGTGATTCGTGAAGTCGATTGTCGCTGGCCCGGACGTCGTCTAGGTCTAGGTTGGAGGTTTGCGCGTTGGTGGGGCAAAACTCGAGCTGCCAGGCTCGACTCCCCAGCGCGGTCAGTGGATGGGTGGAGAGGCTGGAGGGACGCTGAGATTGGCGCGCGGATGCGGTTAACGTACGCGCTAGAGCGGCGCCGACGGCCCCTGCAACGCGGGACGTCAATTTACGATGGATGGCGCAGAATTTCGTCCCGACTCACCTTTGCGATCTTCAAACAGCCAACGTTCGCGGCCACACCCCAAGTCTCTCCGAGCACCCGCGCGACCTCGCACGATGAAGGCAGCCTCCGACTGTCTGGAAGTGGAGCCCCCGAGATGATAACGGCTCATTTCTCACGCCTGGGCTTTTTGCGGTTGCAGTTGGCTGTCCCGAAGCTACCGGCATCTCCAGCACAACAGTTGCGACCCTTTACAGGATGGAGGCATTGCCTCGCGCCTCACCCGGCGCGAGAGCCGAGCCTTGAGGATCGAGAAAGTTCAAGCAGTCGCAATGCGCCGGAGTGCACGCCAGAGCGCTCGCCTTCAACTTCGTCGAACCGACTTGCCTATGGCGAACATGATTCCCCCGACCTATCCCGAGGCAGCAAGATCGCGCCCACTACCGACTCGACGAGCGCAGCCGCCGATGGCCGCACTGGTCACAGAAGATTAAAATCTGAAGGGCAAGGGCGGAGTCAGTCTCCCAGCCGCCGGGCACGGCCAGCACCGCGGCAGGCCAGAGTCAGTGGTCCTCGAGTACCTGTTGCGGCAAAGGATTTCGCAAAGCTCGATTTGTCTGGCCAAGGTCGCTTGACGGCAGAAGCTTGGAGCCGACTCAAGGAACAGCGACTCATATACCAGCAATGGGGATACGTTCGTCACCAGTATCCGAAATCCGAGGTGGTGCAGGCCAGGAGGGCCTTTAGGTCCTGGAAGGTCAAGTTGCAGAAGGTCTTGGAGCCGATCAACCCTTCTTCCTGGCCGTGGCGTGAGGAGGGAGCTATGCTGTTTGAGCTTGAATCCGTGGCGTCCATGCGCAAGGCTTGGGAGTCACTCAGCGTGGAAGAGCGGCAGCGAAAATGGCCGTCGGTGATGCTTTCAACCATGCACCGCTGTCCAGAAAAGGCCAGGCTAGTGCTTGAAGCTACCTTGGACTCTTTGCCCCCAGGATATGCGATACACGACGTCCTGCTCTTCGTCACGCGGCGGATGGACCTCGAAGGCTTCAAATCCACAAGGGAGCGGACAATCGAGGCAGAGGACGTGCTGCATCTGGTGAGCAAGGTCATCGAGGAGACACCAGCGGGTCATGTTCCGTTCAGCCAGAGGAGCTTTGGACTTCTTGCTCAGAAGCTGCCTGCCGACCAGGTGGAGGAACTCTACAGCATCGTGAAGAGGACGGGGCGCAGGATGCACACCAACACTTTGATTCACTTCGCTCGCAAGCTGGCAACCGACATGGCCCACAAGGAGACTGCGTTCACGATCCTCAAGGAGCTTGCGGACGACGGGCTCGACTTGAATGATGTTCGGCCCGCGAGCGTGATCACAATCCTCCTCCACTGCAAGAACAGCAGCGACAGCGTCGCGCAACAGAAGCGGCCATTTTCTCCCAAGGACGCACTGCAGCAGCTGGTTGAACGGGGCCTCTCGCCAAACGTTGCGACGTCCACGGCCCTGCTCGACTCACTCTGTCAGCAAGGCGAGGTCGAAGAGGCCATTCGGCTGGCCCTCTTGTTCGCCGAATCGGGCGTGCAACTGGACACCAAGGCGTGGTCGACAGTCTTTCGCGGAGCAAAGAGCAGTCTTAAAGTGGTGAACCTCGTTAAGGCGCTTGACGTTGCGAGGGCAGCCGACGCACCGTACGTTGACGTTTTGAACAACGCACTTCACAGCGTCTTCTACTTTGCAGAGATGGAGTCACGCGAGAAGAGGCATCGAGCGCCATGGGTTTTGCCCATATTCATGCCGATGCTGCAGGTCTATGCCAAGAAGTTTGATCTCGAGCCGCTGCAGTGGTGGCTCCCCGACTCGCTGCCCCTGATGCTCGCGCAAACATCATCTGGTAAAGAGATTACGACACTCGAGGGCCAGCGCCGTCGGACGTGGGACTTTCAACACTCAGTACTGCCCGTCGTCGACAAGTTCTTCTCGGCTGGCGACGAAACAAGGGTGCAGCCCACTTCGACGACTGTCGCCATCATGGTGAGGGCGTACATCAAGAGCCTGCAGCAGCCTTATGAGCTCATGTCCTTTTACAACTTCTTCAAGTCGCGGCTGGAAGAGCAGGCGAAGAAGGAGGACTCTGCCAACCAGCTGGTCAAGAATCAAGGCAGTCTGATCCACGACACGTTCATAATGGCCATGACGGAGCACCGAGGGCTGTCGCGCCCTGCTCTCCAGGTGTTTGGCGACATGCTCAAGGACAACCTAAAGGCGGGGACGGTAGAAGGAGGTAAGGCACATGTGCAGGACGGCAGCAGCGTGACGACGACGCCGATTCACCCCACACCGAGCGTTCTCACGTTTACAATCCTGCTGAGGGGCCTGATGAATCGGAGAGAGAAGCTGCTCGCGCAGCAAGTCATCCAGGTGATGCGGGAGCACGGCGTCGAGCCGAACCTGGTGACGTGGAACACGCTCACCAAGGGGCACGCGTCGATGCAGGACATTGCGCGGACGGTGGCGACGCTGCAGGACATGGAAGCGGCAGGCTTCAAGCCGGACGCGTTTACGTTCAAGGCGTTTGGGAAACTGAGGGACCAGGGCAAGGCGCTGAAGATGATGGAGGGCATCATTGACATGAACCGGCGCAAGATGACCGGCGAGGACCTGTATCAATAGGGAGGGGCGGCGCAAGCGGACATGACGATACCACGGACATAGACATTTTGTACAACAATCTCAACCCATTTTGGACAGCTGGCGATTTAGGTGGGTGAAGTATGAAATGCCATGTTAATCGTCTGGCGGTTGGTTCGGGTTGGGAGGAGGATGAGGATGCGGGCATTGGCTGCTAACCCCGATTAGCTCCGAAAGGGTCAGCGTCGAAGCATAAGTGCTGACCGGCATTTGGACGTCACTCGATTCGCTCATCAACCGCACGGGAACAGACCATTAAACTTATCCCACGAGCACGATGCTCGGCCCTCCGAGCGGAACTGGAATCAATCATCGGATTACCCACGGGGCGCGAAACTAGAAATGGGCGACGAGGGACATTTTCTTTACGTTGACGCCCTCGTCGAACCTAAGCGCTGCTGGATTGCTGCATCTACTTGAGAAGACAGCGCGAAGCTGCCTGTCATTCGGTCTTGCGACATATCATCACTTTCATACACCCACGGACCGCAGACGGGAGAATCTGCTCACGTTACCGTCGTCAGGATGCCCGACCCGGGCCTCGCGCCCTTCACGACCGTGTTCCGCGCCGGCGGCGACGCGCAGCACCGCGTGCGCCGCAACCGCCTGGCCGTCTCGTGCACCGCCTGCCAGCGGCGCAAGTCCAAGTGCGACCGGCGGCAGCCCTGCGGCGCGTGCGAGAAGCGCGGCGACGCCGAGGCCTGTCACTTTGGAAGCTCCGCGACGACGACGGCGGCCGTGACCGGCGGCGGAGGGGGAGGAGGAGTCGGTCGAGCCGCCGGCGGCAGGGCGGGACAGAGAGGAAGGTCCGAGGTGCAGCTGCGGCTCAACCGCCTCGAGGAGATGGTCAAGGGCCTGGCTGATGCAAAGGCAACGCGCCGGCAGCAGAGCGGACGGGAGCCGCTCGGTGAAGGCAAGGGCGCGGCGAGCAGCAACGGGGCGCCTGTTCCGAGGCATCACCGCATCGTCTTGACGGACGAGGCCGACGACGAGGATGGGCACGGCGACTACCACGGCGCGACGTCGTGGGCCGCGCTCGTCGACAGCATCCACGACATCCAGACGCTCCTCAGCCAGAGCGACGACCAGGACGAGCCGGCAGCGGCAGACGCGGGCCCGCGCCTGCCCGCCATCGGGCCCGAGGGCCACGACGTGCTCTTCCCCGGCGTGCAGCCCGTCAGCGTCGCCGACATCGTCGGGACGCTGCCGCCGCGGGCCGACGCCGACCGCCTGCTGGGGCTCTTTTTCAACGCAAAGTTCATCTCCAAGCCGTTCTTGCACGCGCACCAGTTCCGGCGGCGGTACGAGGCGTTCTGGGCGGACCCCGCGTCGGCGCCGCTGCTCTGGGTCAGCATCATGTTTTCCGTCCTGTCGGCGGGCGTGACGGTGGCCAAGGCGCGGGATCGGGGTCTGGTTGCGCGGCTGCGAGAGGAGCGGCGACAGCGAGGGCAGGCATCGCAACAGGTTGATCACCACCAGCAGCAGCAGCAGCGGGCGCAAGCGCGGTCCGACAACAGCGACGACGACGACAACGTCGACAATGTCGACAACCCCGAGGTCGCGTTCCGCGTCAAGGCCGCGCAGTGCCTCGTCGCGGGCAAGTACCTCCGCGCGCGCGCCCTGTCCGTCGAGGCGCTCGTCATGTACGCGCACTGCTGCAACATCCAGCAGCACGACTCGGACTCGACGCTCTGGAGCCTGTACGAGGTGGGCGTGCGGCTCGCGCAGAAGCGCGGCTACCACCGCGACGCGGCGCGCATCGGGCTGCGCCTGACGCCCTTCGAGGCCGAGATGCGCCGCCGCACCTGGTTCATGGTGCAGTCGTCGGACCTGCTCTTCTCCTTCCAGCACGGCGTGCCCTCGTCCGTCGACGACGCCCTCTGCGACGTCGCCCACCCGACCAACCTCGCCGACGAGGACTTTGACGAGCGGTCGGACCCCCTGCCGCCGCCGAGGCAGCCCGTCGACCCCCTGCCCATCCTCGCCTACGTCGTCAAGTCGCAGCTGTGCCGCGTCCTGCGCCGCGTCGTCCGCCTCACCCTCGACCCGGAGCCGGGCCCGCCGCCGTACGCCCGCGTCCGGGAACTGCACGACCAGCTGACGGCCTGGCACGACGGGATCCCCCCCTGCCTGCGCGTCCGGCCCGTCCGCGACACGGCCTTTACCGACCAAAACTACACCATCATGCACCGCCTCATGCTGGAGCTCATGTACCTCAAGACGCTGTGCGTGCTGCACCGCCCGTTCCTGACAGTGGGCCACGACGACGACGACGACGATGACGACCAAGGCAAAGGCGACGACGGGCCGGCCTTTTCGCGGCGCGTGTGTCGCGAGGCCGCCGTCCGCCTCCTCGAGCTGCACCTCGACGTCGACGCCGCCATGCGGCCCGGCGGCAGGATGCACGAGGACCGCTACATGGTCTCGAGCCTGACGTACCACCATTTCCTGCTGGCGGCCATGGTGCTGTGCCTCGACCTCAGCGAGTCGACCGACTACAGGTAAGAAAGAGAGCATCTGTCTCCCCACCCACCCCCTTTTCCGACCATACAAGCATGGCACGGCGCACACACATGGATATGTGTCTGCCTACGTCTTGCCACATCATCGTCGCTTACACGGAGAAACTCGCAGCCTCGACGAGAGAGCAAGCCGCACCCGCCTCCTCCACGCCATCCACGCCGTCTGGTCCTCCCGCGCGGCGACATCCCGCGACGCTGCCCATGCCACGCGCATCCTGCGCGCCATCCTCAGCCGTGTCGAGACGCCGCCCAGCGACGCCTCCCCTCCCGCCGCCTCGGCCACGGCGTCGGCCCCGACCTCCTCCGTATCTGTTAGCCCGCCTGGCGGTCTTGCCGCCGACGCGTCCTACTCATCCTCCTTCTCCATCTCCGCGTCCCCCTCCGCGACCGCCACCGCCACCGCCAGCCCCGACACCGCGGCGAGTAGTAGCGGCGCCGTTGCCTCGGCGATGATGCACGACGGCACGTCGCCTGCCGTCCCCGGCGGAGTCAAGGCCGCGGCGGCCCTCATGGCGCCCCCGCCTGCGCCGGCCCTCGCCCCGGTGCCCGTGTCCCTGCCGCTCACTCCGGGGCCGCAAGCACCGCCTCAATACGACTACGGCGTCATGGACGTGGATGACGACTACCCCGTCAACTTTGACGAGATGCCCCAGCTGGACAGCTTCTTCTCGAGCCCCGACGGCGTCGACTGGGTAAGCCTTCTTCCCTCCCCCAGGCAAAGACCTTTATCCCCTGATATCCCACATACATACCCTGAGCCCCCTGGGCGACAGCATACTCTGCAAACAGCATATCTTAGTGCAGTGTATAATCAGAGGAACGTCACGCTAACGCGAAAACCAAAACCGCAGCACTCCATCGACCAGTTCCTTCGCCTCGACCGCTCCATGACAGACGCCTACAACGACCAGACTCTCCTCACGGACGTCGGGCCCTGAGGGTATTCCTCCTATCTCCCCTCCCTCCCCGCACGGAGCCATCGTACCCTTCGGGCGACGACATGCACTCCGCCTACGTATCCCCGCCGACGCGCCGTGCTCCATCCCCATCCTCACAGACCCTCTCATTGCGAGGGCCTGGCCTGGCCTCCCCGGCGCGGGCCAGCCTCGGGGGCGCGCGTCTCAAGAAAACACCAGCCGCCCTAGGCAACCAGGTGACACTGACCATGACACAGCGGCGACGGACATGCGGCCAGCCGCAGCAGCACGCGCCGCCGCGCATGGCCGCTGGTCTGAGGACCCAGACCCCCTCCTCATGGCCGCAGAAGCAGCGGCCAAGCGGCGGGGTTGCAAACCAAACTACGATAGTATGTACATACATCAACGCTTGTCAGGAAAGGAGGTCAGTCAAGACCCGGTCTGGCGGCCAGGTTCCAGACCGGCAGCAAGCAAGCAGGGCATGGCAACATCCGAGGGCACCGAGGGCACATCTCAAGCTACCGCATGTAGTATGTACGTTTCTTCGTACAAGTGCAGCGTGTCACACAAATGGCATTGCTCGTCACGTCAATCGGCTCTCTCTCATGTACCCATGATGCGTGATCCGCACCGCCACAACCCGGGCTCCCAAAGACTCACACATGCCATCGTAAAACAAAACTCGAATCCGCCACAAACAAGGTATCATGCAGACGCTGCCTGCCCACTTTAACCTGCCTGCCGCCTTGTGGCTACCCGCGCCGCCAACACCCAACACACCTGGCCGGCCCTGCCCGACCTTGGATTCAATCCCTGCCCAGCAACCGATGAAACCGTTTGTCAGGCCGGCCAGAAGCCGTGGCCCGACAGCAACGACAACAATATGTAGAGAAATCGCAAAGGCGCTCATATGAACAAAGTCGCTCAACTTTTTCTTCGTAAAAAAAGACACATGGTACTTTGCATGCTTCTTTGGCAGATGACTTGCGTCCTTCGCATAGCCGTAGCACGCCAACGACATTCGCCAGCTTATTGTACAAAATCAACACGTTGGGCATGCATCGTGGGTATCATGAAACGGGATAAGCATTGCGGCGGCCGACTATGCGGCCACCCCGGCGCCAGTCTACCTGGCAGGCGGGCTATGGCGCGTTGCCGATGCCGCGCAGAACGCGTGCTGGATTACCGGCCACGACGGTAAACGGCGGGACATCCTGCGAGAAGCCGTAAGCTACATTGGTCACACCATAACATTGCGCGGCGGGGGTCAGGGCATAACAAACCTTGGTGACGATGGAACCAGCCCCGACCGTGCTGCCCTTGCCGATGGTGCGGCCCGGCAGGATGATGGCGCCTCCTCCTATCCAGCAGTCCTGCGCAATCGTGATGCCTCGGCCAAACTGGGGCCCCTGACCGCCCTGCCTCTTCTTGGGATCCGTAGGGAGAGAAGCCGTGAAGATGCTCACGTTGGGGCCAATGACGCAGTTGTCGCCAATCTTGACCTCGCAGACGTCGTTGATGGTGCAGTTTCGTCCGATGACGACGTGGTGGCCGATGGTGATGTTGTAGCCGTAGTCGCACGTAAAGGGCGTCTCGACGGCGACGTGCCTGCCAACGCGTCCGACATTGGTGACGGGCGACGCCTCGGTGGGAGACACCCGTACGGGATCACGGGGCTGCAGGATCTCGAGAAACAGGCGGGCTCGCTCGTCGGGCGAGACGCCGTGCGTTGGAGGCGTCGTCAGGTTGTTGAAGCGCCAGCAGGCAACGGCGCAGCGCTCGCGCTCCAGACACAGCTCCTTGTCGAACGGATAGTAGTGTCGGCCAGAGAGCATCTCCTCCTTCTGCGTCCGTCTCTGCGGATACTGAGCATGCGAGAGCGCCAGCTGAGCGGCCACCTGCGCGTTCGACGTCGGCGGCGGCGGGTGCGGCGGCGTCGGGCTGCTCGTCCGTGTCGGATGCAGGATGTTGATTTGCGGCAGCGAGTTCCCAGGGTGCGGCGTCTCTGGCTCGCTCCGGGTCAAGTCGTGCAACGGAGGCACTCGCTGATACTCCTTGGCCATCCTGTCTCCAAACGACGGCGGCTGGGTGTTTGCGCTGACGGGTGTAGGGAAGGCGTTGCCGGGCGTGTAGGGCATGGCAGAGAGCTTGTTTTCAGGGCTGGCGACGGACGCGCTGGCCAGTGTTGATGCAGTTGGCCGGTCGTCGTCCGAGATGACCAGAGGCCGGCCTTGGGGCGGGTCTATCCGCAGAGCCTGGCCGCGGTAGTGCGGCAAGGGCTCCCTCTTAACCGGCTGGGCCCCGTACGCACCATGACCATGCTGCGGCATGCCATAGGCACCCGGTGGTACGTAGCTGGGGTCCTTGGATTCGAGTGGTATCGCCGCGGACTTGCTGTCCACCTTTTGCCAGCCGGGGCCTCGCTGGGGCGGATAGCCCGCGCAGAGGAAGCCGCCTCGGATACAGTTGCTACCTGCCGATGCTGTCAGTCTTGTCTTGCCTCGATTCCACGGGGCCAAGCTCACATTCTGGCTTCTGCTCATCACACTTCTTCTTGCGTTTGCGGCAAGTGAGGCACCCAGTCTTGGTCCGGTTGCTAAAGTTGCGCTTTCGCTTCTTGGGGTCGTGCTGAAGGATAGAGTCTTGCCTGTGCTCGCCGCCGTACGGACTCCCGTACGCGGCCATTGACCGGTCCTCGGCATCGGGGCTGGTCTGGCTGTAGTCGCTGTGATCCATCTGACCCGTCGCTCTCCGCAATGCCTCGCCAATCTGCTCTTCCGTCTGACCTTGAGTCGGGGTGGACGAGTTTGGCTGTCCTTCGTATGATGCCTTGTCATCCTGCCAAGACGATTCCTTGTCCCGCCGTTCGTCGTCGTCGTAATGCCGGTACTCTCGCTTCAGCGGCCCGTATGACTCCCGGGAATCTGCAGTGGTCGGAGCTGTCGCCGTGTCCGGTGTCCGCTCCTGTACCTGCTGCTCACGCCGCGCCTCGACCGAGTCTGAGCGCTTGCGCTTGTGTGCTCCTTCTACCTGAGCATAGCTTGAGGGTTGATAACCAGGCCGTTCTTGGTCCCTCCATCCATCCTTGTGGCTGACTACTTCGGGGGAAGCCCGTGACCGGTGCGTGGCAGAGCTCTGGGGCCGTTCATCAGAGGTACCGCTCTTGTCCGCGACGTCACTAGGTTTCGGAGGAGGATCCGCCGCCTTAGGCGAGGCACCGTTGAGGGCGGTGAAGCTGGACATGATAGGCCGTCTTTGGCGTTTCTACAAACCGCTGGAGAGTATGTAGTCTTGCTTGCGTGACAGATTATGCGTGGCGGCCGAATAGCGCTCAGATGCAGCCAGGCTCTTCCACCGCGAGATTCGATAGTTGGTCGCTTACAAGGCTGTCGAGACTGGGCTTTGCGGCCCGATCAATAAGTTGAGATAAAGAGATTAGAAGAAACACTCAGTCATTGAACCCGAACAACTCAAGTCGATGCGGCGAGTGATTGCACGCTGTCAAGGGGCGTGCAGTTAGATGCCTCTGCAGCGCCGCCTTGCTGCTGTCTAAAGGGACCAGCCCACAGGTGAACAATGCAAAAGAAACAGGACTCAGGCAGTGAAAACCGCTGCCCGCAGCCCTATCCTGGACGACTTGTGGTGATTAACGCGCGCTCCAGTGAAAGTACGGCTTATCGTATGTCGTCAGTGACTGGCGGTTGCGTAATGGCCGCGGCGGGCAAACGCCAAAGTTGGTGGTGACGCTGTCACGGGCGGCCGCGCTTGCAGTGGTTAGGAACCCGCCTCTCTTTTTTTGGCGCGCGATTATGCTGTAGGCAGGGTCTGGCGCGCCTGTTTTGGCGGCGGGGATGGCGGTTCGTTTTTGTGCCTGGGGAGCGAGCAAACGAGGGTGAGGGGCGATTGTGCCTCGTCGCGGACTGGGCAGGCACTTAATAAGGCTGCTGCAGCAGCAGCGAGGCGCTCTTCGGGACCGTGGTGGTGGCACCGAGTAGCAGGGAGCGGGCGGGCGGGTCTCGGGTTGAGTCCGTACTCGTACTTCGTACTTGGTAGGGAGCCAGCCCTTGCTTGGTGTCCGTCACAGTTGTCCTCGTGGTGGTGGTGCGTCGTCTTTCTGCTGTCAGATAGTATAGTCGGGCAGGGCGCACAGCTCACAGCCGCGGCAGGTGAATGCGCGAGTGCCAGTGCGGCTCGCTATGCGACGATCCGTTGCGGCCCCGTCAAGCACTGGGCAGCAAGTAAAGCGCGAACGCGCGAGCGAGCGAACGAACGAGGCGAGCGACCGCGCGGTTTGCAGTGAGGAGGGAGCAGTGAGCGTCGAGTCGGGCGGCGGCCAGAGCAGGGACGGCTCCGTGAGCGTTGCACTTTTTCGGGAAACCCAGTCCCGGAAAGCTGAGATGTGAGTGAGATGCGCCGTTGGATGTCGCCAGCGCGCAAGGGCCGCGAACCAGGAATCCGCTCTTGACCGTGTTGGCGTCGAGACAATGTCTGGGGTGGAGGCCACGCTCGAGCGTCCGGGTCGACGTTGCTGGGTGAGGGTGAAGCAGGAAGCGAGAACTGAGGGCGCGCAGGTTGAGCGAGGTGTGGTGGAGGACGGGGGAGGCGGCGAGGATAAGGGTCCGGACGGCTTGGGATGGAACGCACAGAGGCACTTCCGTCAGGTTCACGTCGGCCGGCCGTGGTCCTTCGCTCACACTTGCCTGCTCCGGGGGCGTCGGCATCGGCGTCAGTGTCGGGCAGCCCAGGCGCCTCGTTGTCGACGTCCCAACCCCAAGGTTACAGTACGAAAGAGGTACGCAGCAAGGTAAGCGGCCGACGAGCCAGGGGGACTGGCGCGAGTAGGCACACGCCACCGCCGCACCCCAGGGGGGGAACCACGGGGGGCGAGTAAGTTGCGAAAGCTGGAGAGAGACAGGCACAGCCAGGCACGGATGCCTCGTACACGGGCACACTTACCTCTCTTACTCTGAGGACTCTCGGCCAGGCGCATGCCACGCCCGGGATTCCTGCCGCCCCTTCGCCGTGCCTTGGATGCGCTGCTCCTCGTTTCTGCCCGCTCGGCCTGTCCATCGCCGCCTTGGACGAGAGAAAAGGGACCGAAACGAGACCGCAGGACAACCTGTTCAAGCTGCCGCCGCCGCCGCTGTTGCTGCTGCTCGCCACCCTGCGCCAGGCTAGGCGGCACCGTGCATGGCTGGCTGGCTCGAGGGCGGACAGCCTGCCGTCGCTCCTGTCCACCCCCCTTCACAGTCGCCGTGGGCCGCCAGGCGATCGCTTAGCCCGGATGCCGCGCCTTTTCGCACGCCGTGGGCTCCCCCCGTCCCTGTCCGCCCGCCACGCTTCGCGCCTTTTCATGCTCCCTCCCCTCCAACTGTCGGGCGGCATGGCGCTTCGGCGACTGGGGGGCACAGGGACCTTGGCCCGGCCAGGGGTCCCCTAGGCTCCACGCCCTCGCACGCGTGGGTGGGCCACTTCGTGGGATGGCTTGAGGGGGGTGCGTCTTCTCTCGAGTCCTCGGCCGCGCTTCTTTGCTTCCAGAGCGTTTGGTTGACTGCGGCTGGTGATTGACTGGCGACATCCACAGAATGCCGCGCCGCGTTCGAAGCCGCAATTTGAAGCAGAGAGTTCCTGCAGTGCGCCGTCAACCAACGGCAAGAGACCATTATCATGGCCTTGCCGTGAGTTAGTCTTGTCTCCGAATCACGCCGTGTTGCACATGGCACAAAGTCAGCCTCACCCAGTCCACCAACACCGCCGGTCCCTTGCCCATTCCTCCGGGCCCCTCTCTCCTCTTGCCGTCTTGCCTCACCGCGACGTTTGCCTGGCGGTCTGGCCCCGAGTCGTGCATGAGCATCGTAACCGCAGCCGGTGACGACGACCATGAGCCACCGCGTGTGATATCATATAATCAAGGCGCTTACCAGCACCAAGTGCGAGCCACTTGGTTCGCAGCGGTGGACGCCATACGGAGTGGCCGGGGCCGCAAAACGAACCAGGCATTGTCCCATACAGAGACAGTCTGTGCCAACCCTCACCCCCGACACAGGCGAGGGACGCAAGTGTGGACCGACGTGTGCTTCCCGTACATCCTGACGGTGCACATGTGTTTTGTTGGTGCCAACACCACCAACCGGGGAGCCTTCCATCGGCACCTCTGCCAGAATGCCTTCGAACAACGTCGAGGGGAGAGCGACCAAATTCCCTGGCTTGCAGTGACGGAAGCGAAGACAGAGATCCGCACCCCGGCCCGCCGGTGGATCAGGGGCGTGGCCGCAGCAAGCGGTGCTGCCGCGAGAGCGCGCCGCCGCAGCTGACTCCACTCGCGTCTCTGGCCCGACTCACATTGTAAGCCGACTTGTCGACCTCCAAATGTTGGGCGAGCATTTTCAGCGACGAGACAAGGCCACCTCATGCCGTGCGTGCGTGCGTGCGTGGCCAGAGCAGGTGCATCGTCAACTTGGCCGCTATCGAGGTGGATACCACCCTCTCTTTCGAGAGCAATATTTCGGACCCGACTGCGACAGCAGCCAACGGCAGTTGGTCCGACCGGGCTCTGTTGGCTGTCATAGATCACATTCTCCTCGCGATCTTCGACCCAGATGCCAGGTGCCGGACAGTTTCCGCCAAGTCGCCCGCGCAAAGCACTCTGCATCTTACATGCTGCGTCTCCGATGAGCTGCAAGTCGAACAGGGGTCCAGTTGGCCTCGCGCGGGCCCGGCCTCCTTTTGCCCAAGACTCGGCCAAGCCGTTTCTTCGGGCTCTTCCTAACTTAGTCGAGCGTGTGCTGTTGGTGAGCATCACGGATAGTGACAGTTGCGGTTGCGCCTCCGGTCGATCCCATTCTTGTCGGAACCAACAGCCCGCCTTTTCGCCCAGAGAACAACTACTCAAATTCCACTGCCGGAGGTCATGCGACGGCGTGAGTCGTCTCTCGTTAAGCACGAGATTCCCGTGGTCAGCGGTGGTTCTGTCGTACAACCGTTCCCACAGGGCCCGGCCAGTCTTGACAGGCGATAGCCATCGCCCCATTGTGGCATTCTTCTGGTGTCCTCCTCCCTTCGGCTGCAAGTCAGTCTCCGCCCGCAATGGCACAACAGCTCGCCTACTCAACGTGGGGCCGTGCCGTCCGCACAGTGACTACGAAGCGTGTTCCGCGCCAACAATTTGCTTGGCGTCTTCGGTTGACGGATGGAGATGCTGGCCCATTGCTGCGGCAAACCACCTCCACGCGGGACAAATGAGTGGCGTCCACTCCTTCGGTAGCTGGTGGAACTGGGTGAGGTAACGGGGGAAACTAGCTTGTAGAATAAGCCTGGAGCTTCATCCGGTCCGCGCTTACAGCTATTCTGCAGTTGCAAAAATCTTACAGCCGGAGACTGCGCCGCAAATGCGCGGCCGAGCGCATCCCGCACCAGTGTCCTCGGACTGTCGCAGAATGACTTGGTCCATCGCCTCGCGTGCTCGATGACGAAAGCGCAAGGCATCGCTCACCCATCATTCTGGCGGCCGCCAGCCACAGGACTGTTCCCAGAGGGCTGCGATGGCAGGTTTCAAGGCTGAGGGCTGGCCAATGGACGGGACGCAGACAGGGGTCTCTTGTCGCCCGATGAAATATCGGTTTAACGCCGCGTCTAACATCGCCGCTTCGTATCGCCGCCGCCGCGGGTCACTCGCGGCTGTGCCAGGCCACGTACGCTAGTCCCCTCGGACCTTGCGCTCGTCAAAGACGCCAACTCGGGTAGGGAGACCAGGTCCGGGTGGTTGACTTGGCATGCCCGACGCCCTGGGACTCCCGCAGCGGAGACCCAGGCAGGAGTGGGAACCGAATTTCTCATTCTCGCAGGCCGTTGAAGCTGACGGACCAACGCAAATTCGTCGCAGAATGCTTCGTACATTACGTGGTCAGGAGCCAGAACCGGCTTGCGAGCGTGTGCACCAACCGTGTCCGAATCGAGGTCCCCTGATGAGCCAAGAACCGTTCGGTGAAGGCCCGCAGGGGGGAGGCTCCCGGCCGAAAGCTTCACAGCTCGCACACTGCGGCCTGGACCAAGAATTGGAACATGATGGGGGCCCGGCCCCGTCGTCGAGCGGCACGGTCTTCACCAGAACTTGGATCAATCGGCCATTGGATGCCAGCAACGGTCTTTCGGAAGGTTGTGTCGCATGGCTGGGTCCTCCACAGAAGGGTCACAGCCGGCACTTGGCCTTGGTGATGCACTGGGTATCCTCAGCCACCATGGTACCGAGAACGGACCGCTAGTGGTGCAAGTCATCCCGTCAGCACGGGCCTTGGTGCAGCGCTTGTTCCAGGTATAGTTTGCAACGCGTCCAGACTCCCCACCCCGCTTCGCACGGCTGTTGCCGCCTCAAAACCGCCGTCATGGGGCCCCAAGCGCCGAGGCGACCGGCGTTGGGCTCGATGGGTCAATTCGTATTGACGCGACCTGGCCCTTCCGGCCGTCACGACGATCGCGACCGACCTGTTGGCGACATCGTTGGTACCCAGACAGGACGGCCGTGCGGTTAGAGAGAGAGAAACCTGGGGTCGCACAGAATGTGTCAAAGGCACAGATGCTCCCGACTCACCGCCTGTAGCCGACATTTGAGCAGCAATAATGCCCGGACAGGCAGCGGCGGTACTCGTCAACGCTGGACCGAGCTCATTGGCGTGGCGGGACCTTTTGCTGGAAGCCGCAGTCCTGGCACTCCGTACACGGCCCAACAACCGCCAGCTGATCTGCCTACCGTCGCCGTCACCGTCTGGGGCGTTGGTTCCGTCCCACAGGTTCTTCTGAAGCACAGCCTCTCGGTGCGGCCGTATTCTGTTGAGCCTCGACCTTGCAATGCAACGAGGGACGCTTGTGCAAATATGACACTTTTAGCAGAGGCTGGACCGTCGATAACTACATGGCCGACCGTGACCAGCATTATCCGCGACCCCGATTGGGAATCGTGGTCCGTAATTGGCGGCTGATGGTCGTCGGCGGCGGAGCTTAACGCCGGTCGCGACAAGCTGAATATCGACAAGGGTTCAACACAGGCACTCCGTCTAGCTCGGACAGCTGGGCGGCTCCCTGTGACGGAGGTTGGCAGCGAATCCAGCGCCTTCCGAACGGAGTGTCCAAGCTTGGGCTCCGAATCACCTGGCGTAGCATTATGCCAGGACAAGTTATCGTTAGACCGCGGCAATGTCACAGGCGGCGCCGACCTCGCAAACCCGCGGCTAGAGATGTGCCAAGGTGCTGAGGAGCTGGTTTGGAAATCCAGAGGCCACTTTGGGACCTGGATCATGTGCAGATCCGGGACACTGCGTGCTGCCGGTTCGTTTTGGGCCGTCGCTTGGCTTGACGGCGGGATTTCCGTTGACGCACAGCAGCTTTGCTTCATCAACCCTCGAGCAGGATTGCCAGCTTGTTGGCCGGGGCAGGGAAAGCAGCAAATGGCTGAGTGAAGCAGCCCCAGAGGCTGCAGAGGAGGGTGCGGTCGCAGTCGATGTCGGTTGGGCGGTTGGTTCGCTGCTGCAGGCGCCCTTGTGGTGGTGTGGCTGCTATTCCTGGAACGTGCGGCGCCCCTGATTGATCCTCACACGTCGAGCTGTCGCCAACAGCTGCCTCGGCGCCAACGCGGCTGCTTAGTGGTCCCCATCGAGCCGCCCAATTCGGAATGTCCGTCGCGGGCGTGCCTTGGTGCCTCCGTCCCTTCAGCCAAGCGGTTGATCTGTCAGCACGGGCAGAAAGGTTCGTCCCGTGGGCAAGACGGAGTGTGGCAGACAGTCGGGCTGGAGTGGGCTGCTCAGCCGTGCCGTGTGCGCGCATGTGTGGGGAGGAGGGGGAATGTTGGTTGAGCGGCGGCAGCTTTCTTGGTGTCGTCTGCGTTGGCTGCAGGTCAGCGAGTGATGGGGAAGTCGTCGGGGCGGCACCCCACGGCCAGAGTGCGTCGCGTGGGAAGCCCGCGTGGGAGGAGACTTGGCGTGCCTGGCCTAACGCTGCACCATGAGAAGAGGGCGCAACGAGGACAGAGAAGAGGAGTGGTTCGGGGAACCGGCTTGCTTCTGTTCTGCTTGCCGTCCCTCGCTCTTTCCGAGTTCCTCTCGAGGCTCCTGCCAGGACGGGCCCGTACATGTACTCCGTTTTGCATACATATAAGATACTTTGCACTTCGCTCCAGGAAAGTGCGGGTGCGGACCCGGGACGGGATGGCGCCTGCCTCGGGAGCCGCCAAGCGCGGCTTCAACATTCTTCAACATCAACAAGCCCATGGAACCGAGCCCCCAGCGCCTCAAGGGAGAGAATGCATCAGGATAACTCTGAAGCGCGGGACTGGGTGGGTACTAGCCTGTGGCCGCAATTCCCGCTGGCACCATCGCCACGCTTCAGAGGCGAGCTGCTTCCAGTTTGCCTTCGAAGCCTGGAGGGGGCATCACAGACCAGCCCTCGCATCGTCAGCGCAGCCAATCAAACCACCCAAGCTCTCCCCAGAGCCTCACCTCACCCCAACCCGCTGCCCAACACCAACGTCACAGACCGTGATGCCAGTCGAGCGGCGTTTCTTTTCCTCCCCTTCGGCACACACGGGAGTGGCGTGCGTCGTCGAGGAAAACCCCCCGTCGCTTCTAATAACCCTCCGTGCCCAAAAATAAAACGATGCGAGAAATCCGTCCTTGATCCCCCCAGTCCCCAGTCGCGCGGCAGCCAGCCAGCCAGCCAGCCCTGGGCGCGTACGCGCAGCACGTAGCAGCAGGTCCCCCAGCTGGAGCAACCACTCGTAGCGCAGATAGCCGCCCGCTAAGCGCCAAGCAAAAGCAACCACCCAGGCCCCCCGTCCCCCCCTTGGCGCCGTTTATGGAACGTTTCCAGTCCATCGGCTCTGGCGAGGGCTTGCACGTCGCCCTCATCCATGCTGTGCGCCTGTTGTCTGTAGACTTTCCCTCGCCAAACGTGTGCGCATCCCGGTCTCGCGGCGACGCCGTGCGTCCTTCACACGCGGTGACCATGTCGTCTGTCTATTCTTACTCACTTACTCCCCCTTGCCCTTGCTTAGGCGCGTCTGGGGCTTCGGCCCGCTTCCCATGAGCGTTTCTTACTTACGTCCTCGACGACACTAGCAGGTCGTCGTTGCCACACCTCATCCCGTTTTGGTGTCGTCGGCGGCGGGAACGGCCGTGTGCTTATCATGTCCCGCCAATAGACACTGAGATTAGGACGCTTCACGATGTCTCTGGGGACCTGTGCGTCGTCGTTAAGCGCAGTGGCTTACACGCCTCCGGTGCCCGTCCCCGAGCTCCCTCCAGTGGACGCGCCGAACACTCATCGTATGCCCAGCAAGTCACTCTCTTTTGTCTAAAGGCGCTTGTTCGATAGCATGTATTATCGTTGATTGGTCCTTTCGCGTGGCTACTCCGTCATCTATGCCTCCAGCCTCACTACCTAACCCCCTTTGCCCGCACCGTCGAGGCATCACAGGCCAGCTCGCGCTCACACACCCCTACGCCTGGCAGCTTTAAACGTCTCAATAAGCACAAAGGAGTGAGCGTATCCCTCTTCTCGCACACCCATCCCCTGCCGTGTCATTCGTGCGGCGCAACCCCCAGGAACCCGAGCTGCCGGCATGCCCTTCCCCGATCCAGGGCCATCTTGATATCCATCTCCAGCCCGATCTCTCCGCCGACATGAGCCCTTGCAGCCGCCGGCAACTCCTTTTAGGCTGTCCCTCCTTGCGTTTCTATAATAAGCCGCTGCACATGTGCTTGCAGCCGCCGGTGATCTGCAGCTTCTTAATAAGACGTCATATAGACCCGGGTCATGGGGTTGTCGGGTCTTCGTCTGCCCCTTACCCGGTCTCTCTTCTGCCCACCTCGTCATGCGCTGTTGCCTTGCTTGGAGCGCTTCCATGGAAGCGCCCCTCCTGGCCGTTATGCTCAATGCGTGGCGTCTTGACCTAACCGCCCACCCACTCGCGAACGAGACGTAACACGGACATCACTGGCCCAAGTCCCTATCATGCTGCCCCGGGAACGCATTCGAGTCGGGCCGCTATGACATCAGCGCTTCGCGGGATAAAAAGGCACAGCAATTGCAAATCACTTGGCCGGGGTCTCTGCAAGCGCTCAATACGTCGGAGGGGTTGTTTCATTTCTATTTTTGTTTGTTCAGGAACGCGTTCATACACATGCCATCTCATGAGGCTCGTAGTCCCACAGGGGTCCCCTACCTACAATTATCCTTGGTCGAGACAGCCTCCGCCGGCTCGGCGGTCCCGGCGCCATCGTCCCTATCTGCCGACACTGACCTCGTTGTTGTTATGCGCCCAGAGGTGGACCTTGGCCCTGGTGCCCGCGCGTAGGCCTATGTAGAGGTACCTTCACGATACTTCTCTCATTTCTTTTGCCGTTTGGCGCTCTTGTCGCTCACCGCACTCAGCACACTGGCGCTCCGCTTGTGGTTTGCACCACTGCTTCCAGGTCTGCCCGACTTCCCTGCCTCAGCCTTATCTTCTTGCGGCTCCTGGCTGGCTTCTGGCCCGTCGGTCGGCCGTTGTGTCTCATTTGTGTCATCGCCCTTCTCCGCCACGTCTGGTTGCTCGGGTTGCCCCTCGCCGTTCCCGTCATCGCCATCGGCTTTGGCAGTCTCTTTGGGGCCCTCGGCAGGCTTCTCCTCGCTGCCGCCGGCTTCTCCGTTCGTCGCCGCTTTCTCCGCCCCAGCTTCGGGTCCCGATTCTGTGCGCGCCGTCGTCTTCTCGCGCTCTGCTTTCTTGGCGCTCTCCAGCTTGATCTCGGCATCGAGCTTATCCGAGATCTTGCGTGCGTCGAGAAGGCTATTGACTGCAGCCAGGAGCTGCTCGTACTGAAGCGTCGTGGCCGCGGTGGGCATTGCCAGTTTGCTCGGAACGTCCAGCTCGTTGAGCGTATTGTTAATACGTATCTGCTGCTGGTTGGACTTGTGCGAGAACATCTTGTTGATCTTTTCGGTCCTGAATGAAGGTCCAGATCCAAGTCTGTCGTGATGAGTGACGCCGTATACAGCCTCCTCTTGAGAAGTGAGCTTGCGCCGCTCTTGTGGCTGTTGCGGTTGCTGCGCTTGTTGTTGCTGCTGCTGCTGTTGTTGTGCGGCCTTCTTGTTGCCTCCGGTCGGCGTCGCCGCAGCTCCGGTTGATTCGCGATTGTTGTTCCCGGTTGAAGCAGCGGTGCTCTCTCGCTTGGCAGACTCCTGTGTGCCGGCTTGTTGCGCGGCGGCGGCGGTGCCCGGGCTCACTCCGTCTGCGCCCATGATTGACTTCCGCTTCTTAGTCTTGTCGACCGTCATCAGAGTTTGAAGCAGAGCCTGCAGGCCTGCAGACGACTTGAGGGAGCTGATATCCGCGTCCCCTCGCGGGTAGTCCAGACGGTTGTAGAGCTCCCTTCTCTCTTCATTGAAGCGCTCGCTCCTTGCCATGATCCGCTTGATCTCCAAGAGAAGTGACTCTTCTTCCCTTGCCTCCTCGCGAGATCTTGACAGAGAATTGATGGCGAAGTCTTTGCGAGCCTTCTCTTGCTGCGGATTGAAGTTCGCCATCAGCTCATGTAGCGCGAACTCTGGTTGTGTCATGTATTGAACGGGTTTCTGAGCCGCCATCATCTTCGCTGCGACCTCATAATATCGAGCCTTCAGGTCTTCCATCGTCCGCGACCTTGCTGTGGGCACTACAGCTTTGCTCTCGTCGCCGTCCGCATTCGCTTCGCCGTTGGTCGCTGGAGGATTCCACTCGTATCTGTCCCAAATGATGGGCCAGCGGATATCAAAGTCCCGAACGAGATCCATCAGGTAGTCCGTCTCTTCCTTGGACCAGTCGTCGCTCTTCAGAGACTGCCGATACTGATCGTCGCTATATTGAGGGACGGAGACCTGGACATTATACTTGGCAAAGGCAGAGTCTTCCATCTCCGGTTCCGTCTTGGGCTCCGGGTCCTGCTGCATCTCGTCTTGGCCCTCCTTCGTTTCTTTCCGCCGCCAGTGCCGCAGTACCAAGCTGCGGTCCTCGCGACCTGAATTCTGGAACGGCCGCAGCTCCCATCGCGCCGCCGGCTTGCGGCTGGCGAGTCGTCGCTTCTTGAACTGCGTGACTTCGGGCACTATCGCGATCGGGTTGTCGCCACCAAGCTGGTGCACCTCGCGCGCCAGACCCTTCAGATTCGGCCTCGGCGCCGACATCTTCTGCTTCTTGGACGGGCGCGCCCCGGCGGCGCCATCGGGCAGATTGAGGACATCGCGAACGTCGGAGGAGGACATGCTGATTGGATGCGTCGACACGGGGCCCTAGATGGCGGATTTCATCGCCAATCGCATCGGCTGCGGGAGGCGACTCGACTTTTGGCGCGTTCGAGCCCAGAAACGAAACCGATACGCGCTATTGTCGTGTGTTCGATTGAAAATGGCAAAGTGATGTTGTCGCGCTGGCTCTCGAAATTTTGGGGTCGCTGCTTAGTGACGAACTGGGCGTCGCTGGAGACGCGCGCAGCCTTAGCCAGCGGCGCACGTGACCCGAGCACCGACCCCTGACGGGCCATTTTCTTGAACGTGGCAGCTTCCCACACGCGGCAGCTCGACCACGCGCAGCAGAGAGTGTCTCCCACATCCCACAACGAGCACCCCGACAACGACGACGACGACGATCTCGCCGTGACGACACACAGGACCGTCGCCAGCTCAACAACGAACCCCAGGTCGATCGACCCTCTCCAGATTGGCTGCGCGATCTCGAATACCCCTGGCCAACATGAGGTTCCTCCTGCCGCTGCTGACGCTCGTGTCAGCCGCCCAGGCGCTGTACTTCTACGTCGACGGTGCGACCTCGAAATGCTTCTTCGAGGAGCTGCCAAAGGGCACGCTCGTTGTCGGGCACTACTCTGCCGAGGAATGGGACGACCGCATGCACGCGTGGCAACAACACAGCGGCATCAGCATCTTCATTTCCGTCGACGTACGACACCGCACTCTGCCTGCACCGAGACCAAGTCAAGCTCGCGCGGGCTTCTTACAGACAATTGCTGACTGTTCGATGTAGGAGGTATTCGACAATGACCACCGGGTCGTGTCGCAGCGCGGCCAGTCGTCCGGCCGCTTCACCTTCACCGCGCAGGAGGCCGGCGACCACAGAATCTGCTTCACCACGTCTAGCAGCTCTGGACGTTCCGGCTGGCTCTCGTCGAGCGGCCCCAACGGTGGCATCAAGCTGCGCCTCGACCTTGCCATCGGCGACTCCAACCAGATCGAGAGCAGCGACAAGGGCAAGCTCCAGGACATTGCCAGCCGCGTCAAGGACCTCAACGCCAGGCTCAACGACATCCGTAGGGAGCAAGTCTTCCAGAGAGTCCGTCACCACAGTCCTTCGCGAGCGCTGCATGCCTTGCTGACTTGCATTACAGGAGCGAGAGGCCGAGTTCCGCGACCAGTCCGAGACGACCAACGCTCGCGTTATTCGCTGGATCATCATCCAGCTCATCGTCATCGGCATCACCTGCGCATGGCAGCTCTCCCACCTGCGCTCCTTCTTCATCAAGCAGAAGCTCACTTAAACCACGAATCTGTCATTTAGGAGTTGTTATGTGGGATGACGCAAAATATGTACTGTTAGAGATTCGCGCATGGCCAAGGAACTCGGGCGGGGAGGCATCAGCCTTTTGGGCTGCAGCGGCGTAAGGAATTGGGGCAGACAGGCATGACGCGCTGCGGCCCATGGTACGACTGTCGATGTAACCAAATCTACGTAATGTCACTGTTAGAACCCGGGGAAAAGGAGCATGCGAGGAGATGATTCAAGACTTCTATTTCCATTACAATGAACACCGGGCGAAAACTCCATAACTGCGGCAGTGATGAGTCTCAGCTTGCAAACATGATCCTCCTCCGTGCACCGCGCCCGACTCTGTCCTCACTGCACGCGCCGCACCTCTTCTGTCCCCTCCTTTCCGCGCCCCAACCGGCATCCTCTCCACCCAACCTGTCCAACCTTGGTCCCTCACTATGCCGAGGCGAGAGAGGCTAGGATCTAGGAAGGTTTATTATAGACGGCGTCGTAGGAAAAAGTGAGAAAATACACCATGAAACCCCATGCTGCCCTTCGTGACCACCCTGCGCCGTTGCTGCGCTGCACCTGGAAAGAGGCTCGACTATGGTTTTTGTGACGGAATATCAGACATAAAATGAGTTACGAAAGGCAGGCCACCGGGGTTCGGGACCGGCCGTCCTCAATCTTCTTCCGCGGTTTTGTTCGGTTCCGCGCCCTCTCCTGTTGCCGAATCGTCCAGCGGCTCCCTCGTTGTCCTCGATGTTGTATAGGTGCGAGTTCAAGAAGCGGCGGTGTCATGACCGGTCGTTTATACTTCGACGGCCTTGATTGCGGACGGCTTTGAGTGTACCTGCGCCCTTGCTCGAGAGTCCGCGTTTGTACGTAGTAAATCGAGTGGACTTGGCGAAAAGCAGACCAGGAATCGAAATCCCTGTAGTCCCAGGGCAGGCAAGAGCAAAAAGTCATCTTCGGCGGTAAGGGGGGCATGACCGGCGACCGAGAGCGGCGATGACGATGACGACGACGACGACGGCGAATTGTGCGAAAGTCATCCCAGAAGGTAGGCGACTAGCCGCAGCAAATTGCCTTGATGAACTTCTGGAAGCCACTGGGCTGGGGCTCCGCAGGCCGCTGGCTAGGCTGGCCCGCCGCCACCATGGGGCCCTGCTGCGGCACCCTCTGTTGCGGCAGGTTCTGGGTGCTGTTCTGGAATTGAGCTTGAGTAGAGCCAGTCGGGGTGGCCATATCTCGGAGACCCCCCACCCCGCTGGTGCGCTGGCCCGGGATGGCGCCGGGCGCGCTTGGCCGATCTCTCTGCTTGCCCATCTGCTTGATCGGTGACGGAGTGGGGGGTTGTGCGGCGTTTAAACGGCTGACAGTGAGGTTCTGTGCTTGCTGGTGAGAGTTGGTATTCCCAGGACGATGGCCACTGTGAAGTTCCATTTGAGATGGGCCGGGCCTCACGTTTGGGTTGTGCAGGTACGCCGCGCTGTGGTTCTTCATCGAGTCCCACCCCTTTCCCGAATCCTTGCTGATCTTCATCCAGTCGTACTCGCCGTCCTCGACCTCGCCGGCGTTCTTTAGGGCCTGGCTGAAGAGGTCCCGGAGGTAGTCGTAGTCGGGGGTGTCTTCGAATCCCAGGTTGCGAACGTACGTGAGATACTTGCAGAACTCCTCGGGGAAGCCTTCACAGAGGTCCTTGATGGCCGTGGTCTGTTTCTTCTCGCCAATCTTCTCGTACTTTTGCTTGTTAGTTGCAGCCTTGAGGCCTTGCCAGGGCAGGCCACCTCGCAGGAAGTACATGAAGACATGTCCGAGCGCCTCCAGATCGTCTCGCCGGGACTGCTCGCGGCCCAGGTGGGTGTTGATGCTCATGTAGCGAGCAGTGCCCGACAGAGATTTTCGCTCGCGGTATGGAATGTGCTGCTTCGTCTTCGGGTCCCGATACTGCTTGGCCATGCCGAAGTCGACGACGTGGATGACGTTGGAGGCCTTGGTGCCCGGGCGACCAATCAAGAAGTTGTCCGGCTTGATGTCTCGGTAGATGAGGTTCTTCTCGTGTATCGTTTGAACCCTCGAAAGCATTTGCTTGGCCACCATGACGACCGTCTTGATGGTGAACCGCCGTCCGCAGTGGTCGAAGAGGTCCTCCAGCGAAGGGCCTAGGAGATCGATGACGAGAATGTTGTGGAGGCCTTCCTGGCCGAAGTAGTAGACGTTGGGGATGCCAGCTGCTCATGTCATTAGCCACGCCGGTTCTTTGATATTGGGCATCGGAGGGCCCATTCCAGGGGACGAGGGAGTGCTTACGGCAACCAACGAGGATCTTGTACGTTCGGTATTCATCTCGCAACTGGGGAGCGTCGCTCTTTCGAGGCTCCTATTCGGGGGTCGTCAGAGGCTGGTGCAAACAAGTACCTGGGGCGAAGCGGGGAGGAAGGCTCACAAATTTGATGGCAACTTGCTGGTTGTTCAACAGATTGGTTCCCTCGAAAATGACACCGAATGAACCCTCGCCAATCTTCTTCCCCACACGGTAGTGGACACCGACGACATTTGACGAAGACGAAGCCATCGTGTCGGGTCCAGCGAGAACACCTCAGACAATCGTGAGATGGCAGACGGGCGCAGCGATGGTGTTGTTGCGGTGACGCGCGTTGCAGCTGGCGTCCGCCGGTCGGAACTCGACGGGTGGCCGGGTTGGCTGCTGCGAGCAGGCGAAGCTCGGTGGAGCAGCGACGCTCCGGCTGGAGAGCGAAAAGGGGCGACAGCCGCGGCGGCAGGCGGTGAACGATCCCAAAGAGACGAGCAGTCAGCGACGATGGGAAAGAATAAGCATTTCTGAAGCGATGCGGTCGCGGACACGGTCGGCGTCGAGGGGGGGGGATCGTGTGTTGTTGTGGTTGTTGTGGTGGTGGTGGTGGAAGTGGAAAGGTTAAGTCTGCCTGCACCAGACGGTGAGGCAACAGAAACGGGGGGGCGAGAGGGAGTCGGCCGGTGGGTGTGTGCGGACGCTTGGGCAGGTGGACGGGGCGAGAGGAGTATTGGGGGAATTTCTCGACCAAGCAAAAGTCTGCTCATGAGGGCCAAGTGCAGTGTTAGCAGGGGGGGAGCGGACGCATCCACTGGGCTGGGGAGGGGGGGAGCACCTTGGAAGGGGGGGGATATGATGGGGCGCGCGGGCATCCAGGACAGCCCCAGCAGACTGCAGCAGCCAGCGGGCAGCCAGCAGCCGGAGCCAGCAATCGGTGGACAGCCATCCGGGCGGGCACCTCAGCGCCTGCAGCCAGCAGGGGCGCTGCAGGACGCCCGTCCACCTGGCATCCGCCCTCCTCCACTGGCGCCTCCAGCTAAGGCACTCGGACGCCAGGCCTCATCCAGGCAGCCCACCGCGCGCCGGTCAGCGGCCAATGGCCTGACCTGTCAGGCCCGACGCGGACGCCGTCTTATGCTGGAGGCATGCCATCGACGGTTCGAACAAGCAGCGTCGAGGGTCAGATGCCAAATGCTCGGGCGCGGCGCGCCTCTCGCCACGAACCTAACGAAAAACGGCGCCATAGATCTCGCCATTGCAGAACCCGGCACGCGCCTCGCCTCGTCGAACCAACCAGCCAGGTGGCTCCCATTGAGGCCAGGGCGGTGCCACAGGCGACGGCACAGTTCGGAGCTCCACCCCGTTGCTGCAGGCCAGCCAGCGGCCAGCGGCCAGCAGGCAGCGGAACCTGGAAGTGCCTGGCATGCGCGCCTCCGCCTCACCGCACCGACTACGGGGCATGCATTGGGTAGCTAGGTTGGTGCTGTGCTGTGCCTTGCCGACACAGAGTTCTCGTACACATTTCGCAGGTACTAGGCGAGGTGTCGTGCAACAGCTGAGGCAATGGATGAGGTGAGGGCCGATGCTCGGTCAGGCACCGATTGTCCAATGGCTCGGCCTCCATCCACGCGAGCGTCGCCGTCGCCGCCTGTCACGTTTCAACGCGGCTGTCGTCCTCGCGGGGCAGGCCCTGCCATTCGAGAGCCAGCGCGGACACGAGCGGAGGCGCCGCGGCCGCCACCACGCCAACACCAACCCCAGTGGGCTCGAGGTTTGGCTCGAGTCATCCACTGATTCAGGAACGCTCACGGCGGAGTGGATCGGGGCCTTTGGAGCCATTGAAGGTACGAAAGTCTAAAGTCCCTCTTCTTGGGGTGGGTTACGACGGACGGAACTATGGACGAGGACGCTCATACGCGCCGCACCGGAGCATTGTCAGTTCATCTATTCTGTATGCCGGGGCAATGTTCTAGTTCGGACTGACGCTCTGTTCCAGCGGCGGCTCCCCGACCTGCATAACCTTGCCAACTTGGTCGGCGGGTGCTCAGCCTGTGCCAATGCACACGCGCCCAATGCGCCCCCGGACACGGCGATTGGTCTCTCGACACCACCATTGAGATGAACCTACTTGTACATTCAAGAGAGAGGGAGCATAAACCTGGGCCGGCGCAGGCGAACTGACGCCAAGGGATCCAAGACAGAGATGCCCGGGTGTCTCCTTCCCTGGCTTGCCTTGGTCGGTGGTACCGAGTACCTGCGGGCTAGGCGATGGACCGTGCCCGGGCCGGGTACCGCTGCGCCCAAGGGTACAGAACCCCCGGGTACCTGTGGCTTCTGGACCGAGCCCTGGGCCGCCAATGTGGCGATCTGGACCACGGAGCACCCGACGACTGGCCTGGGCTGTGCTTTTTCTCGCCGCCCGCCCGCCCGCCCGCCCGCGCGCTGCTGTCGAACACACACGCGATTTCATCGTACAGCGCCGCGGTCGTCGCGATGCGGGAGCCAGATTTGGCGCGCACACGGATCGCCCGTGGCCTGCACGTGCACCGCCGACGGGGGCGCTCGTGACAGCCTCCTCCTGTGCATGTGCCATTTTGGGCTCATTGTCGCCCGCCGAGACACGCAGTCCGTCGGCATTCCAGTGGCTCGGTCGTCGCCTCATCAACCGACGGACGGCAGGACGGCGTCGATGCCGCCGTCCAAGACATGTCCAAGGAGTCGCAGGCCCTGCTGGCGAGATGATGATGACGACCAGCAATCTCGGGGCTTCAATCTCGCACCGGGCGCTAAGGCAGGGAGGCCACCCAGCAAACCCTGCTGCCAATCGACAATGGCCGACGAGCCCCTGTCTTCAGGAACGGACGCTTGATTTGATCAACAAGGATCGCATCACATCCGCGGCCGGCTGTCTTCCCCAGGTTTGTCCGTCAACCTCAACCGTGTCGAGCCGCGCCCGAACCTCCCCGGCGCCACTCGGCCGTGTTTGCTCGTCGCCGTGTCTGTTCTCCGGCCAGCACCACCAGGCGCTCCGGTCGCCCGTCCGCCCGTGGATTGACGACGACCTTGAGCCGACGAGGCATGCCTCACCGCCGCCCAGGCGTCGGCCTTGTCGCCCAGAAAGAACGTCCTTGTTTGCATGTACGGCCCCGCCCTTGTGCATTGCTCCGGCAGATTTCTCTCCACTTGGCATCGCAACCGTGGTGTCAACAACAAGCAGTGTGCTCAGGCTTTCTTGCGAGACGTCTCCCATCGTCCCATACCGCCATTTGCACCACCATGCCAGTGCACAGACGCCTGGGGTGTCTGCTGGATAGGGCAATACGTAGCAGAGGGCCTCACGCCTCGAGGTCTCGACGCACATGCGTCAAAACCGCCTCATGCATGAGCGTGCATATGCGGTCTCTCCTGTTGCTGCAGCGATGCGTCTGGGCTCGCTGCAAGAGCGCAACAAGACGAGAGGACAATGAGGCCCTCGCCGTCCTGGCTCGCAGGTGATTGTCTCTCAGCTTGAAGCTTTGGAGCTTTGCAGCCCAAGTCTGTGTCCTTCCCCGCCTTTCAGTTGTATCGCAGGAGCTGCAAGGAGGCTCCGACGTCTCGGTTGGTGCGGGCAAGAGTCGTGAGGCTGACACATGGCCGTCCCTGCTGCCTCGGGTAAGCAGCTTATTTCCACTGCCCGTCCTCGGACCCGACTCGGCTGTCGGGGGCATCGCGACAACCAAGGTCGTGGTGTTGAGCTCGGCATCGTGTCGCCTCGAGCCCATGTCCTTGACTTACCCTGGACCGCAGTGGGTTGCTTGTCTTGGCGGCTCAATGCTCGGGTACGAGTGCCGTTCTCCGAGCGACACCATGGACAGGACCGGCAGTTCAACCAGGCCTAGCGACGCCGTCGACACTCGTTGACACACGTCAGGCCACTTGACCTCTGCGACGCGCGGGTTCGCTGACAAACGTCCTGTTTTAACCGCCCCTATAATGCACCGGTTCGGCGACGAAACGGTCCACTTGGCGAGGGCTGCCCCGATAGTCCCTGGCGGTACCAGTCACCTGGCGAGATAAACCTCTCATTTTGGGTGCTGACTTCGGAGAAAACGGCTTTAATGGACCCAATCGCGGACAGCTGCCAGGGAAGCCATGGCGACATTTGCCAGAGCCGGAACGATGATGCGCCGTCGCGAGTGGGACGGATTGGCAGAATCTCCAAGAATCTCCCACCAGAGGTGGGGTGGTTCTCCTCAACTCGTGGCTGCCCCGCATCCCCTGTCTTGAGCGCCTGGAGGGGGGGGGCAACGACATCATCGGGGCTGCCCAGTATGAATATAAAGCCGCGGCCCGTTGCTCGTCGGCGTTGGGCTAGGGGAGAAGCTGGAAGAAGCACCACCTGTCCCAACGTACCGCGACTCGACGAACCGGCGCCATGACGAAGCCCGACGACATCCCCCCCATGACCTATCGGTTTCTCGGCCAGTCCGGTCTCCAGGTCTCATCCATCTCGCTCGGAGGCTGGCTCACGTATGGCGGCCACGTCGACAGAGGTATGGATTAGTGAAACGCTTCGCAAGTGGCTGGATTGGACGACTGACGGTATGCAGAGGGCACGTTTGCCTGCATGAAGGCCGCATATGACTGCGGCGTCAACTTCTTCGACTGCGCCGAGGTATACGCCGCAGGCGAGTCCGAGATTGTCATGGGCGAGGCCATCAAGAAGTACGGCTGGAACCGCAACGATTTGGTCATTTCCACAAAGGTAAGTTGTTGCCGACGTTGATGCTGCTGCAGATGGCTGATCCTCCGACCGCTGGCAGGTCTACTGGGGCGCTGCGTTCGGCAACAACCCCGTCAACAACAAGGGCCTCTCGAGGAAGCACATCGTCGAGGGCGTCAACGCCTCGCTCAAGCGCCTGAGCCTGGAGTACGTCGACCTCATCTACGCGCACCGGCCGGACCGGCAGACGCCGATGGAGGAGACGGTGCGCGCCTTCAACCACATCATCGACTCGGGCAAGGCCTTCTACTGGGGCACGTCTGAGTGGAACGCCGACGAGATTGCGCAGGCCTGGCGCGTCGCCGACCGGCTGGGGCTCATCGGGCCTGTCATGGAACAGCCAGCGTACAACATGCTCACGCGGGAAAAGGTCGAGGGCGAGTTCGCGCACCTCTACCGGCCGGAGAACGGCGGGCTCGGGCTCACCGTCTTCTCGCCCATGAAGCAGGGCATCCTGTCGGGCAAGTACCGCGACGGCATCCCCGAGGACTCGCGGTTCGCGCAGACGACGGTCGAGTTCATCAAGGGGTACTGGAAGCGCACGTCCAAGGATGACTGGGCCGGCATCGTCGAGCAGGTCAACAGGCTGCAACCCATCGCCGACCGGCTCGGCATCAAGATGAGCACCCTGGCCCTGGCGTGGGTGCTCAAGAACCCCAACGTGAGCTCCGCCATCACGGGCGCCAGCAGCCCGGAGCAGGTGTACGAGAACTGCCGCGCCGTGGCGGCGGTGGACAAGCTGACGCCCGAGGTCATGGAGGAGATTGACGGTGTGCTGAACAACAAGCCCCCGTCGGTGACGCTGCGGCACTGAGAGCGCGTATGTGTTTGTTCTGCTTTTCTTGAAATCGGCGTGAAGAGCCCTCCAGACGCCCACCGTCGTTGGTGAGAGCGAGCATGTGACTGGTTCTGGTCTTTAGAGAGATGCATCAAAACGCAGATAGGAATATAGGATCTCATATATGTATGCTGCACAAATGATCCATATGACTCATGATGGTAGTATCGGCTGCAGAAGTGACGTGCGCATCGCGGAATGAGTGGGCGCGGAACCGGCAGAGCTCGGCAATGGGCCTCGTCGAGGAGGTTCAAGAGGGGCGGGTTGCTGCAGAGTCCACCTTGGTCACCACCTCGTACATAGGTAGCTCCTGGATGGATGTACGACGCTGCGCTGACAGTCGCATATACGTCACATAGTTACTCACTCTCTCTTCTCGATACCTGCTGCGTATTCCCGTCACATCTCGCCAGGTAAAAAGCTCATCTCTCAACAATGGCAACTTCACGGCGCCTGCAAGAATGGTTCCCCTGGACGGCGGCGCCAGTCGTCTGCAACGGGCCCATGCTGGGCGTCGTCAGCCCGGCGCTCGCTACGGAGGTGACGAAGGCGGGCGGTATAGGTGAGGCGCCCTGGTTTGCCGTTCTACTCCAGTGACGCGCGTGTCGTCTGCTTGACAGTGGCCAGGATCGACGCTGACCCGAGGCTACTCGTACCCGCGCGGCAGGCTTCCTCGCCTCCGTGTTTGACCTGAGCCCGACCTCGCCGCAGCTGGACAAGCTCGACGCCGACCTGCGCGAGGCCCGTACCCTCCTAGGCGACGCCGCCGCCGCCGATAGCCCTCTCCGCGTCGGCGTGAGCATCATCACAGGCCACAGCTCCGTCTCGCACTTTGAAGCCACCACGCTGTCCATCCTAGCAAAGCATCGTCCCGCGGCGGTGTGGCTCTTTGCGCCCGCTGAGGACACCGACCCGAACCCGCACGGGGCCATCATCGCGGCCGTCCGGCGGGAGCTCGACGGCGTGCGTATCTTCGTGCAGGTGGGCAACGTGGCGGCAGCGCGGGAGGCGGCGCGCGATGGGGCCGACGTGCTGGTGTGTCAGGGCGTGGACGCGGGTGGGCACCAGTTCACGCGGGGGGCGGGCGTCGTGAGTCTCGTGCCGGAGGTGCGCGCCATGCTGGCCGCCGCCGCCGCCGAGGAGGAGGAGTTTCGATGCCGTGGGGTGGCTGTCCTGGCGGCGGGGGGCATCGCGGATGAGCAGGGCGTGGCGGCTGCGCTGGCGCTTGGTAAGTGACGAGGGAGAGCTCCCAGGGACAGTGTGGTCGTATCTGTGAGAGAGGAACGTTGCTAAAGATGTGCGTATAGGAGCAGAGGGTGTCGTGATGGGCACGAGGGTAAGTTCCTTACTGAGACTTGAGGCGGTTCAGAGTTCAAGCCAATGGATGGAGATCTCAGATGGGGTTGCTGACGGGTTCTCTCCAACTACGCTCGTCTAGTTCACCGTCGCCAAAGAGTCCGTCTACCCAGACTTTCGCAAGAAGATTGTCCTCGAGACGGTCGACGGCGGAGCGACGACCTTCAAGTACGCATAGCCCCCTCCCTTCGTGGAGCCGTCTTAGAGCCTCTACGAGTCTACAGCCCGCACACGAGCGTACTAACAGCGGCCCGCAGGTCGACGTTCAACGACCGCATCAACAACAACCCGCTCTGGCGCCCCCCCTACGACGGCCGCGCCATCATGACGGCCATCCACGAGCGGTTCCTGGCGGGCGCCTCGCTCGAGGACTGCCAGAGGAGCCTCAAGGAGGACTACGCGGCCGAGGACTCGGCTAAGCTCATCGGCACGTGGGCGTGAGTGGCTGCTGCCCCCCCCTGGACCCCTGTGCGGCGAAAGACTGCGCGCTGCGTATACGCTTATCTGATTTGTGCTAACACATGTGCGCAGCGGGACGGGCGTGGGGCTGGTCAAGACGGCGCAGGCGGCTGGCGATATCGTCAAGGAGGTGCGCGAGGGGGCCAAGGAGCAGATCCGCAGACTGGCTGCTTCCCTATAGGCACTCGACATTTCATTTCACATCATGTAGAAGTACTCGCAGGACGACGAGTCGCGCGTTCTCTCCCGAATGCAATCCTTTATCCAAGAGCACAGCCGTATTGGATGGCTTGTATATGGTGGTGTATGTTACATTGATATCGTGAACCATATCCCTCCCTCCCTCCTCCCTCCCGTCACGCGGCAGTGCCGCTCATTTTCCCCTCGACTCTGCCTCTCCCATCCGATCACAGGCGCAAAACAACAGCAGCCAGCCGCTTACAGCTTAGCCTTGCCGGAGTTCTGGGCCTTCTTCATGATGGGGTCGAGCTTGGTGGCCTTCATGATGTCGCCCTTGATCTTGAGCTTGCCGGACATGAACAGGCGCTGGGCGTTGGCCTTGCCCTGGACCAGGTTGCCAAAGTCCTCCTCGGAGAGGGACAGGGTGACTGTGTGTGCGGACGCGGCAAGTCAGTAAAGGGTGCCCCCGGCTTTTCAAATGCGTACGCCGGGGTCCGTGGTGGCTCCGCGAGAGGCGGCTGGCTGCTTATGCGTGTGCGCCCACCACCACCACCACCACCCAGCGCGGTAGAAGGGAGAAAGTCTTAAAACGTACCGGTAGGCTTGGCGCCGGTGCCGGTGGCGACCTTGCCCGACTCCTTGAGGTCGATGTGCCAGCTCTCGGTCTCGCCGGCCTTGTTCTTGAGGGTGAAGGCGAAGACGGCGTTGCCCTGCTTGATGGCGTCCTTGCGGTCCTCGGGGCTGGAGTCGAGGGCCGAGGCGATGGCGTCGAAAGCGACGGAGGAGGGGAACTTGTCTGTTGCGCGCGCGCCTTGTCAGCATTTCCGTTCTCATCGTTCCGATGGGCCCCCCTTCGGCTGCGAGGAGGACGTGGGAATCCGCCGCTGCTCCCGGGAGCAGAGGGTGAGCAGACAGACGCTCCCCCCGAGGGGGGGGACGGGATGGTGGATAGACAGGCTACGTACCGTTGGCGAGACCCATGGCTGCGGTGTTGGTGTGTGTGGTGGTGGTGGTGGAGGAGAGAAGGATGGACAGAGATTATGGAATGAAAAATGGGGGAAGGAAAGAGATCAGAGGGAAGCCTTTTCGTCCGGGGGTGTGGGGGAGATATCAATTGTTTAAATCCTACGTAGGGGGGGCCCGCGAAACGGGACGGAGTCGGTTAAAAAAACGAAGCAGCTGGTCGCGCGCGCAGCTCTGGGCGGGCGCAACGTCCTTTCGTCGCATGTGATGGGAACCTCGGCCGCGCCTGGCTGACATCATGTGTGGCCGGTGGCCGATTGTCCCCTTCCACGTTAGCGGCTGGCCCGCCGCTGGGGGCGCGCCCACTGCCAGAATGGAACCTCCCCGTGAGGGTCGGAGTGGCTCCCGTGGTCCCCCCCATCCCCCATCAGCAGCGCAGCGCAACCCCCAAGCCCAGCGCCTGTAAGCGCATGGCCGCAGTACCTGGCGCATCCCGCCTCCAAGCCCCTCGAGGAGGTCCGAGATGGAGTGGAGAGGGGGGACCCCATCTTTTTCCTCCATCCATTTCCCCCACACCCTCCTCCGCCCTGGGCGCAAGAAGGAGGGAGTTTGGCCCGGCGCGCAACAGCCTTGCTCGAATTTGGAGAAGTGTTTCGAGGTGCAGCGAATCCCCCCCCCCCGACGGCCGACAACGTCTCTTTCGGGTCAGAACCGGAGCCGCAGCGCAGCGATGACTGAAGAACTCCGTACCTGGCCCCTGGCCGCGGTACCTACCCAAGCCCTGCGCTGTACTGCGCTGTGCTGCTGTGCCGTGCTGGGGACTGGCTTTCGGCAACATCCTTTGCCCCCAAAACCCGGCGCCCCGGGCCAGTCGCATTTCGCCGGCAGCCACGCCCGAACGGAGCATCTGGTTAGACCGAAGGCACGCTCCGCACCGGCGCCCCAACAACGCTACCTTGCCGGATATTAGAAACGTCTGCACACTCTGTCTGCCGACAACTTGCCCTATTCTGATGCGGGACCGGACGTTTTAACCTTGGTGGTGCACCCCAATGGACCTTGAGGGTGCTCGCTCCCTTTTCAGCGCAGCGGCTGGCTTGTAGTATGTAGATGTCCGGTTCGTCAACGGGCGTCCTTCACGGACGAATTGACATGTCGTGACCAGCTGGTGTCCTTCTTCACACACATCCCATGGCGTGTAATAAGTGAAGTCTATTCGTTTTATCTAGACACCCCTTTGGAGATGAAGTTGATGATGCGTGATACAAGTTGCTGTTGGTACAATGCCTCCCACGCGGCACCTGCCCCGGCCTGCATGCCGGCTATGATGCTCCCACGGCGCGCACGCAGCTCGACCGCACACAGACCCCTCGGCTGCGGCATTCCTCCCCTCCCCATCGGCACGGCATCTCTGACGGCCGCATGTCAAATCCCGGTGCGGCCCAGCCTTCTACTACAGCTCCCAATCCGGGACCGCAAAGTCGCGCTTCTGCGGCCAGTGCTCCGGCCTGCAGAGAGATCACACACAAACGTTAGCCCGGCATCTACGCACATCCCCCGAACCGGCCTCGGACACGGGATTCGAGAAGAAAAGCAACGTACCTTGTCAACAGCAGCGTGGCCATGCGCCGCCGCCGCTCCGTGATATCCTCGGCAGCCGTCAGCCGGAGCCAGTCGCCCAGGACGCCCCTCAGCTCCGTCTCGCTCCTGCCCACGACGTCGATGCCTCGCTCCGCGCACGCGATCCTCAGCTCCCCGGGCTCCAGCTGCGATGGCCCGCCGTCCTCGATGAGGTTGCGGTCGTCGCCCTCGAGGAACGCCATCCGCAGGCGGCCCTTGACCTGCCACATGCCCGGGGGGGTGAAGCCCAGGCGATCCCACATGGTGCCCGCGAGGTGCAGGCTGCGGAGGACGTGGTTGCGCGCCACGCCGGGCGTCACGCGCGGGCTCAGCACGCCGTGCGGGAACCGCGCCTCGAGCTCGTCAAAGGCGGAGCGGCGGCGGTCCTCGGCCTTTTGCAGCCCCGTGGCGATCTGCTTGGGGATGCGGCACGTGTAGGGCACGACGCCGTCGACGTAGATGACGACGAGGGCCGTGAACTCGCCGATGACGATGAGCATCAGCCCGAAGAGCGGCAGCCGCAGCAGGTCGTGCCGCACGCGCCACAGCAGGACCCAGTCGGCGCGCGAAAAGGTCCTGGGCACGTAGAACGGCCGCCAGATGGACGGGCGGTCGTCTGCCGGCGTGCGCTCGAGCTTCTCGCGAAGCAGCTTGCGGTTCGCCCACACACCCTTGAGCCCGTCTTTGTAGAACCGCAGGTAGCCCTTGCCCAGCTGGAAGTAGTATTGGAACGCCGAGTCGGACGTGCTTCGCTGGGGGACCGTCAGGGGCGGGGGTCGCGTCGACGCGGGGGGGTTGATGAGCGGGTTCGAGGATCGCGGCGGCGGCGTGGGCCGCTGCGACAGTGACGGCGATTTGCGCGCATCATTGTGGGCGAGGCGCCTCGCTGCTCCGGCGGCACGGGGTTGGAGAGCGGACAGCAGGGGGGCCGGAACGAGGCCGTTGTGAGCGTGAAGCGCGCATTGCCGCCACGCTATCCGAGAGGAGCTCATGGCCGTTGTGTGCGGCGATTGCGATGGTCGGGATCCTGGACGTGCCGTGCTGTCAGGGAAAAAGTGACAGCGCGCTGTCAGAGCTGCCGGGAGTCGCGTGCGTCATTGGTCAGCAGCACGGAGCCCGCCCGCCTACCTGCGCCTTCGGTGAGAGCGTCCATGCATGCATGAATGACTGGGGCTGCAAATTGTGGTATCATTCACCGAAAATCTGGAGGCTCGTGTACGTGACGATCCCTCCACGAGATGAAAAGTCGTCTTGTATCTTTCGCAGTTGAGTCTTATTTCACCAAACAAAAACTGCCGAGAGTTTACATGGTCCCGATGTTGGATGACGGAACGGGGGCCCTGGAATGGAGCTGCGGCAAAGCACACCCACGCAGAGAGCACGCAATGGACAAGTGGACTTTCTTGCAGCAACCACCGCCATTGCGGTGACTAATCGTTGATTCGCCGGAAACATTTTGAACTCTTGACAAGAAAAACCCATCTCAACAGAGAGAACTCCAGATACTCACTATTGAGGCAAAAAGCTCCTGGCTGCTGGTGCGGACCGCAAGGAGAAGACAAGAAATAAAATCAGAATTCGACTTGGTATCCGTCGAGCAGCCACAACCGCAACCATGGTGAGTCTCGGGCTGCCCAACACCCGCGCCACCATCTCACTGCTGCGTGCTGAGCGCTGACCGACATCCAACAGGTTCACGCCGATGCCTCCAACTTTGCCGACGACGTCACCAAGGACGACGCCTACGAGCAAGTCCTGCTCCAGACTGAAGGACTGTGCACAGGGCAGCGTAACTGGGTAAGTACGAGCATGTTGGGGGTTGTGAGTTCACCTTTGTGGCTAACAGAGAGGTCGCAGGTTTGGTAAGCCATTGCGCGCTCGAAAGCGATGATGACTTGGGCAAAACTGACACCCTGGTGATTCAGCAACCTTGCCAACGCCGCCTCATTACTGTGGCATGCCTACAAGAGCCTGCCGGCCCCCAGCAAGGATGTGAACTGGGCAGGTGAGCATGCGTAGCACCGGCTTCCTCTGTCTCTCACCAGGCGCTGACCCGGACAGGATTCTACGTCTTGGACAAGTCGTCCTCGAAGCCGCAGCTCATCCTCGGCCCGTTCCAGGGCAAGGTCGCTTGCCAGACAATCGACTTTGGGCGGGGCGTGTGCGGCACGGCGGCGTCCTCGAAGCAGACGCAGTTGGTGGCCGACGTGGACCAGTTCCCCGGCCACATCGCCTGCGACGGCGACAGCAGGAGCGAGATTGTCGTGCCCATCCTGGCCGACACGGACGGCAGCGGGGAGAAGAAGGTGGTGGCCATCATCGACGTCGATTGCGCGTCCTTGAACGGATTCGACGAGCTAGACAAAAAGCATCTAGAGGAGCTGGCCGAGCTGCTCGCCAAGAGCTGCGACTGGTAGTTCCAAGAATAGATTTTGCCCACCCGAGACCATCTGCAGCCGTTTGGCTCTGCCAGCTATGCGTCACTGCTTCCCGCAAGAAGCAACGAGACGGAGGTGAGCTGGCGTTGGTCCCGGCGCGAGGAAGCCATGTCTGTGCCGACCTCTCCCAGCCGTGCTTGGACATTCACACCATTCTGCAGCGGGTTTATGCACAGGTCCAGTACCAGCCATTGCGCGGGCTTGGCATACGGTATTCTATGAGGTCATGCTGCAAAAGGAGTCTCGATCCCAGGCAACCAGGGTCGGGCAGCTGGGCTGGCTGCTGTGCCGGAATGCTGCCAGGACCCTGACTTGCCTGACTGTGCCTTTGCGGATGAGACATTCACCCATGGCGACGGAAAAGGGCATCGTGTCTTAGACCCCGACACGTTGGACGGCCCCGCCTTGATGCCTTGAACCGGGCCCGTCAAGCCGTATCTCTTGAGTTGTTGCTGCCCATTGTGGACCGGCGCAAGACTCGCCATGGGTGATTCCCGAGCTGGCCATGGGCCGAAGGGCCGCTTTTGTTATGCCTTGCATCGCCGGACAGAGTGACTGCCAAGCCCCGTGGAAGGCGAAACGACGCACGTCGATCTGAGATGCGTGGATGCTGCGCGCTGGTTCGGTTCCCCGTTCGCCCGCTGGATGCCCAATCACTTATGCATGGAATCAGGGATATGCTGGCCACCCAAGTCACCCCCAGGGTGCATCCCGCGTTGCGGCGCTGGCGTGGACGCGACGTCAGCGCATGGCTTGGTGGGGAGTCGTCGTCAACGCTGTCGTCGCTTGGGGCTGTGGCCGCAGGTAAGACGGAGGGGCCGAATCCAGCAGCGGCGGGGTTTGTCGCACGGGATACGAAGGAACCTAGCCGTGTGTCTGCCGCCCGTTGAAAGATGCGCCGCTCGCAGGGCGTCGAAAGAGAAGGTAAGTGGCAGAAACCTTAAGTCGCGACCAAAAAACCTGGTTTGATGCTCCGTCTTTTCAGCTTGCAAAGGGTGCTCAGACGGCCCAGCAACGGACGGGGCCGAGAGGATATTGGAAGCTTGGAAGCTCAAGTTCAGTGCTTTGCCCCGGACGGTCAACCCGGAAAGGAAAGCGCCCACTGAAGAGCTCCCGACCCCTTGCAGAGGAAGCGCCTGTAGCCGCCTGATGCCCCACCGTGTCAGGGGTGCAGGGCCGCCAGCCTCCCGGTTTTTGCTGTGCGGCCGTAGGAGCCCTGGAGCGCTTGCCCGCCCAGCCACCGCAGTTCGCCGGGTAGGCACAGGGCTCCCCCTCCAGTGGACACGCCGGGCCCCCCCAACGACAGGGCACCCAAGCACAGGGCAGCCCTACACCTACACGCTAGTGGCCGGCGGATCGATCCAACCCACCTGCGCACTCCCGCATCCGGAGCTGCCCTGGCCCCCCAACCACCAGCCGCCTGGCCGTCGCTGGGCGAATCGCTCGCGGGCCGAAGCAAAACAAGGCGTCACCCGCCATGCAGGCTGCCTTTCCTTTCCTGCATTCCCATTCCATTCCAGTCTCTCTCCCCCATTGTCCCGCTCCGCCCCGGATCTGTACGGCACACGACGGCATTGTCTTGTCCGTTTTCGACTTCCTCTCGCTCTCTTCCTGCCTCTCGTCGTTCTTTTTACAAGCCGCCACCGCCGCTGCTGCCACCGCCGGCACAGCCACCCCCCCGCCATCGTCATCAACCTCAGCGCACCCTTCGACCGTCCATGTAAACAAAGCACCGACCTCGACTCCCCGCCGGCCGTTGCTCCCTCGCAACGACGCCAGCCTGCACCCACCGAAACCTGCGCCATGTCGACAAAGTCAAAGACGTACTCTCTCCTCAATGGCGCGCACACGGCTGGCATCTTCGCGGACATGACGGTCGACGGGCCCATCATCGGCACCCTCGTCGCCATTGTCGACCGCGCCAAGAACCTGCCCAACCGCAAGACCATCGGCAAGCAGGACCCCTACTGTGCTGCCAGGCTCGGGAAGGAAGCAAAGAAGACGGCCACGGACATTCGCGGTGGCCAGACTCCCAAGTGGTCGGTTCCCGCCTGACCCGCCCCTCCAGCAACGACCACCAAGCTGACATAGCTCCATCAGGGACCAGGAACTTCGCTTCACCGTTCACGACTCGCCCGACTACTACCAGCTCAAGGTCTCCGTGTTCAACGACGACAAGAAGACGGACTTGATCGGCGAGGCATGGGTCGACCTCAAGGCCATAATCGTCCCCGGCGGCGGCCAGAGCGACATGTGGCAGAGCCTCACGTACAGGGGCAAGTATGCAGGCGAGATTCGGATCGAAATCACATACTACGACTCGCGCCCCAAGCCCGAGAAACAGCCCGTGAGGGCTCGTCAGTCACTGGCTTCTGAGCAAGAGGTCGGCTCGTCGAGGCAGAACACGCCCGTCAAGAGGCGGCCACTGCCTTCTGATCCTGTGACCGGCGAGGCGCCGCCGCCACCTCCAGCGTCAGCCCCCTTGCCCGCCGAGAGCCATCATCACACGCCTCCCCGCTCTCACGGCAAGTCTGTTTCGCAGTCTGGCTTCGTTCCAACGCAGTCCCCACTGCAGGCAGTGGAATACAACACACCCCCGCCCGCGTCTCGACCCTATCCGGACCACTACTCGCCTTCACCTCAGTCGGGTTATTCGAGTGGCCGGGTGGACGGGCCTAGGGTACCACGACCCCGAGAGTCTTTCGACACTCACACGCCGCCCCGTCCGGTCGAAGACCGAGGATATGGACAGAGCGCACCCGTGTCGCCGTACGACCAGCCATCGCCCCGGCGGCAACCCTCGCCGCTCCCAGAGCATCACGAGCTGCCCTCGGGAGAGGAGTTAAGACAGCCGGCACCATTCGAAGATGGACGACCGCCTCCCCCGCCGGCGCACCGGTCGAGGCACAACAGCGGTGGTCAGGAGTTGACTCACAGAGGCTACGACACCTCGCCTCAAAAGTCCACACCGTCGATGCAGATGAGACAGGACGTTCTCAAGAGCGAGGCTCACAGGCATTCCTCGCCGTCGTATCCCGGCCGGCCGACGTTTCGACCTTATGAGCCCACAATGTCCTCGCCAAACCAAAGTGAACCCCAGAACACCCCGCCCTACGAGTCTTCATCGCCAAGGTACCACTCATACGATGCTCCGTACGACCAGCAATATCGATCGATGCAGCCCACGGTCGAGGACGTCCCCGAATCTCCGCCGGGCCCCTTGGCAAGCCCCTACAAACACCATGGTCGGAACAGGATGAACTCGCACGACGAGATGATGTTTCAGACGAACGCAACGCCCGTGCCGCTGAACTTGAGCCGATCTCCCGGCGGCTCGTCTTATCCTCCGAGCCAGTCTCCGGGTCATTATCATCCAGTCTCGTACCAGGAGCATCCTGAACCCCCAGCTTCAGTGTCTCCGCTGTCGGCAAGAGACTACTCCAACAGCCCGATTTACCCCCAGCAGAACAGTCAAAGCTATCTCCCAAGCCCGCGTCGCGACTTTGAACCGAGCCACGCGAGAAATTCACCGAGCTATGGTACACCGGATGTGCCTTCTTCGTTGTCGCCGGGCATGGATCCGGCTCTGTCCCAGGAGATTGCTGAACAGATTTACGAGGAGCGTCGATATGACAGCCGAGGCAGCAGATATCCGCAGCAGATGACGACGCCAACCCGGGGCCGCCACCACAGCGAAGGACCGCCCTCATACGGGACCTCGCCCAACGCATACGCCACGCAAGGCTACAACGAAAGGTCCGCAGTGACATACTCCGGAAGTCCCGATACCCAGATGGTCCTCCGCAGACGTGAGGTCTCTCCCAACCCCAACGTCCAGCACACGATCCGCCGGAAGTCGGTTAGCCCCGCTCCGCCTCCGTCTGAGAACCGGCGGGCGTCCGACATTCCCTTTGGCCCTGATTCGTATGACGCACTGAACCCCAGCCTGGCATCGCCAAGTGTTGCGGGTGACGGCACTGGCCGAGCGCATCCGGACGACAAGATCATCACGCACGACGGCCGAGAAATTGACCCGTCAGACCACCTGCCCATGGAGTCTTGGGCCCCTGAGCCCGAACCTAAAGGCTCAAAGGAGCCGTCTCCTGAGCCGCGATCGAGACCCTCGCCGGCAGGAGCTCAGCCAATGCCACCCAGCGGCCGGCGGCCACTGCGCGTGGCAGCCAGGCCGCAGTCGATGGCGGCACTGCCCGCCCCGTCGTATGGCTATAATGAGGATCATCGGGCGCCACCGGCACCCACAAACGGAGGCCGCAACCGGCTGCAGAAGAAGGCTCATCGCGGGTCTGCAGGCCCAGGCCCGTCGCCGGGCATGTCGAGCCCGCTGGCTCCCGTCTCGACGGATAACTACCAAGACAGACAGGGCCAGTACACTCCCAGCAGGGGACCTCGTCGCGGCCACTCATTTGACTACCCCAACGAGAACCACCATCCTCACTATGCCTCGGGTCCACCGATTCCAGCCAAGGTGCCGCTGCCAGTGATGAGCGGCGCGAACGGCGGCGTCGACCAGGCCTTGATGCAGGAGATGCAGAGAATCGACATTGGCACGGGGAGGTCCCGCCGCAGAGGTGGATATTGAGGATGTAGAGCAGAAGAAGAAAGGCGAGAGCAGGGCATTGGACGAGAGCAAGACGTGGAAGTTTCGTGTACATTGTATCATTCCCGGCGTCGCATGGATGGTCACAGGTCACACTGGCGTTTTTGTTTGCGGGCCACGGCATTAGAATCATGTTGAAGATGTACGCAGATATGCAAAGCCTCGAACCATTGAGTCGAGGAAGAGAGCAACAAAGTTGAGATCTTGCCAGACGAATCCCTTTTTTAATGTGGTTGTTTGGCAATGCAGTTTCATTCACGATGTAGATTTTGGAGGTCGAGGCGAGGATGCGAGGGTCCAGGTGCCGAATTGGCGCTAGTCCGCTACGGGCAAGGCGTCAGGTGCCCCGCGGCGGGTGTTCCGCGCCCCAGCCGCATCGAATCTTTTATCGCAAAAAAAAAATGTCAAACCACGTCGCCGTGCCGTTGCTACCATCGCCGTCGACCGAGAGCCAGCACACCGACACCGACACGACAGCAACACCCACCGAGCAGCAGCAGCAGCAGCAGCAGCAGCAGCGACAATGGCAGCGCCCGTGGGACCGCTCCCGCAGCTCAAGCTGCCGTCGGGCCCGTCGCCCGTGACGGCCGAGCAGCGGTACTGGCGGACCTTCAAGAACCAGGTGCTGGTGCCCTCGCCGACGAGCTACCCGGTGACGCACATCTCGTGCACGAGCGACGCCTTCGCAGTGACGACGGGCACGCGCGTGCAGATCTTCTCGAGCCGCACGCGCAAGCTCGTCAAGACCATCACGCGGTTCGGCGACATTGCGCGCAGCGGCGAGATGCGCCGCGACGGCAAGGTGCTCGTGGCGGGCGACGACACGGGCAAGATGCAGGTCTTTGACGTCAACTCGCGCGCCATCCTCAAGACGTGGACCGAGCACAAGCAGCCCGTCTGGACGACCAAGTGGTCCCCCACGGAGCTGACGACGCTGCTCAGCGCCTCCGACGACCGCACCGTCCGCCTCTGGGACCTGCCCAGCACGACGGGCCCGACGACGACGTTTGTCGGCCACAGCGACTACGTGCGCTGCGCAGACTTCATGCCCGGCACCACGGCCAACATGGTCGTCTCGGGCAGCTACGACGCGACCGTCAAGCTGTGGGACCCGCGCATCGGGAGCAGCTCCGCCGTCATGACCTTCAAGCACGCCGACCCCGTCGAGGCCGTCCTGCCCATGCCCTCGGGCACCACCGTGCTCGCCGCCGCCGGCTCCTCCGTCAGCGTGCTCGACCTCGTCGCCGCCCGGCCCCTGCACATGATCTCCAACCACCAGAAGACGGTCACGTCCATGAGCCTCGCCTCGGGCGGCCGCCGCGTCGTCACCGGCGGCCTCGAGGGCCACGTCAAGGTCTTTGAGACGACGGGCTGGAACGTCGTCAACAGCACAAAGTACCAGTCGCCCATCCTGTCCGTCCTCGTCATCCCCGACACGCAACACCAGTCTTCAACCACGGAGTCGACCGACCGCCACCTCGCCGTCGGCATGCAGTCGGGAGTGCTGAGCGTGCGCACCCGCCTGACGGGCGCCGAGGCCACGAGAGAGAAGGCGCGCGAGAAGGAGATGGCCGCGCTCCTGGGCGGCGACATCGCCTCCTTTGACGCCAAAAAGTCGAAGCGCAAGCGCCGCATCGAGGCCGCCAGTCGTCTGGACCTGGTTGGCGAGGGCGCCGACGTGGTCATCGCCAACGACGGCCGCAGCGCGCGCAAGAGGGAGCTCCCCTGGCACAAGGACCTGCGGACGGGGCACTTCTCCCGCGCCCTCGACCAGGTCATGGACAAGTCGGCCAAGCACCACTCGTCGCTCAACACCCTGCAGGTGCTGCTCGCGCTGCGGCACCGCGGCGCCATGCGCGAGGCCCTCGAGGGCCGCGACGAGCAGACGGTCCAGCCCGTCATCAAGTGGGTGTGCTCGCACATCTGCGACCCGCGCTACGTCAGCGTCTGCGTCGAGGCCGGCCTGCACCTGCTCGACCTCTACGCCGAGTACGTCGGCGCCTCGGCCGAGCTGCACGAGGGCTTCCGCACGCTGCACCGTCGGGTCAAGGTCGAGGTCGAGCGCGCCCAGGTCGCGTGCCAGACGGGCGGCATGCTGGAGAGCCTGATGCTCGGCGTCGCCTGAGGCTTGGTCGAAAGTTGCTTTTCCCTACTGAGAAACTGGCGTCTGAAATACCACACGAGGGGATGGACGACGAGCGCGGGGGATGAATGAACGGACGGACGGACGGACGGATGGCAGAGAGGCAACGGGCGGAGGAGGATGCTTGCATTGCAGCGGCGTTGAGGGGTTCCGGGTCTTCTACTACTACTTACTACCTTACATTGTGTGCTGTCTAGTTTCCTGCCACTGGGTTGATATACATGCAGGTCACCACCATCTATACCATAGAGCACCACAACACGTCAAGACGCAATTTCTGCCTCTACCGTATCATGCACCTCTACTATACCACTCCCTTCGTCTCGCGTCTCCATGCTATCTATTGCGCGACCACCGCGGTCTGGACGTCGCCCGTCTTCCCATCCAAAGTTATGGGCTACGCACCGTGCAAGTTCTCCATCGCCAAGGATCAACCCTCGTTCTGCACGGCTCTCCCCCAGGAGCTGCCTCATTGACTGCCGCAAGGACAGAGTGTTGCGCGCGCGCAGAAGCGACAATGTCTCCTTGCCGCCACGCGGCACACCTCTCTCTCTCTCTCTTCTCCTCTCCTCTCCAGACTCCCCCCGGCAGCTAGTGTATGTACACGTTAATCACCCCCAGCTCACTCATCATCACACGAGACATCTCAGGCCAGGCACTCGACCAGGGACACAACGGCGGGGGAGCATACACGAGAAAAACGAAAAGAAAAAAGGCCAAAGACACGCACAACGAAAAAGAAAAAGCCAGGAACGCGAGATGCACCAACATGCACCGAGGTACAGAGGGGAGGTTCAACAGCTCAAATGGTACGTAATAACTCACTGCGCGAGCCGGCATCCTCTACTTCGTACGCCATGCACACACAAATACATACTACACAGACGCAGACGCACACATGCACACACCCTGCTACTTTACGGCACCGTTTGTGCTCGCCCTCTCGCCCTCTCGTCACCAACGCTGCCATGCCTGCTCAACCGGGTCGTGGAACCGCACCGGGCAGCATGCCGCCCGTTGCTGCTGCTGCTGCTGCTGCTGCGTCACCCACCCCTGCCGTCGTCCTGGCTCGCCTTCAGTTCCCGTCCGGGTTACCCCGGTCGCGCATCTCCAGCTGTAGATCCGTGTGCCGCACCTCCTGCGGCGTCGTCGGCGCCCCCACGCGTAGCCCGCGCCAGCAAAGGCTCCCGTGCCTTCTCATCTCGCCTCGCCAGTGCCTCGTTCTACGCGCCATGCCGTGACGTGCAGCGCCGTGCCAAGAGTCGGGCATTTTCAGCGCGGTATGAGCTCGTCTCCCAATCGAGGAGACCAGATACAACGTGCAAACCGGCACCGTCTTTGTCTTTATTCCAAACCGTTTCGGTCGTCTTCAAGTCAGACATATAAGCTCCGAGGTTGTCTATCCGGCCCATCTTTCCAAGCCACCATCCCGTACCTGTCCTGATTGTACATATGCTGCCTCCTCAGCTTGCTTGGGCACAGGGTGACCTGTTGCCGCAGAGCTTCTGGTATTTCCTCCACTCCCAGCCTGGGTATAACTCGAGGAAACCATGAGAATAAACCACTAGGTGTCGTAAGAGACCCCGTTCCCGGGGCTAGTAACGAGCCTGTGGGTGTTGAAAAGAAAATCAAAGGACAAATCAAGCAGACGGCCTCAGTGTGCAACGACATGCCACTCCGTCCAGCATCCGAATCGATCACCCTTGCATGCTGCACCCGGCCGTGATGCCTTGAAATCGAGTCAAGGCCACTTGGATCGCCACGCTCCTCTTGTCGCCAGAGGTCTGCTCTTAAATTCAGTCATGGCCTAGGCCACGCGGCATCCCATCAACCCATATGGGAGACGCCCACGTGGCTTTGGGGAGACATGGCTGGTGGGTATGCGGCATGATCCGGCGGATGCAAAGAATGCGCTGCTGTCGCCGACATTTTGGGTGTCTGCAAGCTGACACTGCTCGAGAAGCTCGAGTTTGGCTTGGGCTCATTCATGGAGTGAACGAAGAGGTCCTGGTACAGGCCTTCAAGTATGTGCATGTCGAGTCGAAGCGCACTCGTCGTGGTTGCGGACTGCCGAAGAAAGTGTATCGTTTTCTCGAACAATGTTTTTAGCAGCTGCCCGTCCACGCTGTCGTGTAGTGTCGGATCGACGTATGCTGCCGCAAGGACGAGGAGGTTACCCCATTGGCTGCAGGCTGTCAGCAACCTATATGTATGATCGAACGCATCGACTTACGCATGTGCGGTACCAAACACGTTGGTAATGATGGGGCGCTGTTCCCCTAGCCCGTGGAATGCTCTTGTGCTTTCAACAAGGGCTTTGATACCCTTGATCGCCAAGCTAACCAGCTCCGCGTCGAGGTCCTTGGACGATTTGGCATCTGGAGCGATCGTTGGGTAGACAATGCCTTTCCGAAACTCTGGCACGGGAAGCACGTTTGGGCCACTTTGGTGTGCCCTCCAATAGTTGAATTCCAGAATCATCCTGATGAACGGTCGATATGTGATGACCTGGGCGCCCCAGTACTTGCCCCGCAGCCGGGCGCCGAGTATGTCGTCGGCGGGGGGATCGGTCTCCTGAAATGCGAAGCGAGGGGCAATCCAGTTCATACCCGAAACCGAGTCGGCGACCACAGAGACGTTCATAAACTTGGTCTCCGTCTGAAGCCTTGCCGAGGCGGGATCGTCGTCGGGAGCGTAGAACATTCGGTGGATGCTATTGAGGTGAGTTCTCAGATAGAGCTGGCCCGGGTAGCTGTCAAGCACCCGCTGGTCAAAACCGTCAATGAGGCTTAGGTTGGGATGCGGCATAGCCTCCTCGTAGCCGAGAAGTCCGGAGGGGGGCAGGGTCAGCTCGGCAATCAAGTCGCTGGGTAGCCGAAATCAGCACAATATCAAGGTGAGTGATCGGACGAGCGGTATCTCACCTTTCGAGCTGCAGGCATGTCCAAAATGCCAAGGCGAGCTGATTGTACTTGATGTCCGTGATGAACGTCTGCTTGTCTTTGATCTCCTTTAGCTTGCTCATGCTCCTGGGTAACGGGTTAGCGCTGCTTGACAGATGGTTCTAGCCGAGGCAACTTACGGTCGCATCAGGACCTGGAGCTTGTGGCCGGCTGCGTGGATGAAGGCGAAACTCTCAAGGGGTCGCGCGAGCTGGCCATGGTACAGGCCCGCGAATATGTTGGCATACACATTTTTCATGTTGTTATAGGACCCTATGTGGTTCCCCAGGATGTCGGTGGCGACTGCAAAGTACTCCAAGCCTGGGACCACTTCATAGTTTTTCTTCAGATCGTAACCATAGCGAACACCGCCTTGTCCGTGGATTGACGACCGCCTGCTCGGAGGCAAGCGTTCCGGCTCCTTCGGTGAGGCTAGGCCTGACGACTGCGAGTGTGTCGAATGGCTGGGAGGGGAGCCTTGCATCGGTGACGGCGGCACTCCATTGCGGCTGAATGGACTACCGTGCAGGACCTGCTCGGAGTGATGAAGGGCATCTGGAACGTTGTCACGGTAAAGACAAATCTTCCCCAGCGCCAGGATCGTGAGGACCAACGCGCTGTGGATCGACCTGTCCGGCTTTCCGGCCCTCACCGGGCCCGTCGTCGTAGACCCATCATGTTCTGGCCCCGGAGAACGCTTGCGCTTCGACCCTGTGGTCTCCACAGGAGCTCGAACGGCGAACGCCGTCTTCGACGCCTGGGGTTTCGACGTTTTGGGCTGCACTCTCGGTAAGCTGTCCAGGAAATGCCTGACCCAATCCTGCAGCACCTTGGGCTGAATGATGGGGTGCATGTTCAGGATATTTTCCTTGAAGCTCTCCACGTACATCCAGACCTTGGACTCCGTATAGTCTGGATTGCCGTCGAATGCCAGAACTCCGCCTCGGTATTCCACCTGCTCGGCTGGGCTGAGACCGCCCACGTGTCCCCAGTCGGCGGCTGGTGACGGCGATGCCATGTCGGATGAGTCGTCAGCTATGTCTAGCTGGCCATGATCCGGGGCCTCCTTTGGCTGGCGTGACGGATGAGACGCCTCACCGCGACCGTAGACAATTAGCTGGCCTCGGTTTTGCTCTTGGCTAATTGGGAACTCGTTGACGTGACGGATGCCCACTCGTTCGACATGATGTCTCGTGAGTTGTTTGATGGGGGCCCAGTTCAAGAGGAGCCCAGCAAGCGTCGTATGATGAATTGGAATGGCTGGTTCTTTTGGCGTAACGAGGGGGCCAGGGTTCTGTTCGAGCGCGTCCTCCTCCGCCGCCATGAGGATGGCATTGCGATCTGTGGGGGTGACGATCTGGTCGCGCGCTATGTCGATTTCTGAGTAGTGGCTGTCGCGCCTTTCTTCCAACAGTGATGACCTGTGATTGATTGCTTTGAGGTCTTCTTCGGACGCCGGATCCTGTTTCATGTTACCCCCATCGGATCCTTTGGAAAACTTGTTCTCGAGCATCGCCATTCGGTCATTTAACATCTGCAGGCTGTTCTGCATGCCGCTTTGCATCATCGCGAGGGCCTCGAGAATGTCAGCCTGAGCCTTGTCGGTACTGAACTCTAAGTGTTAGCCAAGCCCCCTCCCCAACCTGGTCGACCGGGAGATACATACGCCTTCGGGACCGGATCCCGGTATCTGCATTCGGTACCCTTGTCTCTGCACGTTTTGCAAGGCTTCGTCTCATCGCACTTAGCCTTGAGTTGACGGCACTGATCACAAGCCTGTTGACGACGGGTTAGAAGGGTGCAGAGCGAGGTGCTGAGTGATGCCAAACCTGTGACGCTCGCGTGTTCTTCTTCTTCGCCGAGGCGACAGACGAATACACACTGTAGAAGGGCTCTGAGGCATATGCCCCGTGCGAGTCGTAGGGTTGCTGTGACGGCGTGGGCGGGGGGAAGGTTGGTCCACGATATGCACCCGGAGTCGGGGGAAGCGAGTGACCATTGTCGAAACTCATGTGTCGAGGTTGTTGGCCTTCCGGTGGAAAGGCAGACGGCTGGAGGGGCGCGGGAGCCTGAGTGCCAGGCACAGCGTGAGGTTGAGGCGGCAAGCTTTCGGGTGCATGCCCAGTCGAGTTCGGCCGCCGCGGGTCTTCCACCACCTCTCTCTTCACAACCGACTCCCGCGAAGGGTATGTGTGGTACGCAGCATGCGCAGGGGATGGCGGTTGCGGTTGCGGTTGCGGTTGGTGAGGTCGGTAGTGGTCGTGCATGGGTGGAAGGGCTGTCTCTTATACACATCTAGATGTGTATAAGAGACAGGGGTATGTGTGGTACGCAGCATGCGCAGGGGATGGCGGTTGCGGTTGCGGTTGCGGTTGGTGAGGTCGGTAGTGGTCGTGCATGGGTGGAAGGGTATCCGGCTCGTGAGTGCGGCGTTCAATGTCGGGATGCTGTTGGTATTGCTGGTGTTGCGGGTGCTGGACATGACCGTGTACACCCGCCGGAGGAGGAGGCGGTGGCGGCGCAGAGGAATGTTCAGCAGGTCGAGGAGGATATGGCTGGCCGTACTGTCCTGGGACGGTGTGGTGTTGTTGATGTTGCGGGTGTTGCTGAGATGGGTGAGGCGCCGAAGGGAGAGGCGGCGGGCGTTGAGATGTTGGAGTAGCATGAGGATGCGGGAGGGAAGAAGTTTGCGTTGTGGAAGCCGACCAAGACGAGAGGCGAGGGCGTTTCCCTTCGGAGGGTCCTTGATCCATGCTTGTGTGCTCGCTGTACCGCCACGGGACACAGACACATAATCAGGAACGAGGCAAGAGGCAAAGCAGGGACCACAGAGGGGCGGCGGCCATGGGCTGAAGACGAAACAACAGACACCCGGGAGTGAGGCTCGGAAGCTGGAGGGCAATCCGACTATTGGACCCTTGGACGGAGTGCAGGAACCGGGCCGGGAGACATGGGGTGGGAAAGCGAGCCTTGCAGGATTGGTAGGCTATGATGACATGAGCCGTGCCCGCACGAAGCAAAACACTCGGCGACGGGTTGGAGGTTTGGGCCAAAGGACCCAGAAGGGGAGCAGGGAGAGGGAAGCCGACA